GATTGGAATATTCGACCGTCATCGGTTCGATTCAGATTCCTGTTCTTTGGGAGTAAACTTGTTGCCAGAAAGTGAATCGCAGGTGATGTTTGGGTGTTTCACTTATTCTTCTGACTTCATCCTAATAAATAGTGGAGGAAATGAGAAATGTTAAATGCTCCAAGATTTATTTTAGCTTTATTCAGTGAAGTTAAAGTTATAGTTATATTTTTAGCATTCTTCTCAGCCATGAATATTTTATTCATGGAATTTACTTTTCCATTTTCAACATTATTTTACCAAATATTTATGAAATATACCCCTCAAACAAATGTTGCATTCATTTTAATTTTATAGGCTTTTGAATCTGGGCGATAATTCTTTCCATTTATTTAGTTAATATAATCAGATTTTATTGTTTGGTGACAGAAATAAGCTGGCACTTATACTTATGGTGTACCATTCGTCTATGTAAATGGAAAAAAACCTAAAAGGGCAGAACATTGATGAACAAATTAAAATCGATTTATTCTCTCTCTTCTCCTTTTTAAATGCATTTATTATTGTTGCCATTTATTATATATTCTTTGTCTTGATAATTCTATTTAAATTTAAGCCTAAAAAAAAATAAATTTCAGCAAAAAATTAAGTTAAATTAAGAAGTCGTAGAGACCATCAAATTTGTCCATTTTCGCTCAAAACACAAAACTCCGAAAGAAAGAAAATTTGTAAAAATGGAACGTGAAAACAAACTTAATTCTTTGATTAATAATTCTTTGATTATTACCTTCAAGAATATTCAGGTTCATTCAAAAAGAAAAAAAATTGATGGATAGGGACGAAAGGCTTTTAAAAATACCAATTACCAATAACGGAAGTCTTCCCAGTGTGACAGAATTCTTACGGTGTTCACAACCACAACCTTTTATTTTTGAAGTTCTCCATTTTTATTTTTTCTTAAAGATTTTTTTTTGGAAACTTCATGTTTCTTCATAATTCTTTTAAAATTTGTTCACTCGATTAGGTAGTTTTTAGTATTTAATAAATCCTTATTTTATTTGAAAAGTAATCTTTCAATAAATCATTGTAAAATGAAAAAATTCGTCGACTTTTTCGATCACTTTTAACATTCGAATTATTTGTTATAAAGTTCTAAGACCTTTTTTAATTTTGCTTCATTATGTTTTAAATTTACTTTTTTAAGATTTTTAAGCATCTTTTAATTTAAATAATGTATTTAGTATAAAATTTTTATGAGACGATTTATTAATTGGTAATCAGCCATTCTGATTCATTTGATGTTAAAATAAATTATTTTATACGCATTGCTTTTTTACCAGTTTCGGAATTTTAGAATTTTGAGGGATTCCGGGTTTCGGGATTCTGATTATTTATATTTTGATATAGATCTGGGTTTTTCCCTTCTATTTTTTTAGCGATTCTGATATTTTTCTGGATTCCTTCTCTTTCTTTTTATGTTTTAATCATCTCACCATTATCGGTAAAGCTTGGTGCAGTGATTTTGAGGGCGAAACATTTTTCGAGTCTTTTGGTTCGATGCTGCATTTCTACTTTTAATATTGCTGTGCTGTTCAAGGGTTTTTATAAGAACGAATTATATTTTTAATTCTTTAATTCTTAATTAATTTAATTCTTAATCCTAATCTAATGATTTAAACCATATTTCTAGCTTTACTGGAACAATTGATTTATGCTTCCGTTGGCGTTAAATCTGGCTTATTTATCCACCAATATAGTTAAGCTGGTTGTTAACTCTGTAGCTCTCTTATCCTCTAGGCATCTTGGCAAAAAATATATACTAACCATAACAGCCAGAATGGTAACAACGTAATTAAAATGATCCAAAAAACAAAAAGTCGTTTTTTTGTTCTTAAAAGAAAATGATTAGCGAGTCATCATAATTCTCTCAAATTTTTACTCAAGAGAATAATTTTATTTAATTTTCGTAAACCATAAAATCAACGATATCAATGTCTCTTTTTTTAAATTGTCTTTATTCTCCCGTTCAGTTTATCTCCTAAAAAAAATATGTTGGACACTTTTTTTTCATTTGTTGAATCTCTCCAGTCTATTTTCCGCAAATAAAAAGAAGCAACGCAGATGGACAGGGCGGTATATGGTTTCGATTAAGATCAAATCGTTTTATTTGGTTTATTTGAAAACTACCAGTTAGGGCGACAAGCAGCATGTGCTTGCAGTGACAACAACAAAACGAGGTGCTAAATGAAAGGGAATTGGTGATACCGATATAAAATACAACAAAAGAAATGTGACCGAAAGCATGAAGGGCAAAAAAAATAAAGGGAAATTACAGAAAAAGTCGAATTGAATTATTACTGACACATAATTGCATGCCGAAACTCGCCAACTGCTTTTAAATGTGAATCTTTTTGCAAAATAGTTCAGGTTGATATACATTATATATTATGTAGTTCATTTTAGCTAACTGATGGTGCGAATGAGTCGTTAGTCTAGTTTTGCGTATAGGTTTTCGTAATTTTAATCCATTATGACTTCAACTTAATCCTAAAATTATAGCATTTGCAATAGTTTAATTTAATTTGACTAACCTTATAAAATTTTATATGTATAAATTAAATATCTTATCACTGAATTAAAATTGGCCTAAATTATATAGGCTTTTATTATTGCTATTATAAGAGGGGTGATATTTCCTTCAATTACTTGATTTGCTGTATTTAGGGGAATAACAAGTTGCATTATTCCCGAAGAGACCGAACGAATACTTTGTGTGTTTTGATAAGAAAGTTTTCAGGTCCATTTTTAAACAACCGAAAAATAAAATTTGATAAAAATAAAATTTTTTGAGGTTAAAGTGGAAATCAAAATTTTCATCTACAACTATGTCTGAGGTATTCAATACACATCTGATATTACCATTAATAAAAAGATTTGGAAGATCGGATCTTTTCGAATTTTTATATAATACGCTACAGTTTTGCATAGAAAATAATTTATCTGTTATATGACCAGCAATTCTATTGAAGTCTCGTCTTGTAGCTGAAACAATTTACCATGAGAATATAAATTTGTACAGTCAATAGCATAGAGATAATGAATAATAATAAAGTAATGTGCAACTACCTTGATTTAACGAGAGACACATCTGAAAGAGGCTGTTGAGACATACGATTTGGTACCGGCGCTTTGTCCGATATCCAGTTTCAAAAGCCTTTAACATATCTATTTCTCCCTAATATCATATCTGTTAATGGTGTTCAGCCATTTATTGTGGGAAACAATCTTGACCAATTAAAAAGATTGGTCAATCAATAATTGTGAAATAATGAATGGTGAAGAAGCTATGATAAGGGTGAAGAAGCTGAATGAGGGTTATATGGGGCGATTTTCAAATTCTAGGATTTAAGCCATATTTCATAATATAAATTAAAAATAGAGGAAATGGTGCCTTTTTTATAAAATATTTGTGGAATATTATCAGCTGATGTGGATAGTTTAAGTTTATTCAAAGCGACATAAATGTCTATAGCGCTATTTCAAGCTTACTAGAAGGACTGCAACTTCAATTATCATTGGAGAAAGTGCGATTAATATTATCATCAACAAATAATGAATAATAAAAAAAGTATTTATTGACTAAACACACTTGCATCATATCAAAGCACTCACATCGTCATTACGTTGAACCTGTTTGTTTTCGTGGCATGCAAATTTTCTTTTATTCAAAATCTGCAAAAATCTCTTGGTATTAAAAGTAGCTCTTCCCCATTTTCAAGGCTTCTATGAATGCATCACGGAAATTTTCCATTCTTTTCTATTCTTTACAGAGAGATCACTTGGCAATTCGGTTAATTTCGTCAATACACTTATATTGGATCTTTAAGTTTTTTTTAGATGAAAGATGAACAAAGCTAACGTTTCTTTCTTAACGAAATATTGCGGTATTGCAATGGTGTGGCGTTATTAAGAAAACCACTTTTTGGTCAGTCAATCAATTATTAGACAAAATATGAAATTCAGGTCATTTCCGCAAGAACAATTTCGCAATCAGAACTATTAGTATCTTGGAGGAGGTTTGAATAAAATGGTTCAGTTTCATGCTTTAATTGCTACTAGAAAATATTCTAGGATTCTAGGACTGACGCTGCCGATGAGAGGAGCAGAAAAGGCAGTAATATAATGATGATCACAAAACTTAGCTGCTAAAGGAAGTGTTCATCGAACTTGCTGCTCTTTTTCATATTTTCCCAGTCTACATTTGGCATATTATGGTCATCAACAATTAATCACAACCAAATTATTTTAATCCAATTAACCAGTCGTAAAGATTTACAATGAATTTACTTCCACAGCCTGGTGGGATGATGATTAAGTAACAACCACTCGACTATTCTCTAGGGGATTTTAAAAAAATATATATTCTTATTAAGGTAAAGTCAAGCCATCATAGGTTTTGATTCTCCTGACGACAGTAAACTTGCCAATAAAAGCGAAATTGTAGTGATCTGTATATCTCTTAGTGATTCACTGGCTCCTAGCCGGTAGGATCAACGAACATGGAAATGGCGATTGCTGTTAAAAGAATAATGTAAGAAATAGGAAGAAGCGGTTCATTTATTTGAAAAATAAAATTGTTCATAAACTGCCTTAAGTTTGTCAATCTTTGAAAAGAATATAAAACCAACACAGAAATTTTTGATGTAACTGATCTATTTTTAATGCTGAAATTATGCAATGAACGACTGTGGGAGAGGAGGGAGGAGGAGAAAATAGAATGGCTTATGCTTTTTGGAGCGCTTCCCAAGTGACTCTACCAAAAATTTTCATGGCCCGACAAGCCAGCTGAGCGTGTCCAAAAATGATGAGCGCTTTTAGAAAAAAGTTTTTTGTAATATTCAAAAATGGAGAGGCAAATAGATATATTCAATGAATTAAGGCTTTTCTTTCATTCTTCCAGAAATTTCATATTTCTTCATAAGTTTTCTTTATATTTCTCATATTTCGTAAAATTTTTCAAGTCGAAACATATTCCGATGAGGGGATGTGGAAAAAGATAAGGCAAGATATTTGGTGTAAAATGGCTAATAGTTACATAGTACGAGAAAACTGAAATCAATTTTATCTTTCCCGAAAGTTGCCAGTGAGCTCTCTTTTTGTCTTTATTATAGTTTGCTTAATTTTAAATTTGAAACTCCCATTCCCATCGGAATAGCTTGGGGCAGAATTCGCATTCTAATTAATTAATCTATGTTCACAAATTTTTTCAATCGTACCATATATCAGTTATTGAAATATTGTTAATATAAGCAAAACTTATAATTTTCCTTTTTTAGAAAAATATGAATGTAAAATTTTTATTTGAGGATTTTGGTAGAAACTATACTTATTTAATTTATTAGAATAGTGAAAAATTTTTGTTGCTTTGAAGTAGAGAAGTATGGATCACTAAATGAGATGGATTTTCACCCATTTTTATAGTAACAGATTCACTTACACCTGGAGATCTTGACCATTGGATGCTTTAAAGAATTATAAGAACTGCAGAAATTGGAGTTATATGGCTTTGAACATGGAGATGGTGGCTCGAATTGCCAATAATAAAAATAATAAAAAACTATTCCGCCTTCTCAAAGCAACTACAAGGAATGGTTAGTATGGGAAAGCAGTGGTTTGCCTGTTGAGAATATTAAGGATCACGTTTTAAGATGAAAGGAATTCCTTGATGCCAAATTTAACACGATACGCCCAGATTCATCTATTATCACAGATTCACTCGACATTCACAATTGCCAGAAAATTATCTCTTGTTGTCATCGAAAAGTTTAAAGCCAGCAAAACTCCTAAAGGCCAATAAAGTAAGAGGAAAAGTTGGCCTTCGAGCTTTTCAAGTATTATTCATCGTTCCTATATATCTACAAATTTCTGCGGTATAGAAGGAAGACACAATACCAGGTGAATGGAGGATTCTAATCCCAATTTCTAAGAAAGATGAAGGACGTAATTTGATAATTGACGAAGAATCAGCCTATTAGATATCTTCGGAGAAATTTTCGCTTTCCTCTTACTGAAAAGACTGTACGAGACCGCAAGATGCGCCCAAGCTGGATTCAGATCGCGACATGGTGACATGGTTGTGCTGACCAGATATTCACGTTAAGAAAGGTGTTGGAACATCACTTCAAATATCGACAGGCCATTGTCACGTGTATCTGTCTTCGATTCAATTGAAAGAGCAAAGCTTTGAAGGGTGATGGAATATGACGGTTTTCCAGAGAAGATCATTTGACTTACAAAGGGATTTTACTCCAGTATATCATGTTTACATGGGAAACTGATAGATTCTTTCGAAATAAAAACTGGTGCTCCTCAAGGTTGTGACCTTTTCTCTTTAGTACTCAACTATATGATAGATTCATTATCCGTGAACATCGCTCGTTATCATTCAAGAGGTGTACAAATTAGTCCAGAGAATCGTATCATATCTTGAATACGCTGATGATATAGTCCTTTTTCGCTAAAATTTATGACGACTGCAAATAATGCTAAACAATGTGTCTACAACTGTAGCGAGAATCGTGTACAATACAAATCTTTTCGTCTTATTTACATTTATTACGTTTATCTATCAAAAGCTGATAAACCTATTTTATTGCCTATTATAAACCTATAAACCTATTTGCTGACAATCCATTGAGGAGGTGCCAAGCTTTAATATCTTGGATATTCTAATTTCAAACTGTTAAGCGAAAGATGAAATTGCAATCTGGATAATGATAGCTATAAATGCGATCTTCTGGTTGGCAAATCGTAGCAAAATCAGTATAAAAACAAAAGGAAACGTCTATATAGCTGTAGTTCGCTGGATTTTGCTATATGGTTGGGAGACATGCCAAATGAGAGTGAAGGATATTAAGAAAGGATATTATCTTCCTTTGACCACTAATACATCTTATAGGTCCACTGAGCGGATAAAACTGCACATGATTGCATCCACTCTCGCTCAAATACCACTTGCATTAACAGCACCATTATAGAACATCGTCTTCGCTGGTTAGGGCACGTTCTTCGTCGTTCACCACATGAATTGACACGCTATTTGCTAAAGCCTGTGATGGATGCAAAGCGAGGAGGTCCAATGAAGATCAATGCAGCCAGGAAAGATTTTGAATGTATAGGAGAACCAGTATGCGGAATTAGACGATGGAAAAAGAAACGGCTTCTATTACTGCCAGCAAGCAAAAACAGAAAACAGTCTGGAGATGTCTCCCTTATAGCCAGCGCAGAGCCTGGCCAGTAATGGCGAGGCTGTTGGAAGAAGTCTCCACGTGATTATCTAAACAACAGCCAACACTATTCTCTTTTAGATTCGATGGATTAGGGAATGAAAGCAGAGATAAGAAAATTTTTCATGGTCATCTTTATAGGACAAATTTGTTAGCTTCTAGGATGAATTATTTTTCTGATAGCTCGAATGAAGCCAGAATTTAGTAGCTTGAATAATACAATTTTTTCATCATTATGCGGCAGTTTAGCAATTTGATTTAATTAAGCATTTTGGTGTTAACTACTCGAATTCATTCGAACTTTCTGGCAACTATATTTAAAAGATTTTTAGGATTTATCGCGCGACTTTTTAATCGCCTATTCCCTACTATGGTGCGACTTTGTAGTCGCTCGAATGTTTAAATTTTCATATTAGACAAGAAAAGGACCATTGCCCACTTTTAAAGTATTACCAATTTCAATTAATGCTGGTGCCGCCGTTACTCCACACTTTTATTATCTTAAACAATAGAGAATGGCGGTATATTCTTTAAAGGAAGCCGACTATTAGTAACTTGAAGCTATTTTTCAGCTTTAACATCAGCTTTTAAATTTTTTAGCAGTTTTTTTCTTGAGGAAAAAAGAAAGGAATTAACTAATTGCAGTTCACGGTTCACCGGTTTCGTTGTCGTCACAGTCGCGAGCATTAACGAACGATAGTAATAATCGCAACCAATCGCCAATGCGATCGCTAACCAGTGCTTCGGGTGGTTTATATATAAGTGCACCTGGAAAAATTATTTTATTCGGCGAACATGCCGTCGTTTATGGAAGGGTTTGTTTTCTTTTCATATTATTGGTTTTATTGGTTAAGCGATGCAGCTGCAGTCGCTTATTGTTGTAATGGTGCAATGTAAACGCGGGCGGGGGACAGTATGGAGATCGCGGAGAGAACGCGGAGTGCCGATCGCTTCCAATTATCGTAGGTGCAGTTCCTGTCCACTGACACGAGTAAATCTGTTGTTAAATGCACTTACGCACCCATTCGTACTTCGTATTTGTCGTGTCGCCCAAGTAATTTTTTAGCTTCCATTCTAGTAAGAAACAAAATCAGCCAAAGAAAATTGATGAGCGAGAAATCAGGCATTGACCAGAATCTTTTATCTATTTTTAATTAATTATCAAGTCCTTTTATCATAAAAATGCTTTTTAAAGTCGTACTACGCAGTTGTCGTTGTCGCAACTTAAAATTTTTTTATTGAATTTTCACTTGGAAACTAAATTTTTTGTTTGTGAATTTTGCTGATTTTAGCACTTTTTGGTGTCATTATATAGCATCAAATGTGATGGGACAACTCATGTTTCTTTCTTTTCTTTCTGTCTTCTCTTCCCTTTTCCTTTGCTGCTTCATCTCCCCCATCGTCGAATTTTATTTCTTCGTGTAATCCGTTTCATAACTGTGTTGTCTTACAAAACATCTCTGTGCTCTTCGGTTATCACGGTATAAGACAGCAAATCATGGGTCTTCCTTTATTCATAGATCCTTTCCAAAATTTTACAGATTTATTTATAGCAAAGCTTTCAGACGGCAATCGCCGGTTCAGTAGATCTTCGAACTTATGCTAGTTTATTCACATCGGCTGATGGTAGGATATATTTGTCGTTGCCAGATATTGGCGTTGAAAAGACTTGGCTTCTCAAAGAACTTTTAAAAGCTGGAGAACGTCTTGCTGGTTTGTTATTATTATCTTGTTATTTTTATTATCCTATCCTTTCTCTTTTATTAATTTTTCAATGGGATGAATTTTCGATTGTTCTACTGGACTTTTTTTTTTTATAAGGTATTGTACTGAAAAATTTGCTTTATTTCCCTTTTTACCTAGTTTTATATTTATTTTGAGTTTTATATTTATTTTGTAGGTATTTGCAATATTTTATTTATATTTGTTTAGCGAGAATTCTATGCACTTTGGTTTGAAGCATTAATTCTGAAATCTGCTGTGATTATTTCTAGTTTAATGACAATATTTTTTATAAATTTTAGAGTATCCATATGAAGATGATTCGCCGCCTTCATTGGAAGTTTTAGTGCCTATTGCTAGAAAATTGAGTGGTTCTTGTGAAGATCAATATGGTGTTCAACATTTAGCAATTTTAGCTTTTTGGTATTTATTACTTGGAGTTGTTCAAAGGAAAAGGTTATTTTTTAAATTATCATTCCCGAAGTTTGCAAGGATTTTCTATTTCCAAAAAATTTTTCACTTTTTTAAAGCAGGGATAATTCTGGCAAGTTATAGTAAAAACAACAGGAAATTCTTAGCCAATTTCCATTAAATATGAATATAAAAAATTGATATTTTTTTGCAGGAATTTACTTGCAGTAAAGATGACTGTACGGTTCAAACTTCCTTCATGTGTCGGGCTTGGTTCGTCAGGTTGTTTTCAATTTTATTCATCATGTTTTTTGTTACTGTGATTAGATAAGATCGTAATTATTTTATATTAGTTTAGGGGCCTATTGTGTTTGCATTGCCACAGCTTTGCTTCAGTCTTCTGGTATAATTCCAGCTCCTTCAATTACAGTGAGTTTGTTTTCTAAAGAATTAAAATATTTAATAATTAAGGTTTTGAATTATTCTATTAGCTATTCGATATATAAATGAATGAGGGAATATGTTGCAAAATCAAGCGATTTTTCCAAAATTCGATTTAAATTTCAATAGCTCTGGTTCGTATTTTTTTAATGAAAATTTTTGAAAATGATTGAGATATTAATTTATCTCGAATTTATTTATAAGCTTTCTTTAAAGAAAGGTTAAAGCCATTTTGTTAAATAAGAAAAATGAAAAGATTGGAAATAAATAGGCAGATGATGAGGGTTCATTAACTTGGGATGATCAACATTTGGATATGATAAGGAAATGGTCAGCAGCAGCTGAATCATTGATTCATGGTCGAGCTTCAGGTCTTGATGCTGCGGTTTGCACATATGGCATGTTTTCTATCTAATTTTATATTTATTGTTTATTGGACTATTTATTTTTATTTTTGCTAAATTCAAAGTCAAAGTCTATGGCTTTTTGATTTGATTTGTTTCATAAAAAATTTATCGCATCTAAAATTTTTTTCCTTTTTTATATTTTTGCTTCATTTATTAACACATTTAAATTAATTTTCTTCATATTTCCAGTATTAATAAGATTTCTTAAAGATGAAACACATGCTATAAGTCTTATTGACAAAAAACTAGGAAATTGCAGGTTTACTTTTTACATTCAAATCATTTAAGAATTAATTTTTTAAATAAATATTTCAGGTGGTGTCGCATGTTTCAAGCCAGGAACTCAAATTCAACATTTAAGAAAGTAATTTTTGATTATTTTTTGATTTGTTTGTTATATCTTTCTGCAAACTTGAATAGTATCACGCGTATAACATAGAAACAAATCGAAATCTTTTCAATTCTTGTTTTTTGTTATGTTCAGATTTAATACTAATAATTTGTAACTAAGTGAACATTTGACAATGCGTCTGGTTATAACATAAACTTTCCTGTTATTGTGTTAATTGTTGCAAAGTTTTTTTAATTCTTTGAATTAGTTTATTTCTTTTTCAGTCTTCCTTATCTAAGGGTAATTCTTGTTAACTCAAAAGTCGAAAGAAATACGTTTAGAATGGTACAAACAGTAAAGGAACGTTTGAAAAAAGTAAACTTGTTAACTTATTACCCTTAATTTGCATTCGAATTTTTATAAGAAAATTTTTAAATTTTCAGAATCTTTTAATCATTTTTCAAACTCAACATTTTAATATTATGATTATAGTTCCCCGACGTAATCGAATCGATTTTTAATTCGATAGATGCAATCTCACATGATGCAACAAAAATCTTAAACCGTTCTGGTGAAGAAAATGGCGATCCTGAAAAATTAGTTAATGGTGGTAGTGGTCGATCATCTGGCGAACCATGCTCAGATAACGACCATAATTCGCTGCAGGTAATTTTTATATGTTCGTTATAATGGTATTCTTTTTCGAGTAGATCGTAGCCACATTTAAAAATAGAATAATTATGATAAATTTTGGAATTGTACTATGTTGGAATTCAGCATATCGATGATTAATATATATTTAATTATAAATGCTTATTTATTTGTTAGAGCACAATATTTCTGGTTACTTTGATTTCTGAAGCAGGTCACTTTTGGACTTTTTGGTTTTTTCACTAAAATTTGAGAGAACTTTATCGTGATTAGGTAGTAGCGTTCCATAAACACAGACTCAAAAAATTTTTTGTAGATTTGGCATTTCTTTTTGTCGAAAGAAATACATTATTTATTTAGTATAACATATTTAAATTTTTACTAGTGAATTAGTATAAAATTCAAATCGTTTATATGTTTTGCCGATTTTCTTAACTTTTATTTTACTTATAGGATATGAAACGTAGGTTGAAATACGAATTCTTAAATGTAAGCTGTCAGCATGAATTTTTGGTTTGCATCTTTTTTAAATGATAAATAGTTATGCTAATATTTTTTTCTTCAAAGAAATTGGTCGCATGTTGTAATTCAATTTAATCGGTTAAAGTAAATTACTTTGGAAAAAAAAGAAACCTAGCGAGTGGAAACCCTTTATATTGTTTTTTATTAATTTTTTCCCAAATTTCTCTTTTATTTAAGCAATTTAAATATCCTAGGTTTAAGAAATTTTTACTTCTTTATTTGTACATTGTTTATAGATTTTAAGAAAAAATTGGATTATTCAGTCAGTTTTAAATTTTGAAAACTACTTTTTTTTTATGCATGGATTTTTTTTTTATTGTGAAACGCTTTATTTTCCACAATTTTACAAATTTATATCTTTTTCATTCCTTTTTTTCATTTTAAAATTTTTCAATTTTCTAATTTTTCAAAAAATTGTCAGTGAAAAATTGTCTAAATTTTCATTAAGATTTCATTTGTTGTTCTATTCATATATCATAGAATGATAGGATGTGGCGAATAATGAACTGTAGATTTTTAAATATCTGAAAATTGAATTGACTTTTTCTAAAAAAAAATTTCTAGGAATCAGAAAATTATTCAATCTAAATAATGACAAAATTTCAAAAAATATTTTCAGAAATTTCAGCTAATTTTAAGTATAAGAATACATGCGAATTGTAAGCGTTACTATTAGTGAATTATTAGTAAATCAATGTCAATTTATAGTCAAATATATTTGAACCTTTTTCATCGAGGAAAGTTTGGAAATCCAACAATTTCTAGGTTTCTGTACCGCATGCAATTGGTATGTTAAGAAAATAATAAACTTCTACCGATGAATGGTACCAGTATATCTAATCTACTTATAATCCTAGAATCATAGAAATTTTTCATAGAATAATTATAGAAATCATAGAATCATAGAAAAAGTTAGAGGATGTAAATAATTTGATTTCAATTTTTGAATATTTTTGAGGTGAAAGCACTTAAACCATGGAGTGGAATGTTATATCTTCAATCATTTTTTAGGCTGTAAAAAGTTTTATATAATTGTTTCTAACATTCCGAGTAATTTTACTGCTTTTTGACTCACTTGTCATTTTTTTATTTCAGAATTCCTAACGAAAATGATTTTTAAAGTTAATTTTAATTAACAATTATAATAATTGATAGCTTTAATTGAGTTATGTAATCAAGTCATAACCAACTTGACTAAAATAAAATTTAGTGAAAAAATGAGGATATGTTGTGTTCGTGTGTTGCAGCCAGGGTTGCACCAACAAAATACAACAATGACGATCGGAGGCAAACAATCACCGAATTTCACGTCTTATTCGGCTGGAGGAAAGCGTAGTAGCAATGAATCGGCAGCTAGCGGTACATCACTTGGTTGCGTTACTCCTGAAAAAGTTGAAAAGGGTGAACTGGTCGACACTTACGCCAAATTAAATGTAAGAGCTTCATAAAATAGTTTAGTATTAGTTTGCCTCAAAAAAACTTTTATAATTATTCGTTTTCTATTGGTGAAGTAATTGGCGACCAAATGCAATAATCGAACTGCAAAGACAAATTGTCGGTTTTTTGGTGGATCAAAATATGGTTGCTTATTGATCCTCCACTTTCTTTTTTCACTGTCACTTTTTTGCCCAGTCGTCCATTTATCGCATAATTACTTGGTGCCTTAGGAAAGGCCTTTGTTATTTAGCTATCTGTCGACATAACGAAATAATTTCAAATTCATCTTCTATTTGTTAAAATCGGATTGGTAAGCCAAAAGATTCCTACATTGGGAAAAAAGTTCAAAAAAAAAACTTTAGAAACCATTTGGCTTCATAATCTATTCATAAACTTCATTTTTCCCTATTCAAACCAAGCTTTCGATATTTTTTCATGTTTTTGTCACTAACATAATGGATGATTTCTTTTCAAATTGTTTAATTTCTGTCCGTTTTTTTTTAAAAGTAAAATGGTTTTTTTACAAAACCATTTTACTTTTGGATTGAATCGCATATTATCTTTTTTTTGCCTAAATTTTTAGTAAATTTTTAGTAAAGTTTTAGAAATATTGCTTTTCCGAAAATTTAAATCATTAGTGAAATCTTATTATGTGTGGGAAGGGGAAATGGCTTGAATGAAAATAATTTTCGTGTTCAATTCCTACAATGTTTGTGATATAGTACCATTGTAGCCGAATTTTCACTGCATTGAAAACTGCGTTGAAATAATGGTTTTCTTCCATAACCTTTTTTTTAAAAGCATGCTGTCGTAAGCTTAGAGTGTTTGGCTTAAAAATTTATTCTTTACATTAGAATATTGATAGCAAAAAACTTTTAAAAAACCGTTGCATCTCATATGAAAATGAAAATTTTGTAAGATAAAATTGTGCTATTGATCTATAGAACGTAAAACTTTCTTTTATTCGATTTTTATCGCAAAATTTTTATTATAAGAAAAGAGGTTTAGCGAATTTCGAAAATAGAATGAAGCATAATTTGGCAAAAAACTGGATTTTAACATAATAACAGATAAGTGATCGGAAGGTCTTATTTTCTTAAATTTTTCGTTATAAGGTTGTTGATTTATTATTTTTTGTTTTTATTTGCGAAATGTATTCAAATAAGGCAAATTGGATTTTATTTTTGCGTTTCATGGTTTTACAAGATGGCTGCTGTACCTTGGTTTATTAAAAATTGTCGTCATCTATATTGTCGCTTTATTCCGTTTCATTTTTTTATTTTAATTTTACAGAGGTTAGGGATTTCGATTACCGGAGATAATGAAATTATTTTTTTTAACTTTTGGTTTTATTTCCAGGATTTATGCCGTATCAACAACCAGTTGTTAATTGCACTGGGAGTTGGTCATCCAAAGATTGATCAAATCTGTACATTACTCGCACGTTACGGTATTCATCCTAAGATGACAGGTGCTGGTGGTGGTGGAAGTGTCTTTGCATTTTTGAAACCAGGTTGTTAAATTTCAATAGTTTCTAGCGAAAAGTTTTGGAACTTTTGTCCATTTGAACTCCATATAATTTTTTTTGCCAAATTTTTTTTGCTAAAATTAGTCGAAAGAAATTGAAATTCTATCTCCCATGGATTAACAATATTGTAATAATGCTGAAAATCATATAGCTGCTTTTCGAAAAAAGGTTTTTTTAAGTTATTTTTATTGTTACATTGTTTCCGAATATATTTTGTGTTAGAAAATTTCGCAATTGTTGTAGTATTTCGATGCACTTTCCAGATACATCGACAACTGTCTTGTCAATGATAAAGAATGAATTGACAAAGTTGGATTATGAAGTATGGCAGCCTCCACTTGGTGGGCCAGGAGTGATATGTCATGTAAATAAGCCCGATCTTTTTAATACTCCAAATTCAGCAGCGACTACTCCACATGTTACAATTACTAATTCGCCCCAATCAACGCCATCATCGACAGCTCATCGACATAAAAAATGATTTTTTTTATCTTATTATTTATCATTATTATGCATTTCTTTTAACTCTTTATTTAATTTCTAAAATTTTTTTGTTGAATTTTTTACGGAATTTTTGATCTACGGGCTAGGAAATTGCGTTTCCAGTTTTGCTGATAAACAGGAATTATTATATTTTTTTCATTAATTAGTTTTAAAATGTTTATTCGCAAAATTCTTTTAACTGCTTTTATTAATTTGAATATCCATTAGGCAAGCTTTAACCTTATGTGCTACATGCAACAGCTTGTAGATGGAAAAAAAGCTACAAAAATTTATATTATACCTCTAAAAAATTTTCAAATATTAAAGTTCAATCGCTTTTTTCATCCTTCTTGTAAGACAGCTTATTCTTAAAATTGACTTTTCTTTGAATAGATTTCAGTTCGATGGTCTTCTTTATCATCTTTTGCTAAAAAATTTGCTGAAATTTTAAGGTGTCGAGTACAATATCGTTGTATTTGCTAAATTGTGACTTATTTATTTAAGAACTATGTTGTGAAATGGGCTAATAATTGCTTGGAAAGTAATGCAATTTCTTTGTGATATTGGTGCAAATTGTTCAAATTATTTTTTTTAATGTTCGCTTTGGTTATTTCTACTAAAAATAAATCGCTAGAATAGTGGTAATATTATGGATTACTTTATTTGATATCCTAGTACTATTATAATATTTTAAGTGGGATTTTGGACTAATAACCGTGGATAGCTTATTTTTTAACCATATTTATCATAAGATTATGGTCTATCATCTAATAAGTTACTTTTTAGTTGATATGTCTACAACATTTTTAAAGATGAATAATGACAGGTCAAAATCTAAAGATGCACCATGATAGATGAGAAAAGCTAAGCGCGATAGGTCCAAATCCGCCATTAAAAAATTAATAATTACTCAATTACGATAAGTATTTCTGTTTCGGGTTGATTATTAGATTTTCCTTGCTAGATTTGTTCGTTCTTGTTGTTTTCTTACCTTTTGTTTCCATTTTTTTGCAGTAGCGATGTAAAGTAAAATTGGTTCGTTTATGTTCCTAAATTGTTATCACAGCTTGATCCAGTTTGTTTTAGCCTTGTGTGAATTATTTAGCTAAAAATTGTTTAGTTCGTCGATATTTATACCAAATGATTAATGTATTTCCACTTGCAAGTGGTTCTGTGTCTTTCTAAATTTTCTGGAAAGAGCAATAATGACATTTTTATTTTGCAAGTGTCGAAGCATTTAACGGTAATTTTAGATAAACATTTTCCATTATTTGTTAAAGAAATTAAAGGACTTTTGATTTTTGCCAAAATTACTGAAAAAATCAATTGATATGGCGTATTTATTGGTGCCAATTTCACCACGTTTACATTCTATCGAAAAAAGTTAGTGGGAGTAGTTGTGAATCCTGAATTTTGACATGGGCACTAAGGTAAAATTATTTCGGGTTTTATTTAATTCGAATGGAGTTCTCTTCTCTGAACTAAGAATAACAATGATGGTAATTCGAAAATTAAATTTGGCGAGCGGTCGTTTCGAGAAAATTTTGTCGATTTATTTTGTTTTCTTTGTGAATTATTTTTTAATTTCTGATAAGAATTTAGCCAAGTTGTCTGAAACTTTTGGATTCTTTTCCAAACAGAAGATAAATTATACATTAAATCAATTACAAATCATAAAAGTTATAAAAAACTATAAAATAAATTATATAATTATATATAATATATATATATAATATATAATTATATATATTCTGTATATATATATAATATATATAATTCTATATTATATATATAATTTATATATATATATATAAATTTTCTAGTTTATTTTTCGTCCTTAATTTTTTTTCATATATTTGTCTTTTACAGGAAGAAACCTGTGCGAAATCCGGGTGATGCTGGCGACTCACCCACTTCTATCGCCAAGGGATTCCCTGGCATATTTGTCCAGTGGGACAAGTCAGGAGCGAGTCTAACCGTGAGGACTCTTAAAAAAAGCCATGGTAACGGAAATCCAGGTGGTTGCTGAGGACTGACCTGTAATTATGTTCCGAAGTGGCTCTGTGGTGAAAGAGTCAGGTTTTGTTGATACGACGTCTCATGGAATTCTCAGCTCGGTGGTACATGCGATAAATATGCAATATCCGGGCGTAGTCGCGTAGTCAAAGGCTTAAGAATATGATCTGCTCGCGAACCACAATAACTGTTCGAAACCTGTCAAGAAAAACGGTTCTACATGTACGGCGAGGTTTTTGCAGTAGCAGTATGGAACGTCAAAACGGTTAATGGACGTCGCAAGCAAGTGGTCATTGTTCACATTCTTTCTAAATATCGTGTGAATATCGTCTACTTGTCGGAGATCGTACATCAGGTCTTGTGCAATTATCAAACCTGGTTCTGGGCGGAGATACTGGTTATATCGTTGTATTCGGATAACTCGAGGTGAAATGGCATAGCGATTGTTATACCTGAAAAAGTTCGCTATAATTGAGTAGTAGCCGATAAACGACCGCAAGACTTGCTTCGAAGGGAAATTCTGCAATATTTCGGTGTATATGCTCCAACTTTATGCGCAGGTGACGCACGATACCGATAAGTTCCACGCGGAAATCCAGCTGTTAACAATATCTTTAGGAAACATGGCGTTATAATCGAAAACTGGGATGCGCGCATAGGTCATGATGTTGATTCTGCTTTCTATCTCGTAAGCAGTGGAAAGCTGCGCCACTGGCATTTTTCGTTAAATTTATCATTGAAAATTTAAATAGTCAAGAAAAAAGGAAATTTTCTAAATTTTTTACATTTATATTAAAATAATAAAATAATGGACATTTAAAAAAATAAAAGGTTATTAGAAATTCACGTTTTATGCAATTTATTCGATCAAAAAAGAATCTGTGTTAACGTGGAGGAACGTTTTTTTGTAGTAAAGTGGGAGGAAGCAACAAATTCGAGGTCCTCGACTTAATTGAATGGTTTTTTGTTGGGTTTCATCTTTGGCAAATCTTTTTCTACGAACATCGACAATTTCTGATTTGGTCGCTTTCAGTAATTACTTTCCACTTTACTTTACTAAAGAGTCACTGGGAGTCAGTCAGATGGATCTTTTGCTTCATTCGAATTTTGCTTTTCGAGAGATTTCGCACTTTTCAAAGAAACCATTTGAATGTAATATTATGAAAAAGATTCGGATTCGTTTGTTTCATTTTTATGTATTCATAACAATAAATACATTAGGACTAAAATGGCTCAGCGGCTTATTACTGCCATTTCGGAGTTGCGATAATATTCATTCTATAATATTCATAATAGGATGGTTCTATTTGTCTGTGTAATTCCATTTCCAAATGAATCTTTGCAGCAGTAAATGGACCCCACAAAACCATGGAATCCCATAAATTGAAAACATTGTATATCTTATTCAATTTACCGTCAGCACTGGACAGCGTTGAAGTCGGATAAAAAGATTACCGCTTTCACTGGACTCTTTGCAGCTCAACAACAGTCGACTTCGCACTTCATCCACCCGTTTACTAAATGAGCTAAAAATTGTTGCGGCCGAATAATAAAACTGGTTTAACTCAGATCATTTCATAGAAAAAATTTCCTTTGCCGCACAAAGTATACATTAACCTTTACAATTATTTAACTCATTCTAATATCTCTTACCTTTCTGTTGATTCTTCAATGTACGTATGGTTTTTCAGCCAAAGATATTTTTAGCTGATAGATTTCACAAGGGTTAGGTCTCAAGACGATTGTATTTGCGACTGTATGTATTTGAGGGACTGTTCAACTTAAATTCTCGGCTAGATCGTTGTCGATGAGTGAATTTCCAGTTTATTTAGAGATTGTCTTGTTTTTATTGGCCACAGAAGGATTTATCTGTGAAAAATAATTAATATGTCAACGTCATGTTTACGACCACGTGCTGTGGACTTTCATTCAGTATGGCCCCGAATTGAACGAAGTATTATGGCAATAATGAGGCTTGAAAAATTGGATCGTCGAGTATGGGATGATAACTTTTAGTTAGTTTCTTTAGCTTTACCATTTTATTTATTAAGTAGATAGAATGATTGTGTGGATGCATTTTGCCCAGTGGCTCTCTGGGGAAAGGGTTTAGCAATCCACAGAGAGAGCCAAATCAGAAATAATTTAATGCTATTAGAAAAGGAAAGCAACTTTATATATATATATGTAAAGCGATTTAATGCGAAATGAAACTCCGTTTCAGTGACATTTATTTGTTGTGTATCGCGGTCCCCGAAACACTTGCTCATCAGTTATATCAGAGTCTAAAAAATTGCCTCGTAAGGCATGTTCGTGGATTGCAACAGGTATATATATTAAAGGCTTTTATAAAATTATGTCACGTTTCATTTGAGGAGGAATAGGTTGAATAGATCATTGATAAGAAAATGTGAGAAGATATAGGAAAAAGCTTCCTGAAACGTATTGAAAATTTAAAAGAATTATAATAAAACTGTAGTTATACGTGAAATTATTGGAACTTATTGCGGTTGATGCATAAGCTGATCAAAATTAGTTAATTTAGTTGCTTCGTGCAGTACCTGATGAAGGTTTGTTGCAAGAGTATTGTGGTATGTGGAAAATATATTATGAAGCTTCAGGACGCATACACAGTCTTTTCGGGTAAGTTCCAGCACGTTCGTTTTAAATTTTTAATTTTGGTAATTATATCAGTTTAATCATTAAATATTTTTGAATTTTTTTACTCACTGAAGCATATATAAGTTTATCATGAAACTTTTTTTTGATTGATTTCTCAATTTGATTGAAGAACGATAGACCATTTTTAAATATTGCTATAAGTAAATATTATTATCCGACGATTTTATTTCTTATATGTTTGTTTGCTTCTTCTTAAGTCTTGTTGTTTTTCAAAAATCATTTCGTCATTCTTACGAAAAGAAATTGTGAAAAAAAAAGAAATGAAAATGTTTTTTTCATTCTTTCGTTTCGAACTTGTTATTTCTTCCGGTTTTGTGCAAAATGCTGATTTTTTTTTCAAACGGAACGGTTTGAGATTTCATCGTTTTTTAATTGAGGTATCTTAATAGACAGCATGTAGCTGCTAATTATCGATCAGATCTGCACCCTGTGCCTGAATTGGAAGAAATTGAACCAAATATGAAAGAAGTTGGTCATGTAAGCTTTTTTTCATTTTAAAAGTGTTCTTGAAGTCTTAGTACCTTTACAAATGCCTTTTATTTCTAGCTAAAATTTAGCTAAAATGTTTTGCAGTTGGCTTTAGAAATATGGTTGCTTGAATTGTTATATCCGCTTGGTGAAAGAATCATAAAACAGTTATTGTATGTGGTTGAAGATGAACGAAAGCGAATTACGTCTGTACCACCAAAAGAATTAATTGATACCGTTCATTCTTTTATTGAGGTTAAAGTTGACCTAAATTCTTATTTTAAAAAAATAGGTCCATATTTCCTATTCTTATCTCGCCCCATGTGCAGAATTTCATATTATTAAATAAATGCATATTCTATTTATAGTTAGATAGTGCTCGTTATTTAACAAAAGTTGAACATGATAGAACTTGCGAAGCGTATTATACTTTATTTGAACCAGCATATTTGGCAGCTACGAAGGAATACTATAAAACATTATCGATAAAGATGGTTTCTGAACTTTCGATAACAGATTACATTGCTAATGTAATTTTTTAATTTACTTGTTCAAATTTGAATGCAAAAATTTTAAAATCTTTTGTAACTTTATTTTTATTATTTTTATTTTTTAACTCTATTTTTTCGTAAAGGTTCGTAAATTGATTGATGCGGAGGAATCGCGTGCGAAGGCTTTTTTACACAAATGCACTTTGGATGCAAATATTTTATCTTGTTATGCCGAAGTAGTTGAAACTCATAAAGATGCGCTTTTATCAATTAGTAATGAATATATAAAGGACGAAAAAATAAAAGGTCATATAAATTTTTGAGAATTGAAAAATCTTTCAACTGTTTTCTGCTTATTAGTTTTTAGCAATTTTGGCTTCAGTTTTTCAGGCAGAATAAAAGTAAAAAAAATCAGAAAAATTTTCAGATCTTCAAACACTTTATTCGTTATTAAAGCCTTTACCTAAATGCTTGAATATTTTGGTTTCGGAATTTGAAAAATATGTAAAGAATGTTGGCCATGAAGCTATAGATAATCTAGCTGGTGAAAATTTGCCCCAGCAATTCTTTGATATCATTTTACAGGTTTCTATATTTTTTTCGGACTTTCCATAGTTTAGTTCTTACAATACATTTTTTTCGTGACATTTTTAAACTAAATTGAAAATTGATTGAATATTTGCTAGAATATTTTAAAACACTTTTTCTTTTTACATTTTTTTCATACAAAGTAATTTTAGATTTTCAATCGATTTCGAAATTTGTTAACCAATGTTTTCAATGATGATGGCGAATTTACCAATGCACTTGATAAGGTTTTTGTGAATTCTTTTCTTTCCGTTTCTTTTCAATTTCTTATTTTCATTTCTTCATTTTCACTTTCTTTTTTGGCGGATTAATGACTCTAATATTACCGAAATTTTCTGCCAAAAGTTTGGTTATTACTATAAATTTTTATTTTCCATCATCATTTTAATCATTACCATGATGATATTCATACAAATGATATTTATTGTATATGAAAGAAAAAAAGCAATTTCGGTGCAGAATCACTAGAAATGTTTTGCAATTTTTCATCCTTTTTATGCCGTTATGCTTATTTTAGGCGTTGCATGCAATTGTTAATCATCGTGGCAAACAAAGTGAAGTTCCTAAAGCGGCAGAACTGGTTTTTTTAAAAAATATTTTCTTAAAATTTATTTGCCAATTTTTTTCATTTTTCAGCCTGCAAAAACGTTTAATACTTATCTAAAAATACTATCCATACGTTTTCTTTTATCTGTAAAATTTGCTATTTGCTGAACCTTCGATTTTTTAGCTTGCCAAATTCATTGATAATCTATTCCGCAAATTAGCTAGGATAGAAGCAAACACAGATCAGATACTGGAAAATTGCATTGTTGTCTTCAGATATATCGATGAAAAGGATATTTTTCAACGGGTAATCGAAAATTGCTAAAGAATTTCCACTTTCATGAATGAATAAATATTAAGTAATATATATTGTTTATATACTTTTTACATGTAAAAGTAAAATTTTATTGACAAATCTGTTCAATTAAAATAAATGATTAAATTTATATTCAAATAATAATTAAATGTAAAATTATTCATACTTAAAAAAAAGAAATGTGGTTGAGATGCAGTCAATGTTGATATCTGAAAATATTTCATTTATTGATAAAATTTTTTAATCGGTTTTTGGATAGGCTCTTTTTTTCATTTTCATTTCTGATTTTTTTTCTCTTATGTCAGTGGAGAATTACTTTATTTTAATGTTATTCTGTTAAAATCCTCCTTTTCTTTCACCCTCTTATCACATGTTAGCAGAGTGTCTAAAGATGTTGGTTAAACGTATCGTTTTTCGTAAATTTTTCTTTCTTTATAGAATTTTTTTTCTGTCTCGTTATTATAATATAATGGGATATTGTTTGAATGTTGAAGTATATTTGATATATTTGAAAATTCTTTTGTAACAAACGGAAAAATAACTAAAATTAGGTAGTATTAAACACAATTAGTGTTAAAGTCTTGAACATATATTATAATTTTATTTATTCATTATTTTCCAGTTCATTTTTCAGTATTACCAAAGAATGTTATCAAATCGACTCATATATCACATATCATGCATGGATATTGAACAATCGATGATTAATAGGCTCAGGGTTTATTTTTTTATTTTTTTATTCGTTAATTCGTTAATTTTTGTACCATTTCTTTTTTGTTTTATCATTATTGTTCTTTGATTTCTTATTTGAATTCTTCAGAAAGCATGTGGCTATGAATTTACAAGTAAAATATCGAGAATGTACACTGATATGGGTTCAAGTAAGGATCTGACTAATAAATTTATTCAGGTATTTTTTCTATACTTTGGTTTTTAAAGCCCATTCTTTGACTTCTCTCTTTTCGAAAGAAATAGATAACCGGAAAAAATTTGAGAAACGATAAAAGATATCAGATTTATTTTTGAATATTTCGTGAAAAAGTCTTCGTAATTTGATCAATCTTCATGTTTATAATTATTGGATTGGTTCTATGCATTGTATTTATGACTAGTTAATACCAAGTTTTTTTATCGCGAAATTTTTTTGGCTCTCATTTCGTTTAAAAATAATGGCCTTTTTCCTTTTCTAAAAATTGAAATTAATCTTGCCTACCGCAGCAGAATAGTGGGATAACGTGATGGTAATGACTTCTAGTATAATTCTGTTTTAGTTCGATTTACACGAGCCATTATGTATATAGGACACAAAATTTTTTAAAGTTTTAGTTTTCTTTAGCATTTTCTTTTTTTTTTGATGGGTTGGTTTAAAGGAATAGTTCTTTTTCATTTCTGGATAGAGCAGCTTTGCTGTCTTATCGGATCAGAAAAATTATTACCACAATCCGAACACGAGTTTTTTCCCTTCTGTGCCCCAATATTAGCACTCCTAAATGCGATCAATATGCTACTGATATATCCATTTTTTGCAGCACATTAAGGCAAATAAAATTGAACTTCACGTTCCTCTTTCTGTATCGATTTTGCAAAGTGGTATGTGGCCATTTGCTGTAGTATCTTTGAAAGATGGTTGGTGTTCGTAATTGATTTTCATTATTTATATTTTACTATATTAATGATCAAATCACCGAATCATTTGATTGAAAAATCATTTTTATTTGATTGAAAAATCTTATTCTAATTCTTTTTAATATTTTAAATCAGATCGAAATTTTTGAATTCGTTGCATTTAGATCTGTTAATTAACTCCTGACATCCAACATTTGTTCCTCTTTGATTTTTGATTATTTTGAGATTCGCCAACAACTTCAACTTCTTTTAATTTACCAAAAGTTTTAACACAATCTCTTGCAAGATTTGAGGATTTTTATTTGCAAAAGTATAATGGGCGAAAGTTAACGTGGTATTATAATTTAAGCACAGGTTGGTTTCTTTATTCTTTATCTCCTAGCTTTCAAAAATTATTCGATGTAAACGGATTTGAGCTGAATTTTAGAAAAAAGAAAAGAATTTGTATGAAATAAATAATTAAAATATAAAATTGTTAAATAAATAATAACAAAAATTGCATAAAAATTATATCTAGATATTAAAAAACTATAAATTATAAAATAAACTTTAAAATAAACTTCGCATTTTCTTCGCATTTTTACAGTTACCAATGGTAAAATATATGCTGCAAAAAAAGTTTGAATTTTTCAGATTTTAGAAATATTTGAAATGAATTGAGTTGAAGACTGAATTGAAAATAATATCTATATATATTTATAGTATGTTATATCTTTCCATCAGAAATTAGCACTAGTGGTATACACAGTGATAGAAACGTCAGGAAGAGGGAATATGAGAAGTTAGAGAAAAAAACCAAGAAATACCTGGAAGAGAAACTAGAGAAGATGTGGAAAATAAGGGCCATTGTAATTCAAGCAGAGCTTGCAATTGTGATCCCTTAACTAGAAAAATAGCTTTAGCAGATTCCAGGAATAACATTAGAGATCTTTGTCATGATACTGCAGAGCTCTTAATCTCCCAGAAAGATTCGAGATTGAGGATGATTATGACCATCCACAGGGTGTGAGAAAAAACAATGAAATTTTTGATGGTTGAAAATGAAATTTTCCCTATTTTTTCAGTGGATATGCGACTGAATTGTTTCCATAAACCGTATTTCACAACTATTAATGCTCATCAGTGCGCAGTTTTACTATGTTTCGAAAAAGAAGATGCACTAAAAATGAAAAAAATCCAGGAAAGTATTGGGTTACAGAATGAATTGCTTGTTAGAACAATTCGTACATTGTTTGAGAGCGGTTTATTCACATGCTTGACTGAGGTTATATTTTTTGCAAATGGTCAACCGATGTCTATAAATTTTTATTTCAAGACATAAATGCAAATACAGGTTGATAATTGGGATGAAGATACCGAGTTTGCTCTGAATTTCGATCTAAAGTCGAGACGGGCTCGAATCAAAATTCCTATGCCACAAACTTACCGTCAGGTGCTTTTTTTCTTAAAATTTTACGATTTTTTTTCACTGAATGAAAAGTTATCATTTATTCGTGTCTAAGGAAAAATAAATTTAAGCCAGAAAGAGAGAAAGAAATGGAATTAAATACCATACAACTGGACAGGAAATATTTTATGGAATGTGTGATCGTCCGAGTAATGAAGGAACGCAAAGTTCTTCAACATACCCAGTTAGTTCAAGAAGTGAGTTCTCATAAGCTTGGAATCACATTCACATTGCCTTATTTGCTGGCTAATTACAAAATCCCGATATTCAATGAATTTCAGCGGATCGTAAATAACCTATTCCAGGCCGTTGGTTAAATTCTTTTTCATCAAGTCATTTAATCATTCTGTTAAAATTTTTTCAGATTTTAAAAAGTACCGAGGGTCGTTTCATACCCGATACTGCATTTATTAAGAAGGGCATCGAATCATTAATAGACAGGCAATATATTCAACGAACGGATAAACAAGATGAATACCAATATCTAGCATGATTCCGGTTGTTAATATAATATAATTAGCCTATCACTTTGCTTTTTTATCTTTATTGGTTGTCACTTTTATTTTCATCTCGAATTTTTTGTCATTATCTGTTCTCTTTTTATTTTTATATTAATATTTTATTGAATAAATAGAAAAAATTATTTTATTTTCTTCATTTCCGCAATAAATCTGAAAAAATGATACAAAAAAGAAATAAGAAATGGGTAACACCGCATATTAATGCATTTAAACAAATCTCAAAAATAAATGAAAGCAAGATCGGTTTGAATTGTTTTTATCAACTTCCATTCCATTTTTACGCCAATTTGAAACAAAATGAATAGAAGGTGATAATCAAAACCTAAGTAAACAGCAAATTCGTTTTTCAGAAAATATCTTGATAATTAGTTAGTTGACGAATTGTGGAAGTACTGGTGATGCATGGTACTCGTCAATAAGAGTACCGATTAATATAAAAAATAAAGCGATTCAAAAATAGTGGGAAAAATGGAAAATAATGAAATATGGTAGTAGCATGGATCAAAATTGAAAAAAACTAAAAAATTCGCACAAAGCAAGGAACCATCCAATTTCTGTTTAATTATTTGCCAATAGAAAACTTTAGTTTAGTAATTTAATTATTTCTTTAAATGTTTTCCGAACCGTAAAATAAATGAAGAAAAATAGGCAAACATTGAAGGAAAAATTTTAGATTTTATGCAAAAGTGCATTCAATGAAATTTTCTCATTCTCCTCGCTAATTTCTTTAATAATTATCAGTTGCACTGCAATGATTTATTATAAGTGTAGGATACCGCTACCGCTTACCGCTTTGGGTTCCATAAAGTCAGGGTTCGCAGAGAAGTATTCACCGCATTCAACCATTTATGCATTTCATCCTTTTTGTCAGCTGCCATCAATATTCTAAAAATAATTTGATTTTCCACTGCAGAGATCATTGTTTTCCACGAAATAATTTGATTTTCCACTGCAGAGATCATTGTTTTCCACGAAAATAAGTACATATAAAAGTAACAATTAAAAGTTCATTGAATTTTAACTGGAAATTATTCACATAAACGAAATTCGAACTATCAATAAACTAAACCATTTGACATATGCATGTTAAACTTGCCTGATTTTATCAAGCATTTCTGGATTTTCACTTGGGATCCAAACATCGATTTGCATAGAATTAGGATAAGGACATCGCTCTATGGGTATAACTTTCACTTCGTCACAAGCTGAACTGCGTAAATCAATGACAACCACTGGTTCCTGGAATATATCCTTTAAAAAAGAAATTATGAAAAACATGAAATTTCAGATTTATTTGACAATAATTTACCTTCTTCATTTCATCTTCAGGATAACGCCAAAAGCTTAGATAACCATTATCAAGCGCGCACCAAAATCGAGTCCAGGATGCAATATTTTCCACTGGTTGATATAAACTCTGAAATACCATTCATTTTACCACCTTATAGTAACTTGCCGCTTTTCTATTTTCTATATTTCTATATCACATTATATCACATTTTTCACAGTTATCTCTGTATTTTGAAATTTCTTTGCTTGTCTGGCTGCCATTAAAGTGAAATCCAAGTGGCTGCTAAAAATCCATCTGCTCCTCTATTCCCAAGTGGCATTATAATGAAAAGCAAATCCCAAACGGGTGTCTATGTTTCAAGCGCATAGCATCTCCGTGGTGTATGCGAGCAGGACTCGGATAATAACAAAAATACTGAAAAAAACCGTGCAAGTACTCAGGCTGATGGAAATTTAAGGAAACTGGATAAATTTAAGCTTATTCAGCGAAGTTTTAACCGTAGCTGTATGAAAAGTTAGAGGGTTTAAGGATAAAAGGAACAAGAGAATAACTACCTATCTTCACCCTATCCAAATATCGTCAAGATATTTGCAGCTTATCTGCAGGAAGTTCGTCTTTCTAACTCTACGTCCAGAGCAATAGCATTCTTGGTTGTAAGACCTACAAAGTGATGTTTCGAGAAATAAATGGAATCACGATCATATCTAAAAGGGCATAATAATCTCCTATAAAACCTATAGAACCGTCTTTTTCGTTTTACTGAATAGTATTCACTTTTTTGCCACCAATATATGCTTTTATTATTGTAAAATACATCATTTATACATATATATCTACATTACTGATAATCAATATCAAATAAAGTTGTCGATATTCTGACCAACCATCCATGGAAGATTACAAAGATCAACGAGGATCTTAAGAAAGATATGAACTTTGTCTTTGGTTAATAACCTTGATCCGAAAAATCTCGAACTATATGAAACTATCGACGAATGTTTAAAAAGAGAGTCCTGTCTAGCTGGTGTAAACATTCCGGAAAAACCTACGGAAAATGATGCCGACAGGTTATTAGCATAGAATATCGTCGCTGCCACTGGAATCAAGACTGGTTACATCAAGAAAGTTCGTCGATATAGAAAGGAATCAGGCAGACCACGAGTACTCAAAATTTGACTTTTGCCAAGTAAGATTAATAATATATATATATATATATATAATAGAAGTTTAAAATATAAATTTTATGGCCTAAAGTTTCTATTAATTGATAACCCAAATAGCATTTTCTGTATCAATGAAATGTGGTTGGATGACTCTACTGGATGACAATTGGGAACTAAACTTCGATGACTTTGTAGTAACACGCAAGAACAATAAATGGTCTTAATATTCGTGGCTTATTCTTGATTATTACAAATCAATCTGTAATTCTGTAACAAATCTTGATTATATCTATGTCTCTTTTGAATTTTTAATAAAAATTTATCTTAATAACAGAAATATTTTTCTCTTAAATCTATATCCACTTGGCTATGGAAATAAATTCACTGTGGATATTTACAACCTGTTATTTAAGTTAAGATTATTTGGTGCGGATAATTGTTGGTAATCTTGATATACCAAGTATAAATTGGGAAAAGTTATTTGAAAAAACATAGAAACAAATTTATAGTTATAGAAACAAATTTGAAAAGGCATTTCTAAACTTTAGTACTTGTGTAGATCTAGAGGAACATGTTAAGATTGCCACTACGCATAACACTATTTTAGATGTTGTATTAGCTTCTATTTATCTCGTTGATAGCATTAGAGTCTTGGAGCCTTTTTGTAATAGTGATCACAATATAATTCATGCTTCATTAAAATTAGACCATTAGGTACCTCCCTCGAGATATTCTAGAAATTACCGCTATTGTGATTATAAAATCATTAATTCTATTTCTGCAGAAATAAATTGAGATTTCTTATTTTATTTCACTCTTTTCTAAACTCTCTTCTAAAAAGTGTCGAAAAGCTTTTTAACAAATACTAATTAACCAAATTGCCAAATGACCTTTCTGCATGTAAAGAATGCTTGAAAAGTTTCCCTATCGTCATTCATAATTACCTTTCAAATAAAGAGATTGTAATTTTAAATGTTAATAGAGATTCTTTCTGGACTTACATTAAAGGAAAATTTGCTTATCCACGTAAACAAATAATAAACAAATAATTCCGCAACACATTGATAATGTGATCACTTCTGATATATCGATATTGCAAGTATATTTAATCAATATTTTTCTAGCTTATTTCCTGACGATAATACTCATACTTTTTTAATATAAATCGAAGTTGTTGCATTTCTCTCTGTAAGGTTGAGACAACACTATTAGATGCCTTTTATGATGCCTTAAATAGACTCAAGCAGCCCATTTCATCTGGTCCCGATAATATTCAACAAATTTATAAAAATTATGCAATCAATCCAAGTCTTCCCCTATTTCTAATTTATAAGGATATTATGAAGTCTGGCTTTACTCCCAAAATTTGGAAATTATATCATGTAATTCCCATTCATAAAAAAGAAAGTATTTGTGCTCCTTCTAATTACAGGCCTATTGGCCTAACATGCATCGGTAGCAAAATACTCGAAATCTGTAACAAGCTGCTTATTTATCTTGATACCAATGATTTAATATCCACCTATCAGCATGGCTTTTGTACCAAAAAATCTACTTAACAAATATTGACAAATCTTGAACAGTAAATAAATAAAATAAAGAAAAAACAGTTGCCTACATTGATTTAGCGAAAGCTTTTGATATTATTTCCCGCGCAAAATTGTTGGTCACCCTTAATAGTTATGGCGTTACCGGGGACTTGTATAACTGGGAGTTAGATCGCATAAAAGATCGTCACCAATCTGTAGGTGCCGAAGACACCTATAAAAGGCGTACCTCAAGGCAATTAAATTGTTTTTATATATTAATTATACATTTATATATTTATATGCCATTGTTTTATTTTTATATATTAATGATATCNAACAAGCTGCTTATTTATCTTGATACCAATGATTTAATATCCACCTATCAGCATGGCTTTTGTACCAAAAAATCTACTTAACAAATATTGACAAATCTTGAACAGTAAATAAATAAAATAAAGAAAAAACAGTTGCCTACATAGATTTAGCGAAAGCTTTTGATATTATTTCCCGCGGAAAATTGTTGGTCACCCTTAATAGTTATGGCGTTACCGGGGACTTGTATAACTGGGAGTTAGATCGCATAAAAGATCGTCACCAATCTGTAGGTGCCGACGACACCTGTAAAAGGCGTACCTCAATGCAATTAAATTGTTTTTATATATTAATTATACATTTATATATTTATATGCCATTGTTTTATTTTTATATATTAATGATATCACCAAAGTGGTACTAAACTTTATCATTTATCTTTATGCTGATGATTGCAAAATTTATTATTCCTATAATAGAGTGGATAACCTATCTCCACCACATGATGACCTCAGTAGAATTGTCGAATGGCTATATGACAGGCAAATTACACTTTTTTTCAAAGGCGTAGCAAATGTTCTATGTATAAATTCTAAAAGATTCCTAATCTTTATTAATGGTAATATAATCAGAAGATTATATTATCTCATACATCTTTGAGGATTTCCGATCATGGAATAATCATGGATGAAAAACGCGATTTCGATCTTCACTGCAGAACCATGGTAAATAAATCCTCAAAGATACTAAATTTTATCTTTCGTTTGTTTAAGAGCAAAACTGAAGGTTTTCATATCAAAATGTACAAAGCGTTCGTTCAGCCTCTTGTTAACTAAAATATTACCTGTTTCTCCCCCAGATATCGCAAATTAAGTAAAATAATTGAAGAACTCCACAAATATTTTATACGACGCCTCTTTCTTAGTAGGAATTTCAATTATTATAAAATACAACTTCAATAATACAACTGTATTCCCTCTCAATTCGCCGAATTAAACAAGATTTAATTTATACTTATAAAGTTTTGTTTATTTATGCTAAAGTATTGTGGGATAAAATTACTAAATTATCTATATGCAAAACCAAAGACTTATGACTTCTTCGATGTAGTTTGTGTGTCATCCTTAGCAATTTTTAAGAAAAGGTTGGATAATATCATAAATGATTTTATCTAATTTAAAAAATTCACATCATGCAGGAAATTTAAAATCTTGATTTTTACCGTTTGATTATGATATGATGTGTAAAAGTAATATATATAATATAAGTAATGCAATATAAGTAATTATTTCGAATTATTACACTATTTTGTAACTCCTCTTTATTAATTATGGTTACATTTTCTTTTTTTATCATTCATTTTCATTATTTTAACTGTTATTTTTAATACAAGCACGTGAGGTTTGTCGTCCTGCTTGGCTGGTTTTCAATAAATAAATAACCTGGTTTTCAAACAATAAATACTATAATTATACAAGAATACAGCTGTACTATAAACTATACAATTATATCATTTATTTTTATTTATTTTTTATTTTATTTTTTATTTTTATTTATTTTTCTGCACGCTTCGGTCAAAGAGGTGATTTGCTAAAAAAATGCAATAGACTAGTTGAGGAATATTGTTTTAACCAGTGGTATTTCTCCTTGAATAATTCCAGATAACACTAGTATTTTTTCTTCTTCTAACAGCTCACCATTACTCGTTAGGCTGGTTCCAACGGCTACAAAGGTAAGATGCTTCCAAGCGGCGCGGTTTGATCTCATCGTCTGACAGTAATAGAAGCCGTTCCTTTTTCCATCGTTCAAGTCCATATATTGCTGGTCCACCTATACGTCCAAAATCTTTTCTCACCGTATCAGTCCAGATCTTGATTGGCCCACCTCGCTTTTGACACCACCGATCATATTTGTCGCAAATCACGAACAAAAAAATATAAAAAAATAAATTCCTCAAACAGTTGCTGTGAGTCAGTTTACTAATTTTAAATTCTCACAATAATTTTTTCATGTGATTATTTTACTATATATTTTACCTTGATTTAGCAAGATTCCTTCTCTTTTTTTTATACCTAAAAAATTAATTTACCGTGTGAAATATCTTATCTTGTAACGAGTCTCATATTTATAATCAGAAATAAATGTAGTTTTTTTATTATATTTGTTAATTATTCGTTGCATGCCATTCTCACTAAAATATTTTTTTGCAAATGAAAATGCTATTTATATACATATAAAATAGGCTTATTTTGAAGTTGTTTGAGTGGAAGAAGGTGCTACTTATTTACTCCATTCTCATTTTGTTTTTCTTTTATAGCTTTTAATTTTTATCTTTTATTATTTAAAATTTATATAAAATAAATAGGTTAAAATAAAAAGAAAAATTTCGTAGCCAGCTTAGGTACGACAACCAATTGAAGAACCACATCCCTCCCGAGTTAATTTTCATTTGTCCAATCTCTTATACCTAAACCTATTAACGAGGATCTATGAGAGGGCAAGCCTGGTGCCAGCAGTCGCGGTAACTCCAGCTCTCAAAGTATATATCGTTATTTCTGCGGTTAAAAAGCTCGTAGTTGGAATTCAACTTGACGCTGTCTAATGAAATTGCCATTGTAATTTTACATGCTATTGAAAAATTTTTGACGAAATCGAAAAATTTGCAAAAAAAATTCCATCATATATATAAATATAGCAAATATAAATCGGTTTATTGACTCTTATAAAATCTTCTGAAAAATAATGGTTTCGTGCCAGTAACCAAATCCCAGTAGCCAATTCTCCTCAAATGCCTAAAAATTAAATTATCGTTAAATATATTTCAAGAGACGAAAATATAAATAAAACATTAAAATAATAATCTTCTTTGAGCTAAAAACTGTGAACCATCATTTATCGAATTAATTCTCTTATACTGCCATGTATTGCTAATTGCGCAGTTCATTCCTATTCGTTTTGTTAAATTATTTATTTCATTGATTAATTATTTATTATTTATTAATTACTAGTTGTTTTTGATTTTGATTTTATATGAAGCAATATGGTGGTTATGATTTTCCTCTTTAGAACGTTCATCGTTTTCGGTTCGGACGGTTCTACTAACTATTAAAGTGTGCATCTTTTTGTACCCAGAAGGCACATCACAAATGGCGTCCAACATCACTCCACTTTCACTTTTAATATAGGCATTATTCAAGAAGGGATTTTATTTGTACGATTCGGATTTCTGGATTTAAAAAATGAAATTTGAGTTATTTGTCGATCATCTTTAATCATATACACCTTAATTTATATATACATATATATCTTAATTTATTTAATCTTTATTGTAAGTTTGTAGAAAAAAATTCATTATCTAACAAAATGTTTTAGAAAATTATTTAAAATATCTCAAATACTTTTGCTTGGTTACCACTATAGCATTTTCAATGAAACTTGGCCAACTTGCCTTCATCGAATATTTATTTCCGAAAAAAATTCAATTTTTTAAGTATTATTGGAATTAATCTGCAGTCTTACTTGGTGAACTTGTTAACCGAAACATTTGTCCCTGAAGATTTATCGTTGACATAAATGAGAACTTTGCAATATTTATTGAAATATTTGTTCAACGTTAATCTACTTTTCCTCTTTTCTATAGTTTACTGAATTATTGTTGGCGACAGATGGTTGATTTGTTCTTTATTTACTTTGTTTTCAAAAAAATGGTAAAATTTTATTTGCCTTAATTAAACTGAAATTTTTATATCAGAAAGTGTTGTGCCAAACATCGAGTGGTATATTATTGTTTCGACTAGAATCAACAAGCACCGTAAGTGCGATTTTCGTGTTTTGACGGAACAATAATCCAGCAAAATTTATGTTTTTTATAGAATTTTTACTCATTTCCATACGGAATAAATCACGATTTATTCTAATAATTATATTAAATAAAAGAAATTACAAGAATTTCTATTATAATTTTATTGTGATCATGTTTGAATTTGAAAATTTTAATAATTTAAAATTTTCCTCCATAAAAATAAATTTTAACTCACTTTTATATTATAAACCGGTTTCATATTTCATACGCTGTATTTTTCATTCGTCATATCATCATTATCAAACATTTTGCATTTTTTGCATAAATGCTTTGTATTATTTAGTAATTTTATTACTGCTAAAATTTTATTCTATAGAACATTTTTCTTTAGTGGAAAAGTACTGACTGCTGAGTATACAAATGGACGACGGGCGTCCTATTGTTGCAATTCACTAGTGCAGAATTTTTTGACGTATGCTGTCGGTGCTGTCGGTGTTTTATTTAATGCATCATTTTTAGACTGTACTCAGCGCTTAATAATGGGAAATACTTTTTGGGTTATATTAAATCTGGTGTTTCAATTAATTAGGAAAATTACTCTAAATCTCGATTCAGTTACGATGAAAAGAATTAAACGGGCCCTTAAATGATTTTATATTCGAATTGTATCAGTTATAAAGATTTATACTTGAATGTCACTATCAGAAGTAGCGCACTGGAATTCTATTTTCAAGCCCAATGTTCTGGATCTCTTCAGGGGCGCTGACTAAATTAATAGTGATATTGCCTTCTGCTCGATCTGTCTCTGGTTTTAAAAAGAAATTAACAGCAGTATTCACATAAAGTCGTAACCTCAGTACGGTAGAAATTATATTCTTCTTTGCATTCCATGTTTTATCGTTTTGGTTATTATTTTCAATTAATTATTGGTGGTATCCTGGCACATCCGCTGGTGGCTCATGTTTTCTATTAAATAATTGTTTGGCAAAAATTTCTAAGCTAGCTTAGTCAGAAAATGTGAGCGTCATTGAGTGTCAATAACTGATAATTAATTTCAGGCTATGTATAGTCGACAAGGAAGCAGTAATAGTAACGATAATTATAAATTTGCAATAAGTCGAGATGATATTGGTGACACCATATCCTGTCAAGTAATTTATTTAGTAATTTATTTTATTTCGCATATTTTATTTTTGAGATGTTTCTTAAATTACTTAACTGATAGGTAAGTATTTTATATATATACATATCCTTCAACAGAACATAATTTCTGGTTTGGTTGATCGCATTGGTTACTAGATTAAGACGTACCCAAGCTACTATACTATTTCTAATTAATATAAAGCTATTACATATTGGAACGTCTAAACTCATAACACATAAATCGCTGGGTCATTTATTCATTCAAAATCTTTCTTAACCTCATCGACTGAGACTTTTATTGAATTAATGCTAAATATGGTGAACTATGAAAAAATGGCCTCACAAGTGATTCTCACAGGCAACTTTCTATGACGACATCATGGATGTATATGATATATATACATATAACATCATGACATCTCGGCTGATATAGTTTTCTTTTTAGAAATTTTTTAGTTTTATGAATAATGTTTTTATGAAAATGAATAATTAATTGATTTTTTTAGATATGTTTCGAAATATATACGATGGATGGACGTGTACCGAAACTTTTATCTTGTGGTCACACTTTTTGCCATCAATGTATTATGTCGCTCAATAATGATCATATACGAGCACGGAAGTGTCCAACATGCCGAATACCATTCTTTTTCCTCAGTGAATCAAATTTTGCAACAAATTACTCATTACTTGGTTAGTGCACAAATTTCAAAGATGTTAAGAATTGAAGTCAAAGACAGAGTTGAGTAAAAGCTGTAAGATGAATGGGACCAAACTGATAAGTGAAAATAAATTTAAAAAATTTGCTTCCGACACTTCATTCAAATTCAAACTTGAAACATAAATTCTCTACTTCGAACTGGTCGCTTTATTGAAACGTATGATGGTTGGCGTCAAAAACGAGGTGGGCCAATCAATACCTGGACTGATAAGGTGAGAAAAGTATAGATGGACCAGCAATATATGGACTTAGACGATGGAAAAAGGACTTCCATTACTTCCATTACTGTCGACGATGGCATCAGACCGCGCCGCTTGGAAGCGTCTTACCCTTGTAGCCGTTGCAGCCAGCCTAACCAGTAATGGTGAGAGCTGTTAGAAGAAGATGAGAAAATCAGACGATAATCAGGCGACATTTCTTTCACTCTCTTGCCACCATTATCAATCATTGATGCGATTTATTTATAACTATTGATGTTTGGAACCACACGATTTTTCTTCACAATAGCTAAGACATAAAATGTGGGGATTTCTCGAAATTTTATTTCATTACTTTTTTAGAGGATTGGTTGTTTGCATTTTCGTTGTCAGCACTATGGCAAAAATTTTCTTCGCTCTATGATATAACATCATAAATTAATTATAGGCAATAAGTGAGTAGTTTAAGTAGCGAATATCTTGAGTCGATGACGACAAGTAGAATGTGTCAAGTGTTTTGACGGAATTAAACCAATTATTATAAGTAACAACTAGGAATCTACTTGCATCTCGATTCAAATAACTCAAAAGGCTCTTTAGCAAGAGAGCCACATTTAGGCAGAAAGAACGAAATGCCATTTACATTTTTTTAATAGGGAAAAGGATTCAAATTGAGGTTCGCATTTGCTCTTTGCACCTTATTTTTCATAATTTTTATGCCCTTAAATAGCGTTCTCATCTAACGAGTTTTTGTAAAAAATAATAGGTGAAGAAAAAACTTGATAGACATTCATCCATTCTCTGACTGATATTTATGGAGTAATCGAAAATTGAATTTCAAAGCCATTTGTTTAAAAAAAAATCAATAAAGATACTCGGATTTTCTTTATTCTTCCATTTTCACTTTCCATTTGTCCACTAATAACGCAAAAAAATGGTGAACAGGAAAATTCCAATATTTTTGGATATAAAATAAGCGATTAGGGTTTAAGAATTAATAAATAGACATGCAAGTGGTGCTAGAAGCGCATTTATATTTCAGTCCTCGGGTGAACTTCTCTGGTGAAAATTTATCTTTCTTATAATTAATCGACCCAGCCAAATAAGAAATGGGATTAAAAGAAGGAAAAATTAACTGTGCGGTATATGTAAATGCAATATATATGAACTGGTCGACCGTGAATACTTATGTCGACCTTAGCTATGGTCACCGCATTTTCGTAAATATGCGATTGATTTTTTCATGTGTTACGTCCATTCTACGAAGGATTCAACAAATTTGCCTTATTTCTTACCATTTTTTAGCACACTTCCCTATAAGGTTTTATTTTGCCTGTCATCATCGTCACCTAATAACAGCTATTAGGGCTTTTCTGTCAGGTCGAAATCCCTTCACTAGAAAATCTTTGGAGATGAAAGTGCGAATGGCTTTGCAGCACTGTCTTCCTATTCATTTACCACTAATACCACTAATCTCATTCTTTTCAGCTTGTTCATTTCTTTATCATTATTTCTATGCTTCCTTATCACATTTTTAAATGTTGTTTTCATTGTGAATTACAACTACAAATCAGATTTGTTCGATCATCGATTGATTAATTACGATGTTTCGTTGATTAGTTATTTTAAATTAAATTATTAATTAAATTAAAAATTAAAATTGAAATATTAAAAAAATAAATTAAAAATTAAATTCAATTTTTTAAATTGATTAAACTTTTAATCATTTTAAATCTCTAATTTGAAGAATAATTTTACATTTAGAAAGTGCAGTTTTCTTTTCCTCCTATTGACCTAAACAATATTCATTTTTACCATTTGCCATTTATTAGCACAAAATTTTATTGGATTTTATGAAATCTCTTATTTTATCATTTTATCATACAACGCATAAACATTCCAATAGATTCGGTGTTCGACAATAAACAAATGTAATTTATTGTTTTTTAACTATAGGTTAGGTGTTGCTTAATTTAACGATTGGCAAGAGAATAGAGTATAAAAAGATCTTAAAAATCGTTTTTGCATATCAGTAGTGGCCAAGCTGTTTTTTATGCGTTTGCCAGTTCTTTACGACTATCCACTGAGATGTTAAGCTTAATGAGTTTATTCTCCCTTAAAGTTTTGGCAAAATGGTCAAGTAAAACTTTGCTCCGACGGAATTATGAGATTAAGCATGAAGATGAAGCATTTCTCTTCTTTGGCGGAAATGAATCTATCATTAAAAGAGGAATATAGGTAGTGCTGCGGATCAACTGACATTTACTATCCTATAATAATTTTATTTTTATTATAATTTTCTAAGGAAATAGTCGTTCATTTTGGAAATTAACGGGACGAAGAAAATCAAAAATGATGAGTGCTATGTGAAGAGGAAGAATTTTAACAATTTTTCCACACTTGATCCATGTCATCCATCGTTCAAATGATCTAACTGGAAAGCAAAATTCAGTCGATATTTTGTTACATATTTGATATTAATATGAATTTTGCAGAAATTTTGACTCGCCTCCATCAAATCGAATCAATGACAAAGAAATATGAAGTGGATAATCATCAAGGGAATTCAGTTAAATTGCGAAATAGAAAGCAAACCTCAAAAATTCCACTAAGCAAATCTCGACCTCGATTAACACGAATATTTTCGAAATTATCGGCAAAGAACATGGTTTTTCTTTTTATTCATTCTCGTCATAATAAGAATTTTTAGGAATTTTAGGAATGTTTAGGAATTTTCCAAAATTAGATGGAATCCTTCTCAATAAAGCAATGAAAAATAATAATAAGGCAAAGGTTTCATTTCCGAAGATGTAAATTGTAAAATTCAAATTATCAAATTTGAATTCATTTTATATTTTTAATTATTTTACTCCTCTTATTTTATGCTGTTGACTTTATGCTATGATATTTTTTCAGTCCTATTTTTTCTGCAATAGCATTTATAGTTTCACCATTTATAATTTAGGTAGTTCCATTGACTAATAAAATGAGAAACATTAAAGAAACACATGGAAGATAGAAATACAGGTTGATCCACACACCTCTTAGATTTTGCTTTTAATGTTTTTTTCGTCAGAGGCATGGAGTGAACCCATGTTCAGTTAAAGCAACATACTTCTCAGCCAATATGTTGCTTACAATAAAATTTTAATTAAATGAATTACAAGTGAAATTGAATTCAATTTAAGAATCCTAGGATGAAATATATTGTAAAGCTTTTTTAAAACTTAATCATTTTATATAAAATATAGCAATCAAATTATATTTTTGTCTATTTCATGAAAGCGATTCATTTCATGAAAATAATTTAAATATTAGCAAATTAATTAGAATGTGATTAACCACTGATATGCAATATTTGAGATATTCAAAAAATGTTTAAGCTATGTAAATGCCGTAGATAACTTGCGAAGGTAAATTAGGATTTTCAGCAATTTCATGAGACATCAAGAATTATTTTCAGTATAGCGCATCATCGAGTAGCCTTCCAACGAAATCGGATGTGGTGAACGATCAACCATTTACAATTACACCTGATGTTTCCGCTGATGAAGGCTCATTTGAACATGAAAATTCTTATATTGGATCTGAAGATGTTGATAATCGATTTTTTGACGAAAGTCACATTTTCTCTTTTGAGGAGCAATTACAGGATTTCCCGTCGTTACCGCCGATTATCAACGAAACAAAGGTATTGAATTGGTGTTGAAGGATCTGATCTGATTTGATAGCTGAAAAATTGAAGTGGTGTTGACCATTACCCACTTGTATTTTTAAATTAACTCTGGCAAAAATTAATTATAAGTCAGTAATTAAACCAGAAATAGTGAACGCTAATCATTTCATTTATAATAAATCTGAAGAATACAACAATGGTAAAAATGTTGAACCGGACTGCTGAAATTATACTAATTTAGAAGCATTTAATTATTTTCGAAAATTCTCAGTTCAGTATATGTTTAATGAATTAAAAAGTCAAAGTGGTGCTTGTAACTTACTAGAATAATTGGATGAGTTCCTAATATCACTTTGATTTCACTTTAAACAATCAAAGGACGAGGTTCGAATTGCCTCTTTTTATTTATTTTATCACTCGAGCATTTTCTCCTATTATCAAAATTTCAGCAAAAAAGCTAATATGAATGAAAAAAATTTTAAACATGGCAAAAGGAAGACGATAGGGAACTTTTTCTTCTTAAATAATTCAAATCTTGCACCATTTTCAAACCGCTGGTAAAATCTTAGCGAAAAAAATTTTATATGAAAATGAAACTTTCATAATTTGTCATTCGTTCTAGTAATTCAAGTGAACGTATTTTAATTTATAAAATATTTCATTATTTTTGCTACTTACTACTTTAGCTGAGAGAATATTTCTTTTAGACTGAAACTTCATATAAAGAAATATCCACTTCAAATTCCGTTTTGAATTCGTCTGATGCCGACTTTATTTCTCATATTCTAAATTCGAAGTTTATTACGAATTCCGTTGATGTTCAATTGTCGAATGACCACGATGATGACGAGCAAAGTGCTAAAATTACTGAAAAGATTAAAAATGCTTTAACTCCAGCTTCACAACCAGGAAAGTCATCTTTCTTCGAATTTAGATGGTATTTGTTGAATTTAACTGCCTTATTTTTAAGGAATTTCTTCGGTATTTTTTCTTGATTTGTGATAGTTCCACTACTGTTAAAATTTACTTTGATCATTAAAATAAGTAAGTGGTTAGGAAATGGTCGCCGTCTTGGTTAGCATCGCTGTTCGCTGGTCAGAAATTCATGCCAGATGACGGGTTTATTACAAGGAGTCGAGAAGAACTAACCTTGCCTTCCAAAAAGATAACCCACCCAGCTATCCTGTTCTGCACATTAATTATTTTTTTAGAAGGTCATGCAGAGCAATAGCTATGTTCCTGTGTTAATAACACATTTTCTAAAAAATTAATCATTTTAAGATCATTCTTCATTAGCTCATTCTTTGAGGAAAATTTTTGTTTATTATAAGAAGATTTTTTTGCAAAAATAAAATCTCGTATTACTTCTAGATATAGCAATTTTAAAGCATTATTTTATCATTATATCTAACTAATTTTCATCAAAATTCATTATTTATGCTTCTCAGTTATGCCCTTTTACCACTATATAACATATTAATATATTTTGATGTTCCTGGTTTCTTATAATTTAGGTATCCTGCAATTTGTTTGCTGATAATTTCTTCTCTTCTGATGATTGGTTTTTGTACTACTTTGGGCTATCGCTTATACGTTCTGGAAATGAAAAAAATGCAAAAGGAATCAAATTTTTTATGTGATAGTCTATTGGCTTTGAATTCTTGGATTCATTTGGATTTGACAGATCATCTTAATTGTGTTCGTCCTATTGATTTGTCACTTACGGCAAAAATGAAGAATGAAAGTGGGAAACTCGTCCTAGAAATCTATTCGGTTTTGTTAAATTCAGTACAGATTTATTTCAATCAGATCTTGTGTTTGTTCAGTTAATACTGCTCAATTTAGAGATCTTATTAAGTTTCTTAACCTTGTGACATCCGTTGCCCTAGTGTTCCCATTATAGCATTCACGTAAACATCAAAGAAAAACTCTAGGAAAAAATCAAAGAGAAAAATTATCATTGATATTATCCATCATGTTATTTGTGAATTGTCCACTGAGTATTATTTTATTTTAATTTTATCTATAACAAGTGATGTAGCATATTCTGGCTTGGCTAAAATTGTTTTGCCACAGAATCATTGCTAATAGTAATACAAATGGGTGTATCGAAAAATAACCATTCAAAGAAAGTTTTTTTAATAAATTCAATTATTTTTCGTTATTTGGCGTATTTATTAAGCTCTTATCACAGTTTCAAAAAATTTCACCGCATTCACCGTCAACTTTTTTTGCTTCTTCACTCTTCTTTTTTTTTTTAAAAGAACAACACGTATCTCGCCAGTTGCATTTAATAGTTTTCTGGTATTTGTTGCTTTGTTTAGCAAAGTGGTGACAACCTGAATTTCATAATGGGACAGTGGGACGCTTGAATCCAATATATCTCCTTCAATGGGCAGAAATGATTCCATTTGAGTTCTACTATTACTATTTGTATTTCTACTATTTGTTCAACTTTATGTTGTCATGCGATCAGAATGAAAAAGAAATATTCAGATATTTTTTTCTTGCACATTTAGTTAAATTTCCTTTTATTTGTGGTTTCAAAAGATACTTCAAAAGTTTCTCTCAGTTTTTGTTGGAAAATTATAAATATAAATGCTATTCTTTCATTTTTTGGCTTCCGAAAAAGTAATTTAGTAAAGAGTAAAAAGGTTTACGAAATTATATTTTTCCAGTCGATTTATCCAAATAACAAGTTTCGCGAAAAAAACCCGAAAACTATTCCCATAACGTTATTCATTATTATGTTATTCATTCTATTTATGAACCATTGTCGAATCGACGATTTGGAACCCCTAGCCTCAGTGAGCAGTGTCTCATAATGCATCAGTTACTCTGAACCAGAAAGCAGTATGAGTAATTTACCATTATTAAGAGTCATTAGGTGTATGTATGGCCAACAATATTATTATACCAACAAAGTGATGTTTGTTTTTTCAAATTCGTTGAAATTTTGATTTCTATTCAGTTTATGATTTAGTTACTGGTGTTCACTTTTTGAGATATCAGTGATGCATTTGAATAACAGTTTGAATTCAGTTCTTCATCATTTGCTTCGTCACTTTTTCCTTTTCCAACTAAACTTAGTTTCCGGAAATGTATATCATAATCAAAACAAATTCACTCAGGAAATTTTTCATTGAAAATCGATCTTCCATAAAGTAAAATTTCCTTTTGTCTTAAAAGGAGTCTTATTCTTTGTCTTATACTTTTAACAAATCCTGGATCAACATAACGGCAGGAAAACTTAATAGTAAGTGTTGCTTTTTTAATTTTTAATTTTTTAATCGCATTTATTCTTTCTGATTTTGCTGAACTGACCGCTTTGGTAGAATCTTTTAAGCGATGAATCGGTTAATTAAAGATGCAGGTAGGTCCACGCAGATATATCATTGAATTATACAAAAAGAACGAAACGATGTTTTAAGTAACATCTCTTTTCTTCCAACAGATTGCTCCATCGCATAGATTATCTCAAGATTGAGCATTTCCAAGCCTTTCTTCGTGTCTAAAGTGACAAAAATGCTATTACATTGTCCAGCTTAAATTCATCTATTTCATTTATTCCTGAGTTGCCTTTTATTCGAAAATTCAGAGGAGTTGTTAATGATATTGTTTTCTTCTAACAGCTCTTGTTATTGCTGGTTATGCTGGCTTCGTATGCTGCAAGAGTGAAATATTTCCAGGCCTATCGATCCGATGTGATGTTTAAAAATAATCCTTTTCCTTATAATAATAATAAATAATAATAATTATCCTTTTTTTAACCTATAGCCCATATTTCACCTTTATAAAAATCAAATTTCAAAACCAAATTTTTTCTTAACTTTATCTATTCAGGTCTTCATTAAGCTTCCTGGTTTTTTGATACCATCCATTCTAAATCTTGGCATATGGTGAAATATGGCGAGATCATTCATATATGGCGCTCTATAGTTTAAAAATATAAAAATATAACATAATATAAGCAATTATATAAGGCTATCGGTTTATCGAACCGAACACGTAGAATTCATCTCAAAATAGTTAAAAATTTATAGATTTATAGATTTATAGATTTAAAAAATTTAAATTTATAGAAATTTATAAATAGAATGAATAACATAATAATGAATAACGTGATGGGAATAGTATTACTGATATTTACCATTTTCATTGGAAATATTGACCAGAATGCAGCTATCATCACTATTTAAAAATTCTGGAGGACTATTAATAGCCATTCCTTTTCCTTTTATTCATCTAATAGCTCTTCCTATAATTGCTGGTTAGGTTGATTCTATCACAATGATGAGGTGCTAGCAAGCCTGTCGATTCGATACCATACAGGTAGAAATAAAAACTTTGATGGTGATTTAATAGCGACTCCACAAAACTTTCTCCACATGGAAAAACTACTGCTGTTTCGGAATTTCGTCTTTCATTTAGCTATTTGATGCAAGAGTGGTTCAAAAATATTTAAAACAGTGACGGATTTTTAAAAATGTTTAAGATCAGGTAATTCTTCAGTCGATCACGAATTTCTTAATATTTTATTAGTATAAGACAAAAGTGTTTTTATTTTTTAGTATGAAATTGAATATTCGTTGCACTTATCAAGTAACACAGTTATAATTATAATTCTTCATAATTGCCAATTGTCAATTGTTGACTTCCATCCACTTTTATTTTTTTTGATATTTATAAATCTGCAGAATTTACAGAAAATTTGCATTAAATTTCTTTTTTAAATTGAAAGGCTGAAATCAGGAATTTTTCTCTTCATTTGAGTTGATAAAGAAATAGTGAAGGTGGTCGCGCTATATTGCTTAGACATCCTTGATGGGAGTAAACCTTGCCATTAAAAGTCAAATCTGCGTGAAGATTTCAACAGTCTTCTAATACCTAGCGACTCACTGACGAAACAGTCCTAATAATCACCGAGGCTAGCCATACTAGAAAATGATTAGTGGAATTTAAATTGGTGAAATTGGTACTATGTTTTTTAAATTCCAAGTTTGTGTGTTATTCGATATTTTTCAATGGCTTCACTATTGGCAATGGTTTAATTTTTTCGCTTATTACGAGTTTCTCCTATGGCAAACAAATAAATGGATAAGCATTTAAAAAGAAATATCAACTTTTTTTTATTATCTCGGCGTTGTAACAAAAATTATGCATATTTTCTGCAATTGTATTCTGAAAGATAATATTGATGCTTTTTTCCATCAAGTAAAATTTTTTAAAATTTTATTTCACTCTTTCGCTTCTTTCGTTTTAATTCTTAAGTCAATCTTTGTGGAATAAAGTATCACAATATATATTTCTAGGCGCAAAATAGTCAAATGGATAGTGGCTTATCATATGGATTTGATCCCTGCTCGCTGTGGGAGTAAACGAGTCATTATAAAGCACTTGAGTTTCTATCACCAACCAAATATCTCCCAGATTAGTAGTTAATGGAATGGAATTAGGAATGGAAAAAACCAAAAGTGGTTTTAATTTTACTTATTACTTATTTTTGCGATTAATAGATTTATAAAAATAATTTGCAATTATACTTTTAATGAAACGTATCACCGAGTGAATTTTGTAGATCGTGCTCATTTCACTTTTAATCATTTTTCTTCCAAAAAATTCATCACGAACTCTGATTTCGTACATCCCATAAAGTACATCTTTGAATGTGGTATTACTGAATTTATCTTCATCCAGCATTTAACTTTCAGCTTTATCCATCTGCTCTTGCACTAAAGTTCTTACGTCGCGGCGATGTAGGATAGAATCTCGAGTAAGCGCTTCTAGCGCTGCCATTGCAATCGCTTCTTTTCGTCGTCGTCGAACTGCATCTCGATATTGCACTGCAATCATTTATTCGTAAAATTCATTATCAATTCTTCTGCTAATTTTGAGTAGAAAGCAAAACTGCCTGCGTAAATGATCATCGTTCCACCCCATGCAATTGACCAAAACCAACCAACAAACATGAACGTTATAGTAAAAAATTGGCAAACACCGACAATAGAGTTGATCAACAGTGTCATTAGTTTTTGTGCTTCACGATAATTTACACGTGTTTGACCCATACATAATGCTAGGCAACCGCTTACGACAGTCCCTCAATATTAATTACTTATAAATTTCAATAGTGGCAGAAACAATAAACAGCCAAAACAAAAAATACTGAGGATCTACTATATTTGAAGTGAATCAATATATATAAAAATAAAGTAAAACACAGAAATAAGGATGTAATAATTTGATAGCCGAGTGTTTGTTGAACCGATCGCACTCGGTAAGCACTCGGCTATAAAAAATTTTTGTCCAATAATTAATATTGGAAAATTTAAGCAAATTACCCAATCCAGCGACGAAAAAATTAAGGAAAAAACATAATATTGCTGCTGGAACAGGCAGAAAAGGAATGGCTGAATGTAACAAGGAGATGTCATCAGTAGGTAAATGCATACGGCCGTCACCTCCGTGTTTGTCACCTTGGTCATTTTCACCTCCGAATAACCCCGATATGTTAAATGCTCGAATTATTTCGCGCTAAAATAAGTGTTTATCAGGGTTTATGAGTCTGAAAAATGTAAATTTTTCTTTATTACTATCGGAATTACGGAAGAATAAGTTTGAAACTCAAAAATTCAAAGTTTGAAGTCTAAAGGTTGAAGAAAAATATCGAAATCATCTGTGAATTTCTAACAAAAAATTGCGAATTATTAAAGGATTATAATTAGTTGCTAAGATAAATAAGTAAGCAAATTGTCAGTTCATCATTTCTGGTTAAGTTTACCTCGCTGGCTACCAGTTAGTACGATGAGAATTTTTTGACAGGTAATTACTTGCCGAAGAGTAAGGTGGCTAACCAGCGTCACCCGATTTCTTCAATGAATCCTGCCAGAGGCAAGATCATCCTCGATATGACGGTGTGTGCAACGAACACTCGGCTATCATATCGCTTGCTTTTTAACTTTCTTTTTGAAATAATCGTTTAAAAAAAAAAATTTTCTTTTTATGATAATCGTTTATCTACATTGCAAAAGATTGTTTATCAATTCTAAATCAAAATTTTTCAATTATTCATAGTAATACTATTCATACGATGTTAATATGAAAATTGCAAAGAAACAAGGCTTGAAATTGAGAGCCTGCACCTTCTCCTTTTGGCTTTGGATAATGCCTTCCGCAACCCCAAGTTCGATTATTTGTGGCACCAAAGTTTGCACTAACTTCCAACCTTTTGGTTTTTCGCCTAGAAATTTTTTTTCATTTTCATTTAAAACCCAGTCGAACTTGATTTTATGCGTTGATAAATAAATTTGCGTGTTTAAATAATAACGATTCTTTTTTTGATTCACGAAAAGTGAATTCAAGGCAAGAAAAAATTTTTTGATTATTGTAATTTTTCTATTGAAAATGATTATCGCAGATAATTTCAGATGCTCAGGTAATAAGGCAAGCGATAAATTTGTGGAGGAGGTTCGTTCCGTTCGATGCTGTGTGGAATGGTTTCTATCTGAGTGGCTGCGAATTTACTTGGATTTATTCATATTCATAATCCCGTCAGTTTTCTAGTGAAAAGTTTCATCCTAGTTTCATTCTATGGTACTACTTAAGCCAGAAAAGGTGCATCTTGTTAGAGGAAGATTAAATGATAATGCGCTAAAAACTTACTGAACATGTTTAGATCTATCACATAATGAAAATGATGGCAGATGGTAATCAAGAAATCTGCTCCTTCTTTGGTTGTTTTCCTTTAATCTTCAATCAGTCTGCAATAAACTATTATTTTTAAACCATTCGAAAATATTCAGATTCTGTATGTTTAACACTTTCTGTAAGTTTCCAAAGTAATACCATTAAGCATCTGGCATCTGGCACAATCAAATATTCACAAATAATTAATAAATTCCAACTTAAAGAATGTTGAGTAACACAATCGTAATATATTTTCTCGTAGTTACCTGCTGTGTTAGCTGCTGACCCACCTCTTCTTCTATAGCAAATCAACTCTCCGTGGCAAAAATTTTCTAATCGTACTAACAGCCAGCGGAGTTAGGCAGAAATTGTAAGCGCTCGTTTATTTATTAAATCCATCGAGTTTAAAATGAAAAATCCTGAATTGAAAATGCGGATTTTGTATTAATTTTTTCACTCGAAAGTTTAGCTTCGTTTCCATAATAATAAAACAATAGCAAATAAGAAATTTTCTATTTTCTGATAAATTGATGTTATCAAAAGCAACAAAGTTAAACTTCAATGACTCTGAATTAGCTAACGATACTGTTGAAATTTTTAGCAAACATCCACATAAGTCTACCACTCATATACCAATTTAATTGAACGTATGGAATTTGTCCTAAACATTTGGATCAGAAATGGATCCACAGCACCACCCACAACACTGATCTTATTTTTTGGTAAATAGAAATAGAAAATTATATAAAACGATTTTCTAAGTGAAAATTCAGCATATCAGTTTGTGATGATAAAATTGCATCACCACAAACAAGGAAGAATTTAACTAATGAAAACTATCAGTTCATAAGCTCATTTCATTTCACATCCTTCATATTATCGCTCTCTCACAAGCAATTTTCCGAATTTTACATCGAGATTATACAAAATTTTGGCTTAAACGAGATATACAAATTGTCTCCATCACCATTTTTTTAAGCCATTCGAAAATATTCAGATTCGGTGTTTTATAAACAAAAGTAATAAATCGGAGAAAAATGTAATCAAACTATGAATTCAGAATAGAAGCGAAAAACTCGAGGTATTTTTTCATAGCCATTTTATGGCCTTATTCATTAGAAATGCTTGAATTGTCATGACAATTATCTTGTTAATCCGGAACAAATATTGCTAAAATCTTTTTACCAATGATAGCGTTCGATATTTCCTGTCATTTCACATTGCACATTTTCAGAATTCCATATATTTTATTTAAATTCCATATTATTAAATTCCATATATAACCGACATTTAAAAAATTGAGAGTTATTTCGATTGCAAATAAAAAGCTATTTAAATTTACACAAGAAGTTATTTTATAATTAACTAATTACATAAATCGAAACAACTTTCAAGAAAGAATCAATACAACAAAATTATAGAAATAGAAATGAAAAACTCTCAATTATAATCCCTAAACTATTGAAAAAAAACAAATTAATAGGGAAAAAACAAGCCCGAATTCGTGCCCGATGTTAAGGAAAATTGAAAGAATATGCATTTTTTTTTACATTAATATTTACATTAATATTCACTATTTTTATTGTATTACTGTTACTCCCTACAATCTATGTAGATGCAAATGTAGAATCATCAAAATCAAGACCACCTGTAACTAAATGTAAACATCGATTCATACTTTGAATAGAAATATACCGGAGCTTTTTTCAGTTTTCTTACTGATTTAAACAAGGAGCTTAAAAAACTGCACCAAAACCAAAAAAAAATGAAAATTTCTATTAGAACTATTTAAAAGCAAAGACGGAGAGGGATAAATTTTCACGAAAGAAAAATATATATTTTTATATAAAAATTATGTCTGTAATTAAATTTCAAAACGCATCTGTCGTGTTTTCATCACTCTGCAATGAATTCGTTCCATTTCAAAGTCGTCTAGATTCAATTCAATCACCTAAAAATGCGACAAATACAACAAATTCCACGTCCGATAAAAGATCCCACAAATTAAACTAACCACTTTTTATTGAAGTTCATAGCCGAAATCAAAGCTCAGAATCAAGAAAAATAAAAGCAGTTTTAGTCCACACATACTCCAGAAAGAAAACGGCTTCAAAGCCTTTGGCAAAAGTAATGAATTTTTGAATATGGATAATTATTAGCAATTGTCTTAACTTAATTTTATCAAATGCAACAGTAAAGAAATGACCTTATCGATAAGAAAATTCTCAGCCACTACTTTCTCGGGAAAATTTTTTAATCGAGTTACGATCGAGTGAAAATCATTAAATTCTTTTAATTGTGAGCTGGTGCCCAAACCATATTGGAATAAAACCACGGCAACTTTAAAAAGAACTTTAACTCCTGCAAACAAGAAACAATAATAAAGACAACAACTGTTTCCTTTGAATAAATATAAAAAGTTCAGTAGAAGAACAATAAATAAAAAATCGAAAAATTATGGCTTAGATAATAGATTTTCTCCGAAATATACCTGCTGGAGATAAACTGAAAGAAAAAAAAAATAAAAGTGAATTCAAAACACCTATATTTTTATTTCATATAAAAATTCTCGTATAAAAATTAAATTTATCATTAATTTTTCAACATATTTAAATATGAATAGTAGCCACATTCTCACACAAAAAGCCTTATTAAACCTTTTCGTTTTGGCAATTCACAAATTCTAAATATAAAGCATGTTCTTTAATATAATGTATAATTTCTTTCTTACTGAGTGGTGAAGATCATCTTAAACCTCAGGCCCTCTACCAGAGGCCTGAGAGATCTACGCAGTATCATAGCTATTCTGGATAGTCTCTGATTCTGGATAATCGCTATTTCCGGAATCTGCTAAAGGCATTTTATAGAATCACAGAACCACAGTTCTGTTGTAGAGCTTCATTTATTATTGTTTTTGGCTGGTGTACAGCCTCTGTATAATAGACTTGAGGCGGAAATTTCTGTGCTTTGTAAGTAGTTTCCGGGACATCAGCACCCGGAACATCTTTCTTTGTCCATCTTACTATGATGGCTGTGTATGGATTTTTTTCTTCCCATTGAGCTGACTCTTCAAGATTTATCTTGTCCTTTGGTGGCATATGATTGTTTCAAATCTCCTCATAATGGTTACCATGTGACTGTGGGATACAAAGCGGCTAGCCAGTATGTTCGCTATATGTCCTGATGACAGGTCCATCCCATTAGTCACCACTACCTTTCCTCTTTTTATTACCATCTGGCCACATTCCTCTAATCCAAATCAAATAATCCCAGTGTCCTCTCTGTAGACCATTTTAGATGGATGAGCAAGTCTCGTTCGTTTTTCACATAACTCGATATAATCCATGTAAAGAAGATGGCTGAAGGTAGCTCTGTTCTTGAATTTTATCCATATTCGATTTTGAGATTATTTGACCGAAGGGGTTTAGACTATGCAGAAGAGTAGGAAAGAATGCATCATCTTGATATATGCAGCACTTTGATAACCACTGTTCAAGCTGAATTGACTTCAGATGTCATTTTCCACAGTCCCACTGAGTTCTCAATGTCTTTAGGATTTTGTAGATTCTGTGTTCACCGATCTATCTGTGGAGTATTGAGTCATAGGATTCTCTATAATCCAAGCTATGTACATATTGGTCTCTCAAGATTTTCAGTTTTTTCTTTCAGTTTTTCAGTTCAGTTCAATTTTCAGTCAAGATTTTCATGCCTTAAATATGAGCAGCTGATGTTTGGAACCTATGGTGTTGTTCCCAATGCCTTTTTGAATTGCACTCACAAACTGGCTCATATGGTCATGAAGCTTGATGGTTGTGTCACCTGACAGAATTTTCCACACTGTGGTTAAGCCGATTATTGGTCAGTACTTGGATGTTGTTCATTTATAAGAGTCTTTCATGATCAATACCGTCCTTCCTTATATTAACCAGTATGGGTGAGAGTCTGCCATAAGCAACTGGTTCATTTGTGCCGTTAAGCGGTCATGAATCACTGTTAGCTTTTTCCTGCAGGTGTGAATCATATCCGGACTAGGCGCTGTCCAACTTTTCATATTTTTGAGTCGCTGTTGGATGTCAATAACTGTGATGGTAGAAGTTATAACTTGTTCTCAGATCTTGCAGCCATTTTACATTGGTTTTATGAATCTTCCGTTCCTCACATATATTCTTCCAGTATTTTTTGCTGTTAGTGGTTACAAAAACTTTGTTGTTTGTTGATACCATATTACTGCACTGAAATTGAGAGCAATCATGGATAGTTCACTGAAGAACAGGGCATTAATCTTTTAAACCTCTACTTCTCTAATACGCCTCCTTAGCATAGCGGCATATGCTCGCTTTATTTAACGATCTCGAGAGATTTTGTTGGGGTGTGGCCCTTGTATTTTCCCACTATTTTTACTGTCCTTTCTGTCAGCTGGCTAACTTTTTTGTGTTAATCTTATTTTCCAGCCTCATTTTCCATAGACGAACACTGGTATTCTTCTTGATTTTGATTTTATACTCCAGAATTTCGAGAATTATGTGGCTGTTGCGTACATCAGTTCAATAATTAATTCCTGTTATAGTGATAAAAAGAAAACTCTTATACTCCTATTTACATCTCCGATTGTATTATCTGGTAGTGCATCACTGAACCTCACTGGTCGGTCTCTATGGTTAGCTACAGTTATTTTATTCATTTCTGATATCAACTGTCAATCAACTTTCTGCTTTGTAGCGGCGATATTGGAAGATAGCTTCCAGCTTACCAGTTTGTTGCATGGCATCTCTTCTTGTCTCTTCTTTCTGAATATCCTGGATCTGAAATGTAGCGCATAGTTGATCCATCATCAATTGAGAGAACAGCTTCCTTTTTCCTATATTGAAGAGTTGTGTCACTAAATGTTTCTCAGTAATATGGATGTGGAGATCTTTTTTGTGGACACCCACAGTTCCTTCATACATCTCGTATAACTCCTTTCATTAGGTCTACTGCTGTAGTAATATTCTATCAACTCCAGTTCATCTTGTCTAGCCCATACAAAGTTTCCAGTAGCCCTTTTAATGGCCAGAATACCCTAGTTCCACATGTTGCGCTGTTCCTGTACCCTACTTATCATTAGATAGTCCTGATCTCCTAACAATCTAACGCAAACCTAATTAATCCTGGCGATGTCCGAGTCGACATGATTTTAATATATGATATTCTCATGTTTAAGGTAGAACAGGTAAGCATTAAGAGGACTTCGCATAAAAACTCCACTGGAAAGGAAGAGGCTTTGGCTGCAATTGGAACCAAAACATTTTTTTTATTTTCCATATCAATCGCCCCCGCCTTTAGCCATTACATATGCCTGTAAAAAGATGGTAACATGTATTATCAAGGACTTAAGACTTTGTAATAAAATAAGACTTTGAAGATCCAGCTCAACGAAAAAAGTAAAATCCATGCCATAAAAATGCTGGAATAGCGCAATGGTTAGGGCAAGCGATTAATATGGAATGTAACGACAACGCATCGCAGCCAATACTCTCTACACCTTATTCCGATGAGGGTCCTTGGACAGATCCACTGGAAGTTTACCTCTCTCTCTAAGGCCTCTGGTACAGGACCCGAGATTGAGGGTGACCCATACCAGCCACAAGGGATGAGAACGAGAAAAATTGCAACATCTAAGTATTATCAAAAAATATGATGACAAATTCTAACAAGCCAGCTCAATGGGAAGAACAAAATCCATGCCATAAATATATAGGCCTTGCCAAACATCAGATACGCAACCAATAAGATAGTAAGATGGTCAAAGGAAGAGAGAGATTCCTATGCGAAGATACGGAAACTCCTCACAATGGAAATTTTTCCTTCCTAAGGCCAACACATAAAGACTGTACAGAAGAAAAGAGGGTGGGAGTTGGTGAATGTGAAGACCACTATTTTGCACGAAATCTGAAGCACAAGCACAAATCAGCAAGATCGCACCGAAAAAGCTGCTGAGAGAACGTCTGATGCTACAGACATTGGAAAAAGACCAAGGAGAGGAAGTGGCAAAACAAGACCCTTCATGATTTGTATCAACGACAGAGACCTAAGTAGAAAATTAGATAAACATAAATCAGCTAAATCTATCAGTGGATGGAAAAAGCAACAAGAACAGGTACTAAACATCAGAATGATCGAAGCAGCGAAAAACCTGAGCCTGAGTTGACCCTCATCGCCCAAAAGCGGATGAGAAAGGCTTTTTAAACGTATTAAAAAATTTTTTTAATAATAAATTTTAATAATATAGTTATGGCATTTAAGTATTAGATATTCGCATTTTCACCACAAATTCTGGCGCAATCTCTAAGACAAACGCTGAAATGCAGAAATAGAGAGAAGAGAAAAGATAAGTACCCACTTTTAAGTATCTTTTTTCTACTCTTTCCCCTTGGACTTAGAAACCTTTTTATATTTTTAAATGATTTAAATTCTTGGTATTTCAACCTGAATCGAGTTTATTTTTTATTTTTAATTCCTATTACTTTCTTTCTTTTAATTTATTCATTATTTTCCTTTAGATAAAATTTTATATTTTCGCTGCGCTTTATACTACATTCTCATCCGTTTTCTACACATTAATAGCAAGGAAAAAGACCAATTTCGTGAATTTCTGGATACCTTCACAAAAAAACATGTCCCATATTCGCAGTACCGTTGGCCAAGGCAATGATCGACAATAAAGGCACATGAACCACTCGATCATAAAAAGTACTGGTTCTACGCAATGTTTTTTCTGAAAAATCAATTAAGATAATCGTTAAATATAAAATATCATTCAGAAAATTTCAAGGATTTTATATAATAATTAAAGAATGAAGAATGAAAAGGTGACTAGCAATAGATCGAAAAGATAGGCGGTAATAGACAACAAAATTATTCAACTAACCAAGTGTTTGTAGCTGTTTCTGGATTTTTCCTTAAGAATTTGAACAAGAATTTCGCCATCAATTTGAACAGATTCCTAGAACTGAGATACAATTGATCAAACAATAAAAAACAAATAAAAATATGTCGGACTTTTAACCAACATCAGAGTAAAAAATAGTAACCTATTAAAAATAGATAATTTTTTAAGATTCTTAAAAAATTCAAAAAACACCCAAAACAAATATTTACTCACAAGACCAGCACCATAATAATCAGGTAGATATTTGTGACAAATCTGAACGAAGCAATAAAAGGCATCTCTCAAAGGCATATGCATGAGAAGAACTGAGGCAACAGGAGCTTGTGCTTGGCAGTATCCTTCATCAGGATGCAAAATCGTATAAGCCTTCAATAACTGCAGAAGATCTGATCGCCTAAAAACCGATTCCATATAACAATGCCGTTTGGAATAAAAAAGGAAATGGTTCAGCTTTAATAAGGCACACCCAGCGTGTCCATAAGGTCCCGTTCCAGAGAACATAATATGTTGAGGAAATTGACGATTTATATCCTTCTCGATTTCGATAATCCATCGATGGTCGCCAGGTGCTTTCATCAATTCCTAAAAATAATCAAATAAACTGAATACTTTGAATAATATTCAAAAAAACTTCAGAAAAAGCTGAATATGATTGAATAAAATGTTATCGCTCTTCTAATTTATTTATCGATAAAAGTTTTTAGATTAGATCACTCTTTAAAGATCGCTGTTATCCAAGAAATTAAGGTTTATTATTCAAATAAACAGAAACATTTACATCAAAAACAGTCTTATTGACGCTAAATTCCATGTGAAATGTAGCACCACTTAAATACTTCCAGGCCCGACCTCTCAAAGATGGTGGAATCCCTTTCTGACATCGTTTTTTCACAATATCAAATTTATTGTCCATAAAATATGACCAATTTGATAACATATATAACCATTTTTTCTCTCGACGACGCAATACTGTCAAGTCCGCAAATAATGTAACACCGCTTAAAAACAAATTAGAATAAAATTCACATAAATTAACTCGGATCACAAATAGGGAATCAGTTGATTAATGGTATACCCAAAAATTATGGAATTTTTATTTTCAATTTGTTCAAAAATGAACAACTGTTTAAATACTGCGGCCCTTTAACAGCGAAGCATTTCATCACAGTACTTCTCATACAATATTTGAACAATATTTTTAAATAGCCACGAATCCAAGATCTCATATTAATGTTTTCATATAAATGGTGATATATGGGTATGGGTTTTTGATTTTAAAGACCGCTCTTATCCAAGAAATTAAGGTTGATTATTCAAATAAACAGAAACATTTACATCAAAAACAGTCTTATTGACGCTAAATTCCATGTGAAATGTAGCACCACTTAAATACTTCCAGACCCGACTTCTCAAAGATGGTGGGTTCAGCGAGTTGTCGCTCAATTCAGAGTGAAGCTGAGGCTCTATTCTTCGCAAGAATAAACCTGTTCAGGAATCCAGGCGGAATCCAGGCGATGCTAGCAACTTCCCTGCATTTCTATCGCCAAGGGACTCCCTAGCATATTTGCCCAGTACGATAAGCCAGAATATCGAGTCTAATCACTAATGGTGAGGGCTCTTAAAAAAAAAATGTAATATAAGAAACACTATGCCGTTTGCAAAACAAACAGAAAGAAACAGAGATGTACAGATACAGAAATAAAATAATGGCTTAATTGTTCATGGAGCAATATCAAGATGTTCCTATTAGCAATCAGAAGAAAATTTAAACGAAAGAACTGAGAAAATAAAAAAAATGACATGGTGACACTGGATCCTTCGCTTAGGGAACAGTGAACTGAATACCAAAAACATTAATTTGATCAAAAAAGACCTTTGTCGAGGATCCTGTACAAATCCAAACTTGTCCACCAGTATTTTCTGGAAGAAATCCACATTTTCAGCTTTATTTTCAACATCATTGAATTGTTGCTTCATTTCACCACTATAAATTATTTTGCAATTTGATGATCCATTTGTTTCCGACTGCAATCAAAGAATTTAATACATCATAAACCAATTTATTTTTTAGGCTGGAAATTATAAGGTGAAAATTCGAAGGAATTTTAAATTTTTCATTTAATAACATTAATTAATTTTTCATTTAAAAATTTTACATTCTGCAAAATGCAAAATCTATATTTTGAAAATATTTTTACTATTTATTTTATATTAAATTATTATTGCCACCAAGAAACTTTACCGAAGTAGTCAGCCGGATTCAAAAAAGCAAAAAAAGAATTATATGAAACCTATAGTCAAATGCTTTCGATTGGTCAATAGCTAAGTGACTGAGACCCACTTTTGCCCCTTGATTGAAACATAAATATCAAGTAAAAGAGGAAACCATACTCTCCTTTATGCCTCTCTAGTAAAGGGCCTTAATTTACTAGAAAATAATAGAGAGGAGTAGGATCGGGGTTCGATATGCCAGTGGAAAGCAGCTTTCTTCGCTTTGCCGAACAGCATAAGCTTTTTGTTATTAATACATGCTACCCGCATAAAAGAAAACATCTAGATCATATAGATCATGTGAAATTCATCGAATAACCAGCTTTCCGACCAGATCAATCCTAGTCGGCATATCACTAAAACTAGTAACCTGCATGGATCAGACCATGTTATGGAGCCAAGTTTAAACTGCAACTCGCAAGAAACCCCAAAGGTCTTGATCATAAATTAATAGAATCGGGAATAAAATATTTCAAACTAAACTTATTGAAGCATTGCAATGATATCAATATTCAGCGACATCTTTGGAACTACAGATGAATACTGGATATTGGACCCAACTAAAAGTCTCCGAAAGTTAGCCACTTTCACTAGGATATACTAATAGGAAACGTACCAATTGAAAATAACTACCCAACTGTGCGAAAAGATTGCCAAAGGAAGAGTATCAGGAGATTACGGCTATAGGATGCTTCGAAACGACAGCAGCAGGACAGAAATTCGAGCGATATGGTCTTGAAAATGATGACATATTCTCAAATAATCTCTGCCATCCAGAAGGCCAATGAAAAGATAGCCTTCGAGTTGAATTCTTCAAATTTTGCCCACTATTCTTTATAACACTTTCAACAAATATATTCTTTGGTATGGAAAAAAGAAATACCAGACGACTGGAACAAAGCAATTCTGCTCCCAATTCTCAGAAAGGATAACAAAGCATGCTATGACAATAATGGAGGAATCAGTTTATTAGAACCGGAAAATTTCGCTTCCCTTTTATTAAATATGCAGTAGGATGCGCCCTAACCAAATTAAATTTAGACCGCGATGCCATTATGCTGACCAGATTTGCGTTAAGAAGGATGCTGGAACATCGCTTCAAATATCAGCAATCCATCATCACTTATTTCATCGATTTTATTTTCCTTTAATACATTTAAATACAGCTAATCGAACGCTTTGAAGGGTGATGGAGTACGATGATCCAAAGAAGATCAATCGACTCATAAGAGCATTTTACAGGAGTACGTCGTGCATAAGTTATGTACAAGGGGAACTGACATTCTTTTCGAAATAAAAACTGGCGTCCGTCAAGACTACCTTCCTTATGCTATTCAACTATATGATAGACTCATTATCCATGAACATCGTTTGTTAGCATTCAAGAGGAGAGGTGCACAGATTTGACGGTGTTCCAGAAAAAACCATTAGACTCATAAAGGCATTTTATGAGCAAACGTTGGCGCAGGTCTGTGTATATGGGGAGCTGACAGATTCCTTCGATATAAGAACAGGTGTTAGGGCTGCATCCTTTCCCCCATAATATTCAACTATGCGATAAACTGGATAATGGACACTGCTTGCCGGCAATCAAGAGGTATCCAAATTAGTCCAGAGCATCGTATCATAGATCTTGAATACGCTGATGATGTAGTCCTTTTTGCTGACAGTTATAACGAAATGCAAGAAATACTAAATAACGTATCAGAAACTGCAGCAAGAATCGGATTCAGGATCAATGTACATAAAACGAAAGTCTTTTCGTCTTATGTGCAAGAAGCTGATAAAATGCCTCTTTTTGTAAATTCATTGCTGAGGAAGTGCCTGATTTCCTTGGATCCACTCTAATACCAAATGGACAGGCAAAAGATGATATTACAACTCGGATCACGGAAGCTAGAAATGCGTTCTTTCGGTTGACGAAACCTTTATGGAATCGTCGTGAAATCACCATAAAAACAAAAGTCTGCATCTATATAGCCGTGATTCGTTCGATTTTGCTATATGGCTCTGAGACATGGCCAATGGGAGTGGATGATATTAAGAAGTTATTTGTCTTTGACCACTCTTGTTTAAGGTACATTTTCCGTCGAGCGGGTAAAATATCACATGATCGCATCCACCTTCGTTCAAAAACCACCCGTATTAATAATGTTATCACAAAGCACCGCCTTCGCTGGTTAGGGCACATTCTCCGTCGTCCACCACAGGAGTTGACGCATATTTCGTTATTTGCTAAACCGTGTGATGGTTGGCGTCAAAAGCGAGGTGGGCCAATCAAGACCTGGACTGATACGGTGAGAAAAGATTTTGAACGTATAGATGGACTAGCAATATATGGACTTAGACGATGGAAAAAGGAATGGCTTCATTACTGTCGACGATGGCATCAGATCGTCGATATTTCGGTAATCAATGTATATGCTCCTACTTTATGAGCAGATTACAATAAGGATAAATTCTATGCGGAACTTCAACAGTTAACAGTTATCCCTACCGAGAGATGACAAGGTCATACTCAGGAGAGAATGGAATGCGCGCGTAGGTTATGATGTCGTTTCGATAAACTCAGTGATTGGCAAATATGACATCGGGGTCCAGTGCGCCAATAGGGAACGCCTTCTTCGTTTGGCCGAATAGCACGAGCTCTTTGTTACTAATACTTGCTTTTGGCATCGGAGAAGATATAGAAGATAGTCATGTAGAACTTTCCGGACCAGTATTCCAATTAAATTGACTAAATATTGGTCAATTGTCTTTATTTTTATGCTGATGATTGTAAAATTTATTATTCTCATGGTAGAACGGATAGCCTATCTCCACTGCAGGAGGACCTCAACAGAATAGATTGGCTATATGACAGGCAAATTACCCTTTCCTTTCAAAAATGTAGCGTTCTTCACATCAACTCTAAAGGATTCGATCTTCCTAACCTTTTTATAAATGGTAATTTAATCAATAGTCAATAGAGTCTCACACATAGTTTAATCAATAGAGTAATAGTTTAATCAATAGATTCTCACACATCTCCGATCTTGGAATAATCATGGATGAAAATCTCAATTTCGACCTTCAGAACTGCAGAACCATAGTAAGCAAATCCTCAAGGATACTAAACTTTATTTTTCGTTCGTTTAAGAACAAAACTGAAAGTTTTCTTATCAAATTCTTATCAAATTATACAAAGCATTCGTTCGGCCTCTTCTTGACTACAATACTATATGTTACTCCCCTAGACATCGCAAAACAGGTAAAATAATCGAGGGACTCCAAAAATATTTTCTAAGACGCCTCTCTCCTAATAAAAATTATAATTTTAATTATAAAAGAACACTTCAACAACATAACATGGATTCTCTCTCAGTTCCTAGAATTAAACAAGATTTAATTTACACATATAAGATTCTGTATGGCTATGTTAGATTGCTAAATTAGATTGCTTGAAATATTATAACTTTAGACTAAATTTAAATCCAACAAGAACTAATGGCTTAAAATTACTAAAACCTATATGCAAAACTAAACTAAGGACTCATGACTTCTTTATTCGTACTATTAACTACTGGAACAAACTGCCGAACGATGTAGCTTGTGCGTCATCCTTAGCTGTCTTTAAAAAAAGACTAGATAATATCATTTACGATATTATTTAAAAAAAAAAAATGAGAAGAGTTTACACCAGGCAAAAATTGCAGGAAGTGAGAAATCTCGATTTTATCTTCAGGTTATATATGTTACTTCGAATTGTACTATATTATATTGATCTGTAATTTCTTCTTTAAATTGTTAATTTTTGTCATATTGTATTATAATTAATTTCGTTTATGTTATATTTTTTTTGTGTTTTCTTTTTCTGTTATTATTAATACAATCACATGGCGTTGTCGCCCTGCTTGGCTGGTGATCAATAAATAAATAAATAAATAAATAAATAAATAAATTGCCGTTGAAAGAATGTAAAGAATGCATTGAGAATTCTGTATGAGTTCTACTTGATAGTCATTGATATATCCCAGTTAAATGAATGACAACTCTGGTACGGCGAATGAATACTGGTCCCAACTAAAGACATGACAAAAGTCAGCCACATTAGGGTAATAGTGGGAAATGCGCAAGTTGGATATCTGTGCCAAAGTCCGAATGCCAGGAGATTCTGACTTTCGGATTCAAAGGATTGCAACAGCACTGCGGGTCAGAAATTACTATTGGAACGAAATGGCCTTGAGAATTGAGACGGCGGCTTGATTAGGTGATAATAGGAAACTACTATTTCCCCTTCTTCACAAAGCAACTATAACTCGAGAAGGGGCTAGTGAAATGATACGGGTTATTAATGGGGTGTTAAGGCTATTAAGGATCGCGTCATAAGGTGGGAAAGAATTTTTTGAGGCCAAACTTAACCATAATGCCATCTGTTGTCCCGGATATAACTGATTCATCCGTTGAGCCTTACGTTTGCAACTGTAAACCACCAACAAAAGAGGAAATAATCCATAAGTTTAAGGCCAATAAAACTCCAGAAGATAGTCTTCGAACTCTTCAAATGTTGTCCATTCGTTCATAACTCACCTTCAACAAATGAATTCTTTGGTATGGCAAAAGGAAATAATACCAGAAGATTGGAACAAAACAATTCTGCTTCCAATTTCTAAGAAAGATGACAGGACTACTGGGACAATTACCGAGGAATTAGTCTACGCCTCAGAAAATTTCTGCTTCCCTTTTACTCAGACTTATGGAAGTATGGGACAGCAGGATCCGTGCGCTCTAATCAAACTATATTCAGGCTGAGGTATGCTTATGTTGACAATATATTCACATTAAGGTGTTGGAACATCGCTTCAAATATTTGCAACCCATCGTCGCGTATTTCATCAACCTTGCGGCTTCGTTTCAATTGATAGAACGGCGCTGTGGAGAGTGATGGAACGCGATGGTGTTGCAGAAAAGATCATTCTACTCATAAAGGTATTTTATAAGCGTACGTCGGCGCACGTTTCTGTACATAGGAAACTACAATTTCTTCGAAATAAGTTTAAAGCGGCGAAGTGTAAACGATGAAACGGCATTAAGCAAGAAATAACCAAGGAGGACGAGCTTTGACGACAGGTTTATATTCAATTTGATAATAAAGTTATGCAAGATTTACTTTTACTTCATTCTATTTCTTCTTATTCATATCCTTAATTTCAAAATCAATTTTTACGGTTTTTTATGTTTCAATTTTCTATTTCAACGAATTCATTAATTTGGCCCTTGTATCTATATTTTTTATAGAATATTATAAATTATGCGAAGTGAAACCATTTTAACTCTCAAAAAATGGAAAATAACCTCAAGAATTGGAAAATTTCGACGGATAAAAGAACTATTCAAAAACAGATCAATCAAAATTATCCAGTCAATTGACTTTTTCATTCAGTCTTATAGTATATTAATTAACACCTTTGCCAACTTTCTTCTATGACCAAGTGGGGACGACCTTCGGTCTAAACCGGCAATTTTTTATCGTTCTATCCATGAGCATACGCGCAACTGAGATGTGAGCAAAATCGATCGATGTTCATATGTTCATTAGGAATTTCGAAAAAGAAACCGCGAAACTTTGCTGAGCGTATTGAGATGAAGTTGAAGCATCGTTATCACCGCCAATATTTATCACATCATTATCGGCCAATCGATTATCAATCTCCTCCATCTAAAAACCATCCATTAATAACAGTTCAAAAACATTCACAAAAAATAAATAAATACCTCATCTAATTGATTCTTCTTCCAATAATTTTTTGAAAATATTTGCCTAAATTCGCCAATAGTGGAACCCCTTAGTCATCTCTGAAATGTCATTCACTTGCTGGACACCTGCAAGATCTTGCCAGCTCGCGCTGCAGACCAACTCAATAAGCCGGCAACAAATAGAAATGTTTGTACAGCTGCAAAGTAAAACCACTATTTCTCGGCTTTGACTGGATGGTTTTTTCTAATTCGTTACACTGGTAGAGATGTTTTTTTGGTTAGTTTAATTATTACAAGGAGTTTGTAGGGTAATTCGAATCTTTGAAAGGGAAGCTGGCGACAAGCTGAATCGGTTGAGCGTTTCAGCGAATTCTACTGAAATATTTATAATATTTCTCGGTTCTTTTCAAACTGCAATGGCGTTCGTTCAATGCAAAAACCTTGGAGAGAGAGTTTTATTCTCCTTCTTTTTCATTAGAGTATTAAATAATTGAAGCAGAAATCAGTGCTTTAATTAATTTAGCAGTCCGTTAAGTGAAAGGATGAGAATTATTCAACTATTTTTAGTTATGCCGGCGGCGCGAGTGTGACAAGTCGCACTAGTCGTTAACGTTTATTGCGATGCACGTGCTCCACTGGTCTGTCACATTGAGCAATATGCCAAGGAGCCCTTTGGCAATAGAAATACAGATTAGTCGCCAGCATCACCCGGATTTTTGTACAGGTTTAACCCTACGAGAATCGGATCTCAACATCGGCGCTCTCAATTGAGCAACAACCCGAATTCCTCACTCCCCCAAACATAACGAGGTTATAAATACATATCCCACAACAGTGAGTGCTCCCCAATCACAACAGCAGTTGTAGAGATAAACACACACACACACACAGACAAGCATCTTGTCGACATCTACAACTACATTGACTTTACTCTAATATTGAACAGTTTCTAACAGGAACCATCTAAGCCAGAAATCTGTGTAAAAGTCTATAATATATCTGACCGCGCAGTATTCCCCTTCTAAGAAAAAAAGGTTATTAAAAGGAAAGATATCACAGGAACTGATATTGGCAATTCCTTTGGCCCCGGATCAATCCTGCGTGCTGGTCTTCGAACTCTCGTCGTAGGTTGGTTCTATAAGAACTCTTCTGGATTTTCTGATACTGAAGGAATCCCGCAAAACTTTCACAAACCCGACGCATGTTAGACTAATAGGCCTGGGACTAAAAGGATCATAGATGTTTCGCTTTTGGGAATTAATTGGGACAATTTCCAAATTCTTGGATTTAGGCCATTATGTCCTTGTTAATTAAAAATAGAAGGGGACTCAAGGAAACTGTGCATTTTTTATAAAATATTTGTGAAATGTTGTCTGGACCAGTTGAAATAAAAGTTTAAGTTTATTTAGGGCGACGTAAACATCCAATAATGTAATTTCAAAAAAAAATATTGGAGTTAAATTGTTCGCTTAAATTATTCTTTGTTTGCTATTGTTCGAAACGTCTTCGTATTCTTTCTTTCGTAGGTTTGAACATTGATATCTCCTGTTAATGATTTCTGTGGAGTAAATAATGATTCAAGAGTAGTTTCATTGAAAGTTATATCGCCAGGCTTTCTAGATATCAATGTTAATCAAAGATATTAAATTCGTTTACCTTTCATACGCTGATCATCCAACTTGCGGAGAAGAAGGCGATCTTTGCCGACTCGTCCAGTTTTTTGCCGTGTTTTAAAAACAACTGGCGATCTAAGTAGCGGATAAATCACGTGTTTAATATCTGCTTTTTCATTCAGACAAAATGAAATAAATGAAAATGGTCGAGATGCTTCCAACGATGGCTTCAAACAAAAGAAGGCTGCTGTACCAGTGCACTTCTCTACTGTTGCAATAGCTCTGTGAACATTTCCATTTTCCATCATTTTGTGTTGATGCTGTTGATTGTGTTGAACATTCGTAGTCGCTGTACCAGATCTCCTAGGTCCAAAAGATTTTTGTGTAGCGCCGCCTCATCTCGACATTTATGTGGCGGTCGTTTAAGTTGGTTAAAAAACGGACAAAAGAGAGGCTCACGGCAATTTATTTGGCTTCGTTTTTCCCAGTTCTTTATATCGGTTTCCAAATCGTTAACAAAGCGTTTATTGTGACATACGATACACAATATAAGACAATGTCAACGCAACAATAATGATAGTAAAATGAGATACACACGCATAGACAACCACAACCACCTTGTTGACATCTACAGTTATATTAACCATACTTTAATATTGAGCCGTTTCTAACAGAAAAATCGTTTTGTGCAATACAATATCTGACTTAACAATAATTATTCCACCTTCCTTCGTTTAAATATCACCTGCATTAATATTACCATCAAAGAGCGTCGCCTTCACTGATTAAGGCACGTTCTTCATCATCCACTCCAGCAGATACATATTTGCTACTTGCTAAGCTACTTGTGATGGATACCATCAAAAGCCAGGAGAATAAATCAAGAAATAAATAAAAGAATCAGCGATATACGGTGGATGGAATGCTTACTGTTATCAACAATATTATCAACAATATTACTATTATCAACAATATAAAAGGCTGGGAAGATTGGGTACTAACCCTTATAGCCAGCAGAACCAACCTAACCATACTGAGAGCTGACTGACTTACCTGTATTTCTATCGCCAAGACTCTATGCCATATTTGTCCAATGCGACAAGTCAGCGGAGCGAGTACAATCAGTAATGGTGAAAACTCTTAAAAAAATAAAAATAAATGCTTCAAGAATTTGTAATTCTTGTTCGCTTTTCAGTCGCAATTCTTCTGTTTTTTTCCTCGTATTTATTCCAATTTGTTTGTTTTATAATTCGAAGAGCTCACCATTATTCAAACTTGCTGCTGTGGATTACTGGCAGGTTATTGGGCTCAGACCACCTGAATTTTTGAAGTATAAGTCCTGTCTGAGTAGAACCGGACACCAATGCTTCGAAATGAAAGCAGCAATTCCTGAACCATTCTGCTCTAAGTTAATTTGTTTAATTCAAATCATATGTAATGTATTATTCTTTATTTTGCCCTAAATCTTATTTATTAAAATTACATTTGTAAGAATCCTGTGTTAGGAAAGATTTTTGTTTATTTTGTTTGCTTATTTAATTCTATCTTTAAATATAAATAGTACATTGAAGTTTACTTAATATTCAGTAAATATCTTGGGTCCATTCTAATACCAAATGGCCAGGCAAAAGACGATATTATAGCCCGGCTCACCGCAGCTAGAAATACGTTTTTCCGGTTGACGAAACCCTTATGGAGCCGTTATAAAATTACCAATGTCGGCATCTGCATAGCCGTGATTCTTTTGATCTTGCTCTGTGGCTGTGAAACATTGCCAATGATAGTGCACAATATTAAGTTGTCTGCCTTTGACCACTCTTGTCTAAGGTATATTTTACGGGTCACACAATCGCATCCGCCTTTGTTCAAACACCACTTGCATTAATAATGTTATCACAGTGTCGCCTTTGCTGGTTAGGACATGTTCCACTATATGAGTTGATATTTTGTTATTTGCTAAACCCTGTGTTGGGTGGTGTCAGAAATGAAATGGGCCAATCAAGATCTGGACTGTTCTGATACTGTCAGGAAAGATTTTGAATGTAGAGGTGGATCAACAATAAATGAACTTGGACGATGGAAAAAGTAATGGCTTCTATTACTGTCGACGATGGAATCAGACCGCATCTCTTATTAGCATTTTACCTTTGTAGCCAGCCTAACCAGTAATTGTGAGAGCTGTTAGAAAAAGAAAAATTCTGGCTCTAAAGAAAAATAATGAAGGAGCATTTTGAGTGTAAAATGAAATCATGGTTAGGCTTTCCTCTCGCTTCAGTTAGCAGAACAGATCTGTTGCATAAATTCTTTCATCCGCCATTATACTTGGCTCATGCCGTCTTGAAAAAGAATTACAGAAGCAAATGAAGTATATAATGTATATTAACAGCAAATGATTATCAAATAAGACAAAACTAGATACAATTCCTGATCAGATCATGTTATGATTGGGGCCTTAACCTGCATAAAACTGACAACTCGCAACGCCTCTCATCATCTTTCAACTATCTCAAACTAAAAGATTCGGCGAATAAGAGCATTTTAATCATTTCAAATCGAATTATTGAAGCACAACTCAGTGATATGATTTAAATTCGGCGACATCTCTGGAACATTCAGTAAAATAATACGGAACGATATAATGTACCTGTTAAGATTATTAAGGATCGCCTTGTAAGGTGGCGATTTGCGCCAAAATATCTTAAGAAACGAATGTTGATTAGATAAATTTTTGGTTCGGAAGGCGTCGAATACTGTTTCAGCACAAAGTAATGATAAAATGCACAGGAAAGGCCACAATTTCCTCTCTGCCGACTAAACGAATTGCCTAAATTCGCACTCCACGCGTTTTTGCGACTAAATTTGCCAGTATTTTACCTGTAATCGACCCAAATGCGAAAGTCGAAATACCGAAGGGGCAGAAATGAAGGACAAAGCGTGGAAAATACGAGCCTACGACGATTTTATTCGTTCATTTAAATAAATGCTCCACATTTCTGATCGGTGATTTTCTATGATCTTCTGTTAATAAACGAAACATACTTACAATGATGAAGTGCCTTTCGTTTTTATATTATATTCAGTACGGTTCTGCTTTAAATATTATATTGCCGCCGCGGGCAATGGCGGTGGCGTCGCAAAGCTCGTCTCCAGCAAACTTTGCCACTCATTTAACAACTCACCAATAATTTATATTAGTAAGAAAAAAATACTTTCATCACTGTTAATTAATTAACGCCCTGCAATTGATGGGAGTCGTTGCGTCGCCGCGATTTCATCACTTTTGTATTATTTCAGGTTTGAAGGAAAATAATTTATTAATAGCAGAAAGTGAGATATAGGAGATCATTTCTATTTACGCATAAGTGATTATTTCGCTGTTTTCACGATTACTTTCTAAGGTTTGATTTCCCTTTTAATTCATAATTAACGTTCAATTGGCCAAACAAAACCACTTGGGACTGTGACCTCTTTTTCAGACACAAACGCGGCGCTCAATTAGAGTTGCTATGTAGGTTGTCTGAGGCACGTGCTTGAGCAGATCTCGCCGGAGCATGAAACAAGGAAGACTCGACAAACTCGGCAAGTCCACAATGGATACGTATTTTGTTAAAAAAAATCGTAGTTTAAATTAAGCCCTTCAAGTTTACAGTAGCCTTTTGCGCTGCAGGACCACAGTGACCGTAAGGGACCAACAATTATCCGATTCGTATTAGTCAGCTTCAGCTTCTGCTATTAGCTGCCAACTATTGCCAGTTTTTCTCAATTTTCGTCATCTTTTTGTCAGTACTTGCAACTCTCATTTAAAGTCATCAGCTGCAAATTAGAACTTGTTCTGAACAAAGTTGTAAAGATGGAATTTGTGGGTTGCGTGGGTTTGTTGTTGGGTCATGGGTCATCGTTTGGTTAACCAGTGCTTTTCGGGTTGAGATGCTGCTATTTGCAGCAATTGCGATTGTTAATTAATGCGAAGTTGCGGGAAAGTTTTGCTGAATTTAATATACAAAATAGATCCATTTTGCTTTATTCATGCTAATTTTGATAAGTGATTAAAGAAATGAAGTTTTTTTTTATTAAAACGAGCTGTGTGAGCTGCACGATTTTAAGGTCGGCCATGGTGTTGAGGCTTTTTCCCATTTCTCATATTTTTCTTTATTTGTTATTGTTTTTGAGAAAAAATTAAAAGATTTTTTTTAGTTTTTAAATATTTTTTTTAGTTCTTAATGGTATCTAATTCCTTGGAATAGATTGTTGCACCAGATTTTATCACTTCACCGTTCACATCAATTGTCTGCATCGTATAAAATCATCTGTTACCATTTATCGATTAATCAGTCGGTGACGGTCAAGTGATAACTGTAGTCATATGCATGAAAAGTTCTGGTGATGTTGAGTGCAAACCTTTATTACTGAGTATTCTCGGAATATTTGCCTGGGGTCTGGAAGAAGTCGCATCATCGCATAGTAATATTCAGGAGAATAAGCTTATCATTTCTGGTAGGCTAGCTGTACTGATTGTTAGTATAGCGAAAAATTTTTTCCAGTAATCACTTAATGATAGATCGCCAGTACCACCCTTCTTTAACAACAGGTTTTAATAACAGGTTTATTACTCTGAGTGGGTCTAAGAATCTCTTGATCTGGTTGAGTCGGAGATAGGAGGTGCTTACGAATTCTCAAGACGAAACTAAAAGGCAATTATTAGAAAAAAAAGATTATTTTAATAGTTAGATAATTTATTTAATCACTCTAGTTTCATGTTTATTATAATTTAAATTTCTTTAATTCAGTTTATTAGCTGAGACTAAGATTTTTCAGATTAACGAAATATGTTGTAATGAATAAGAGATTAATTTATAGATTAGATTAGAATAATAGTTGTAAATATAATGGATACGATATGATATTCTGAAATTACCTTTTAAAACCATTTGATTCTACATTATTGGTTTATGGCTTCCTTAAGTTCTGCGACACCGTCATTAGTGCTACTGTTGGGCATAGAAGTATAAATAAGTTGTGTTGGAAGTTGTAAGTTGTGAGATTATAATGTTTGACTTTATTTTAAGCAACATTTGTAGATATTTGCAAACTTTGCTATATGTCAAACAATAGAATAATAACAGAAATGGTTAATGTTTCAAACAATGCTAAATGTTGAAAGAAATTTTTTATGGTTCATTGAAGCTAAACGTATATTTGCTTTAGTTATATTTTAATCTTTTTCAGTTGTTAATTTATTAATTATCAATTATTTTAATTATTGCCAGATATTTTAACATGAATTTTTTCGGCTAATTTATAAAATTTAATAATTAATTACATTAATTTTTTGCAGATTGTGAGCGCTTTCGCTTGATAAACAAAAATGCCGAAAAGCACAAAATCTCGTGAACAGGTTGTTTTTTATTGATTATTTTAAATTTGTAATTCTCGATATTCTGAAATTACCTTTTAAAACCATTTGATTCTAATCTATTGTTTGAACAGATTTCATTTACGCCGTAGTTTTTTTTTTAAATTTTTTGTGTATAATATTTATAGATAATTATTTCGTTAAATATTTAATGAAGTAATTTAATAAATAGCATTTATTGTATATTTTTATTCATATTGTATATTTTTATTCGATGCAAAAAAAATCCATTTATCTTTATTGTTAACCATGGATATGAATATGAAATCACATGATAAATTTTGATATTAATTTCACACAATCTCCATTCGTTTTCATTTAAAAAAATGCTTGAAATAAATTATTTTTAGTCTTATGGGATGCGAAATTTGAAATTTTTATCCTTAAATTTTGGTGCTATTTCCAGTTCGAGATCGGTTTGAAATGTGCTCATCATATAGTATCAAAAAATGGCCTGAATCTTTTGCCACATCAAGATGATGTAATCGATAAAATTCATTTCTCAGCTGATGATATTTTAAGCATCTCAGTAGCTATGCAAGATGATAAGCAATTCCAAAGTACCTTTTATTTTTAATTAATTAGAATTAATTTAATTTATAAGAATATAGATATGTTATGTTTTAGCAAAAAAATTTTGAATTAAAATTTTGAATTAAAATTAAAATTTTTATGAATTAAAATTTAATGATTTTTAAAAATGAATATCTATGTTTCGTTAAATTTTTATTTAATTTATTGTTTTTTATTCCTGCTTTACTCTTTTAGCACTTTCATTAATTTGGTTAACGGTTTAATAATCTTCAATAATCTTATTTGCCAAATTTTTCTTATTCTCTAATTTTAGCTTTTTAGTGTTACTGTTACTTTTACTATTATTTCACTATTTTAAGATTGTTGTCTTAAATCAGGATATTACGACGAAGTGATTTTTTTTTGTAGTTTTTTTTCATATGATTTGTTCTATTTGAGGACTGCTTTAGATTTTACAACTGATCGTGAATATCGCGAACATAAGAATGGCAATAATCCATGTGATGAATCGTCAGATCTTGAGGTGTGGGAAGGAGATGATGAAGAATTAGGAAATTTAAAAGTCGATAATAAAGATTTAGAAGATTCAAGAGGTTGGCCAGTGGATGAAATGTTTGATGCAAACAACGCTCTTGGTGTAAAAAGTACTTTCGATGGCGATCTTAGCCAGTATACAACGTAATTTTTTTGAAGATAATTTGTTCCTAGAATTTATTAGATTGCAAATTGTTTATCTTATGGTAAGAAAAATGGTTTTGAAAGCGATAATAATCCATTTCAGTGCAAATATCGAGGGTGATGGAAAAGCTCGATTGAAAGCTGATGAGATTGCTCTTGAGATTGAACGAAATTCTGCGAGTGTTGCAAGATTAAAGATGGAAAATGATGATGATGAACGAGATTTAGATAAGGAAACACCTGAATTCCAAGTTACGAGCAATCGTCGATCCAGTAATAGGTATTTTTTAATATTTTTACTCAATACTACATGTATGGATTTTTAATGAGAAACTTGTTTGCAGCCGAAGTATTTACTCTGGGCCAAGAGGTAGCCATGGTAATAGTAATTCTATGCGAACTGGTTCAGCACAAATTAAACGTGATGGAATTGGTAACACTAGTCGTGGAGGTTTTTTTTTACAATTTGATAATATTTTTTAAATTATACTTGATTTTTTCCATTTCCTTTCCAATCTTCTTATCTATTATCTTTTTGAGTAGGTTCCATCATTTTTCAACAATTTTTTTAGGGTTGGTGGTTTTATGGAAAAAAAAGAATTATATTTCACATTAAAATTTTTTTTAACTGAAAAAAATGCCTCAAGTTTCAAAAGAATGTAATTTCTAAATTAAGTGATATTAAGGTCTAAATTAAGGTATGGAATTAAAATTCCTTTATATAAATAAACAAATATAATAGCTATTTTTGCGATGATTGTTTAGGCCGAAATATGATGCATGGACCAGGTGCGAGCTCTTCCAGATCTTTTACAAACTCTTCGTTAGCGCATGGAAATAAAGGAGTAACTGGTTCTTCATCAGCCAGTTATGGTATGCAGCAACGGTTTTATTCAATTGCAGAACGCAATGAAAATTCAAATTTAAGTTGTAAGTTTATTCTCTTCTCTCTCTTTATTTTTATGTCGTGGATGATTTTTAGTGTTCCATATTCTTGGTCTTTATGTATAAACTTTTAAATTTTTCGCAAAAAAACATTTTGGCCACTTTTTATGATTTTTTAATTTTTAGCTTATAAGTATTATAAAAGCTATGTATAAAACCGTTTAGGCTATGAGGAAGCTATGAGTTTATCTTTTGCAGTTATCAATATGTTTTAGAGGTGGGAAAATAAAACAAATACAAATTAGTAAGACAGAAAAGGACAACCATTTCGTATAGGAAATTAATTCTCGTCCTAACACACCTATTTCGTATTTCTCAATTTAAGGTTGTTTTTCATAATTGATCTAGTGGTTTAATTACACTTATTTTAATTTTGCATCTTATAATTTATAAAATAATTTTATTTGTTCCCACTAATAATATGGAGGTTGAATTTTTTTTATATAAGGATTTTTCATTTAACGCATTCAACAAAAATGGAGCTATTTTTATTTTTTTTGGTTAGAGATCGTCGATTTGAGTATAGGCAAGTGATATTGATGGAGTGAAACTATTAGCTATATTTTTGAAGAGGTTCTTTTTTATTTTCTTTGTTTTTTAACTAATCTGTTTAATCATCGATGTTTAGTATTATAAATTTATTGATTGATTGATTCTATGTTCTCTTTTTCTCGATCGTCCTTTAGAGAAAATTCGTCTGCTCTTATTCAAGCGAATGGCCTTATTGTTGTTATTTATTATTGTGATGTCGATTCTTAAATATTATGTTATATATAAATATTATATATAAATGCATTATATATCATAAATATTATATATAAATATATTTTTAATAATAATATATATAATGTATATAAATATATTTTATAATAATATATATTATTTATTTAATAATATTTATTTAATAATATATATAAATATATTTTTTTATTAATATTAACGCTTTCATAAGATTTTGCACTTTTTCCGCAAAAAATTTAAATTTTGGTTTATTGGATTGTATTAAATTAATAAATTGGTCCAGTCGATGTTAATGTTTGTATATATATTATATTATTGTGAATGTTAATAATAATAATCAAAAGCTAAAAGTAATTATTTTCATAATTTTAGTTTACAATGTGGAAAGTACCTATATAATTTCGTTGCAAAAAATATAGCAAATTTTTTTATTTTTAAAAAGCACAACCTTGCAAATCAATCATTCTTTATTGATTAAGCGAAGAAAAAAGTTATTAGTGAGATATTAAACGAATTGAAGCGAATTCTATTCTTTCATGGAATAAATTATTTTAGTTCTTTTGATAATTATATCCGCTGTGGAAATATGTTTATTTTCTGTATAATGCACGATGTCATCACCATTGTTGCATATTCTTTACTTTTTTGAATAAGCAATAATTAATGAAGTTTCATTTTTAAAAAAATCTTAACAGGTCCATCGGAAATGCGCCGCAGTGTTGAAATCAGCGGATCATTAGGAACGGGCAGTGGTAATGTTGGTGGTGGTGGTGGAAGATCAGCACGACAATTTAATAATATTTCTACGCAGAGTGGCAAAACCTATGAATCAAATTATCGCGGTGGACAACACAGTAATATGATTTTTTTTTATTTCAAAAAAGGGAATTTTCCGTTCGTCGAAAGTAATATTGATTCCATATTTATTGTTGGGTTGGTTTTATAGATTGCTCCAACTTTCTCATAATATCATCTCTTTCGGCTTGTTTCATGATTCTTATATTGATTCTTTTAGTTGCATAGGAATTCTAGTTAAATTTTCGAATATCCATAAATTTCTCAGTTTCATTCATTTTCCTGCTGATTACTGTTGTAATTTTGTAATAAACTTGCGACTTATTTTTTCTGACAGAATCGTTGTGACTTTCTGAAAATATTCGATTTGAGAATATCGGTTTAACGTTATTTAGTTTAAAATTAGTCTTTTAAAATTAGTTCTTTTTTTTAAATAATTTTTTTTTTCAGTCGACGAACAGAGGTTGAGTCATGGTACTTTGCATGCGAGTAGTAGTGGCGTGTCGTCTAATGTAAAAGTATATAGTGGTAGTGGGTCGTATGGTACAAGTCGAGGGGGGCAATCAAAACGCGTTGAAAATCTCCGCGAATTCCATCAGAATTTCAATAATTCATTTCATTCGGCTCCTCGTTCATCAAGTATTGGAGAAACGTCCGCTAATATAGTAACGCTATTTTTGAATAAATTGACTTTTATTTTTAAAAGTGTTTTGTTTTATTTTGTTTGTTTGCTCTTAATTTTAAAAAATGACGAGTAAATAAGTAGGAATGGGATAAGTTATTGAGGTGTTGTTTCCCACACAAGACTGTGATATTATATTTGTGTATACGCTACCATTTCACCATAGAAAATCTTTCTAGAATAATTTGATATAAAGACCGAAGACCAAAAAACCTTGGAAAATCCTCTTTCAGAAAATTAAATGCCTATTATTTTTAAAAATATTATTTGCCTTATGGTATCTTAATGCGAAATACGAACTATTAAAATTTCATCAAAGAATTATGGTCCTGCAAATTTATATGGGGTGCGAACAGTGCCAACATCATCCATTCGAAATTCGACGTCATACATTTGCATAATTTTTTGTTTAGAGCATAATTGCTGGTTAGACTCATTTCACTGGCTTAGCTAGACCTTTCCAGGGAATCTCTTGGAATTGCCAGAATTAGACCGAATTTTTGGACAGGTTTACTCCTTCTATTTGCATGATAATGTAAGACAAGTAACCAATAAGAATTAACAGGTATCTGCAGTGAACTTATAGCATATGAACAAGTTTAAAATTCTTGCATTCACCTTTTACTCAACTTGGTTCACTTGCACCTTTAGAGAAAATTCGTCTGCTCTTATTCAAGCGAAAGGCCTTATTGTTGTTATTTATTATTGTGATGTCGATTCTTAAATATTATGTTATATATAAATATTATATATAAATGCATTATATTTTATATATAATATACTCAAAGTTTTTTAAAAAAAGCTTTTCTATCCCCTATGAGCGGTCATGATTATCCTTAAGCTCGTGTCCCCTGCCAGAGGTCTGGGAGTTTGAGAGTTATGTATGTGCAATTTCTTAGATATTCCTAATAGTATGCTCTTCTGGATAGAGATCGCTGATGTTCCTGGAATCTGCTGAAGCCATTTTCCTAGTACAAGGATAAGGATTTCCAATACTCTATTTATCACTGGAATTATTTTAGCCTCATCTTTTCTTCATCAATTATTTTCCACATCTTCACTACTTTCTTTTTCCTCTCACTTAATATTACTTTATCAGTTACCAGTTTTTTGATTTTTGATTTTGATTGATTTGATTCTACTATATTTGATTGGCTAGTGCTTGTTTGTCCATCTGAATGGGGAAGCCTCACAGCGTCCTCAGCTTTATTTTCCGCCATTTTCTAAGGATTCTTCCATTTAATCTCGCAAGAATCTGTGCTATATGCAGATATTCCTGTAGATGATGTTCACTAATTGGTATCAGTTGGTAAGTGTATGTTGTCCCCATTTGCATTTTACATCTTGCCACTACATGTTGAGCTGTTTGTGAAGCGTTTTTGACCATTATATACCTACCTAGTGTGATAGTTTCGATGGATCTCGTGCTTAGCTTATTGTTGCCTTTTAGTGGGACTTGAGGTGGAAATTTCTATCCATTGTGAGGAGTTTCCGAGACATTAAAAACTTCATGTCTTCCTTTGTCCTTCTTATTATGCCGGCTGTATATTTACTTTGTTCTTTCCATTGAACTGGCTCTTCAAGATTTATCCTATCATTTGATGATATTTAGATGTTTTAGTCTTCCTTGCTTCCCCTGTGTTTACCATGTTCCTCGTTAGACGGATGAGCGAGTCAATGTCTCGTTCAATTTCTGCATATAATTTAATGTCATTCATGTAAAGATGGCTGACGGTAGTCCTTCTCTTAAATTTATATCTATATTGGCTTCTAGTAATTATCCGATTGAGGGTTTACGCTTATTCAGAACAATAGGGGAGATATTGCATCGCCTTGGCCGCACCTGATAGCTACTTGTGCAAGCTGTTTCGAGTTGAATTGAGTTGATAAAGTGTCTATTATCGCAAGGTTTCCCAGTGAACATCTTTTTATCTTGTTTATTTAGTGTACCATTTTGAACTGTGTTTATATGGATTGCTTGATGGCTGTGATGCCTGATATGACTTTCCACATTGTGTAGATGTAAGTTATTAGTTGGTGATTGTTCGTTGTGAGAATTTTTCATAATGAATACCATCCTTCCTTGTGCTAATCAGTCTGGATAAGAGTGCCACAAGCATCTGTTTCATTTATGTTTCAAGGCGCTCCTGAACCTTACCGTTTAGCCAGTAGGTGTGGATCATGTCGAGCCAGGTACTATCCAACGTTTTCATTTTTTTCGGTCGCTGTTTGATTTCAGCAATTGTCATAATAATTGTTTTATGAGGTTGCTATAACTTTCGAAGTCTTTTAATGGAGTTTAGCTTCTGGATATTCTTAATCTGGCTAACTTCTCTGTGTTATTCTATTATCTTATTTTCCAGCTTGCTCTTCCAAGCGCGATTTGCATTTTTATTGGTGATTTTACATCCCATTATTTGCAGAATCACATAGGCTGTGGTTTTTTCATTGATTCATCAATTCATTGGTTTCTGTTATAGTAGCAGTAGGAATTGTTGCGAGGACCCTATTTGTATCTTCAAGTATATTTTCTGGTGGTACTTCACTTAGTCTCGGTAATCGGTCTTGATGGTTAATTACAGTTTATTCATGATTTTTCGCCTCATTTATTGTTTTGCTGTGCAGTACAGTTGTTGGAAGGCAATTTACAACTTGCCAGCTTGCGTGCACATCTCTTCTTTCGGAATATTTTGAGACTGGGATATAGTACAAAGTTGATCCATCTCCAGCTGAGAGAGCAGCTTCCTTTTTCGTACATTGAGCAGCTAACTATTTCTCAACTAATGTTGATGCAGATCTTTTCTCCGCACTTCATATTTTTCATCTAATTCTTTTTATGAAGTCTATTATTATTGTAGCTTCCCATCAATTCCAGATTTTCCTATCTTGTCTATATCCTTTATTCCAGTACTCATTGCCAGATTACCCTGGTTCCACCTGGTGCAGTTCCAGCAGCCCACTTACCATCCGAGAATCCTGGTTTCTTAATGTTTAATGCGAATTTTATTAATCCGACTTTAGAGCATCTAGTATGCCATATTCTCATAAGCTTACCCAAAGACTTCGCCGGGAAGGTAGAGGCTTTGGTTTTGATTCGACCAAAATGTTGCTACATTCCATATCTACCGCCTTAATCACTATCCTATATCGATGCCAAAAACTTTTGTAATCTTCCAGTCCAATTTTTTTAAATTGCGAAATGATCCACAAATGTTACGAGGCTATGTGCAAATTTTATGAATTAAACTTCAAATGTTATGAATGCTGTGAAATGATTATGAAGTAAACAGTAGATATTACGAAACTACACGACAAACTCTGTGTTTTATTCATTCTGAACCAAATATAAAATTAATTTTTGGCTTTCTTTTCAGCATGATAATACCGCCCAGGCTCAACGACCAGTCAGTGCGTGGAATAAAGGTCCACCTTCAAGTATCCGTTCTGGTCCTATTTCTGCGCCTCTAGGTTCGTAATAAGTTATTTTCGCCTTTTAATTTTAGCAAATTTCTTATCAATTGTAATTTTCGTATTTAGTAGTTGTTTTAGAAATTGTTTCTACTAAGGATTCAGCTGCAGCGGAAAACAGGTCTCAAGAAACAGTTTTTGATCAAAATCTAGGACTGCATCTACAAACTGCCCTTCAGACATCGATTAGTCAGCCCCCACCATCATCTGGTACCATTTATTTTGTTAAATTATAGAAATTAAATTTTGTAAAATTTTTGTTGCTAATATTCAGAGGTCATTTAATTGAATTTAAAAAATCTTTTGAATTTGGGTTTTTCCTAAAGAAAATTTGTGTGATCTGTGGCACAGTTTCATCTCAGTCTGCAAATATGTGGCTAAAAGAGACCTTTTAAGCAAGAAATCTAGCTTCGATAACAATATAATATATGAGGTGAAATATGCGATATAAAATTATCTAAGGTATTATCTAATTTATTTTTTTATTATTTATTATTACTCCACTTGATTTGTTTAGAAAGTCAATTTATGGCATTTATTTTAATGATTTATGGCATTTTATTTTTTTTAGGATCTTCGAGTACCCTTATGAAGGCTGTTGATACTTCCACGTCAAATATTATTCCATCCAGCAGTTCTGCAGTCATTGCTGTTTCAGCGACTCAACCATTATCGTCTTCTCCATCAGCATCCTCAGCATCAAAAACAACAATTATTTCATCTGCATCATCTTCGGAAGGGCATCAGGCGGTATCAACTGCTAATGACGCGAGTACACCTTCTACTTCAAGGTTTTATCTGATAAAGAAATTGTATTTAAAGCATATGACTTTTTGACCTTCAGGTTTCATATTTTTTTAATGTCCCGCTGTTCTTTTCAATCGAATTCAATGAATTCTTTTTATTTTATAGCAATAAAAGTTTTACATGGAATGTCAATGCACCGCCATTCACGCCACGTTCCCACGCATCACAATCGCAGACACCAAGTGCACAGGTAGTCACTACTCCTACAGTGCAAACTGCTCCACCAACACCAAGTGCGGCTATTCCATTGCCTCAAGTATTTTTTTGTTTTTCGTTATTGTTCAGTATGCTTGGCTGAACCCAAGATATTGCTGAATTGCTGAATTTTCTAGCCAATCAGTTTTTCATTTTCTAATTGCATTCTAAAGTATTATTGTCCAGCTTTTTCTAACGTATTGTCTACACACACTAACTACTAGAAACACTTTTTTAAACCTCTCTTCCTGATTGAATTCAATTTATTTATAAGCAATTTTTTAAGAATATCCAACCGGCAAATATTATTCCACATGCTGCTGCTCAACAAATATTTCCTTATGCAACACCCAACGTTTACACGGCTACTCATTTTCCTTTATATTACTCTGGAACAGGGATTATACAGGTTGGCTATTTTATATATTTTCTATATTTTATATATTTTCCGCTGATGTTTTTTTTTTTGTTTTTGTTAGTTGGATAAAATTTTCACACCCATTTGAAGCTAAAAATCTGCATTTCTTGACTGCACTGGGAAGTAAGATTGATTTTGATTTAAACAGGAAGTCTTGACAGTGCTAATGATAAAAATGATGAAATTTTCTCGAATATATCACTTTAATTTATTTATCACTGGCTAATAGTCTACATTGGGCATGAAATTCGAAACTGTTTTAGAATCCACAGTTGGGGCCTCATATGACTGCAGCTACAGCAAATGTTGCTGGTGCACCAGTAATGGCAGCAACACCAAGTATAAATGATTCTCGTGGAGGGCAGTCAAATTCTTCTGCTGTGAGTAATCGAAGGGGGCAGTCGCTTTTACAAAGTAATAGTGTCTATGTGCCTTCGCAGCCTATTAATTATGCTCATGCGCAGCACATGGTTCCCCATTATCAGGTTCATTCAAATTTTTGTTGGCTAAAATTGGTTTATTCTATACGTTATTGAAATTCCTAATTGATTCAGGTTCCATTCTACACGTCATATCAGCAGATTTCGGTTGGCGCAGCTAACGTTCCTCCTCCATCTCTTCCACCACCTCCTTCTAACACTGCTCCACCACAGTCCTTCCAGGTTATTCAGGTTTGTTTTTAAAACTTCTGTTGGTTGCTTTAAGTGTAAAATTAAATCAGTGTACCATATTCTGTAGAAATTTTTATCTTATTTTTTCCATAATTTTAATTTGATCTTAGACACAGCCACCTCACGCACAAATGGCACCTTACGCAAGGCAGACATTTTATCCGAGTGCACAGCCTATGGTATGTTTTTCGTTTTTTTCGTTGTTATAAATCTTTTTATTATTTCATTTCATTTCATTTAAACGTTAATTTTTCAATTCCCTTTTCTCTTTTTTCTTTTCCAATTCTATTTTTCGATCAGAAAGCAGAATGCTGTTGTTCAGTCCCTCGAAACTAGCATAAGTTTGCACAAAATGAGGATTGATTGAAAAATATTCTCCAGTGCATTTACATGCCAGTGTTGGATCGTTTGAATTTTGAATTTTGAAAATTCAAAGGAAAATTTAATAACCTTCGCGCCTTATGCCGCGTATCTTTCGTGATCATTATCTAGATAAACATATAGCAAAATACCATTTTGTTCAACAATTTGCTAATTTTCAGTCGTATTCTATCCTTCAGTTAATTTGAATGTCCTATCTACAAAATTTCTCAAAGAATGATTCTTGAGATTGACCTAGTAATCGAAATTCTTGCTATTTGATGAATAAGGCGAATAGGATATAAATTTACAACCAGATTATTTTTTTCTGAAAACAATATATGGCATCGAAGAAGCATGATTGCCTGAATATCTTTTCAGATGTTTTTCAGATGATTTGTTCTTTTTAAACAGCACATATTTTGCTTATGGCATTCTCTTTATGGCGTAAAAAATGCGCTCCATTTTTCTCCACTTCAAAACGATATGAAAGGAAAACAATGGAAAAAGGATCTAAGAGATCCAAAAATTTTCGACTGAAAAAGCTTTTTTATTGTAAACAGCATTCCATGATTTATTTGCCTTTTTCTCAAAAGTGTTTGAAAAATATATCTAAAAGCGGATTATGGAAATGAACTTCCTCTATTAGAACCATTTGTTATATATTTATTATATCTTGCAAAGGTTTTGTTGCAATTTCATAGAGATTTACGAATTATTTCAATTTTCATCGAAATGATCGCCTTATGTCGTCGTTTAATTTGGCCTTTTACATCCGATAAATTAAATATTTTAATGATCCTTGTAAAACGCTTTGCAGAAAAGGAATGGGGCACTGTTCACTGTACGGTTTAATTCAAGTGCTCTCAGAATGAAAGACCACACTTCATTTGAAATTTTGATGATTTATGAATTTCTGTGACTTTTTAGATATTCAGATATTCAGATTGTTTCTTTTGATTGTATCACCCAGTAAAGGGGTTCGCGGGCAAAGAGTACGAGAAGAATTCATATAAAATAATTTTACTATTTTCAAAGCGAATAACATGCAGAATCCTGTAGTGTTTTTGAAATAAAAAAGTGCCATTGAATCGCGACCACAAAATACATATATATATATATATATTGGCCATTATCTTACATTTTGTAATCGAATCATATTTTTCTTTTTTTGAGGCTAATATGACTTGTTTTTTTTCAGAATTACATGTTGGGCGCTACTCCAGCCAGATTTACAACAATTCATCATAGCATTGAATCTATATCAGGTAAGTTGAAATTTTTTTTCTATTGATTGTTGCAGTTTATTCAGATTTTTCAGTTTAATTGTTTAATTTATGCCTGTTTGATTTATACCATATTAACCCATTATTCTTTTATTTTACTTTTAAGAAATTTTTCTTCATATTAGATTTTTTTGATCAATCGTTTTTTTTAATTCCCATGAAACTTATTACTTTATTTTTTATTCAATTTATTTTTTATTACTCACTGTGATTTTTTATTTTTAATTCCTCGTTTTTAAATTTTAAATTAACTCGTTTCCCAGGAAATGCTGGTCAGAATCCACTTCAAAGTGGCCATCAGACGCAGCCAACATCGAGCGCTGCATCTAGTAATGGAAACGGATCAAATGGTCAAAACAGTCAGCCGCCCACGCCTGGACCCCAGAATGTTCCATCACCGGCCCAGGTATTGTTTTTTTTCGATTTGCAATTATAGAACCATTGCTTATATCATTATTAAATTTAGAGTGATATTTTCGTTGGGTGATATTATATAGAAAATAATATTTCGAAAATTTTCTAATAAATTTAGACTTAGACTTAATTTTCTAGATCGGTGATTCCTTTTCACAACGCTTGGTTGCACGATGCAATTATAGAAATTCATGCATTATTAAATATTCACGCTTTAGTAATTTCCCCCCAGATAAATTTTTTTCAATTTAATTGGATGACGATTGGATGTGAAAAAACAAATTAATTTATGGGAAAATCGCTCTTGCATTTCGCATTCGAGATTGATTTATTTGCTTGCTTGTGATCTGGATATTGTTTTCAACAGAGCTCGCTTCTAATATTTTCCAGAAAGCTTGGCCAGTTATTAACATCGACGTTTTTTTCCTATATCGATTTTTTCTTTTACTGCTTTTCGTTTTTTAAAATTTTGTTTTTTTTGTTTTTTATTATTATTTTTTGCTGTTTTTTATTTCTTTTGATACCTTTGATCAATTTTTTATTTTTTTTTTGCTTGAAATGCTAAATCGCTCCATTTTCATAATTCCACTTATATGAACTGGTCAGTAATAATTTTTAGCTATGATTTTTAAATCAGAATTCCAGTTTTAATCGAAATCCTAGTCTGAATAAAATTTGATCAAATAAAATGTCCATTTCAGCAAAAAATTCTAATTTTGACGAAATAAAAAAAGATAAAAGCTTACACATTTGTGCTTTGATAAAATCGAGGAATAATTAACTTGTCATTTGTATTTGTCATACCTAAAGGAAATTTTTTAGCGTAGGTAGAAGTTTTTTCTTCTAATTCTCTTAACATGATCTTCCATGATGATTTTATTGTTTAGTTTACGTTTAATATCTTTATTTGCTTTAAATGAATGTGGAATCTAGGCATTTTATCACATAACCGCATGATCTTTATTATATTTTATATTTTGAATAATTCTCGTTATAAAAGCAGTTCATTTTTTCATTATTCATGTTCTTTTTCTATGATCTATTTTATCTTTTAATTTTTCATGAGAATTGATTAATGAAAATTATGGTTTATTAGGTGATTTTGGATGGATAATTTTCGGTCTTTATTTTTCTATTGGTATATATTATTTTGGAATTCGAAATGAAATGACCCTGAAGAAATAGAGTAAAAGAAAAAAGGAAGAGTTAAAAAAACCATTTTTTATTGCATGATGTAATTATTACTTGGATGTGATTAATTGTTGTGGTGCACATCATAGATGCCGTATCCGCAATCGGGCACTCCACAATCACCGCATGCTATTATGGTGCAAATGCCGCATACTGGTGTTCATTCACAACATCCACAGCATATGTTCGTCCAAACTGGAACTGCGGTTTGTTTGTTTATATGTTATTTTCTTGATTTTCAAAAATTCAAGTTATCGAGTTTTTTTTGGCATTTCTTGCTATATAATATGAAATGCGGTATTAGGTGAAAAGGAGGCGAATTGTTTCAGTAGTATTTGCAATTCGTATCAATCTTCGTATTTTTTTAACTATACCAACAACTGTATTTAATAATGAGTATTTAGAATTAACTAATTTAATCATGAAAGTAAATATGATATCTGTTTCAGAAATCATATTTAAAGGAAAAGAGGAAATCTAAGTTTTAAGGAAAAGAGGAAACATTGAAATATTTTTGGTAGAAGTTGATTATTTTATGTCTTGTAGTGCATATATACATTACAATCAATTTTTCCTATTTTTTCGAGACATCTTGACGCTGGCTTTTATTCGAAAATTCCTAATATTAGTTTTATTTTTTTTATTTAACCATGATTTATATGGAATATTTATTATTACATTGATCGAAAGCGAAATTGTTCGTAGAACTGAAAATTAGTTGGAAGTTTTTGCAATTTTTTTGGTGAAAAAAATTCTTAAATGAAATTCGCCATTATTTTCGCATGTTTTTTGTTTATCTTATTTTATTCTGAATCTATACTCGAATATTTATATTTGTCGTTTTATGCATGTTTTTTTCTTCTAGGTTTCAATTCTTTGCACGAGAATAAGTAAATTTCATCAATTGTTTTTTAATGTACTTTTTGGTTTAGCAGTTCCCATTTATATCTGGCCAACCAACTGGCTATATGGTTTTCGGTACTGCACCACATCAACAGCTGATGCACGTACATCCTTCAGCTGTGGCAACTGCTAGTCAAGTGCCCCTCTGTCATGGTCAAGTGCATCATCAACAAGTAATTTACGATTTTTGTTTAAATCAATTCGACATTTTCTTTCTTGGACATCGTCTTTAATTATAACACTATGGAGTCTTTGGAAGGACAGTTGACGGTGACGGTTATCCGACGGTAATAGATAGGGATTTAGTGCGGATAGGGTAATAAGCATTTTTTGCTGTTGATTTACCTTGTTATTCATCAGAGTATTGCCGCTGATCAACAAAGTGCTCACCAACAAAATCAGAGTATTCAACAAGTATCGGTCAGCCAGCTTCAGAATTTTCAAGGAGAGCAACAACAGCAATATACTCAATTTGTACAAGGTATTCTTATAATTTTGTAGTTTGCAATTGTATTTAAATATTTTTTGGTGGAAAAAAAAACAATTTGAAATTCATTTTTATTTGTTTGATGTTTTAGATCAGAAATTTTCATTGAAATAAGTTAATGATGAATTGCTACAAAGTTTCAGCTCAACCACCTGTTGTATATCATCAACCGCAACCTCTCAGTAATATCACGGTAACCCGCCAAGTGAATGTGCCTCCCGTTCCACAAGGTGCTCAACAAGGATATCCAGTTCGAAACACTAAAACGACTTAGGTTGATGATTTTAACCAATTTGCTTCCATGCACAAAGTAAAAAAAAAAAACTTTTTTTTATATTCATATTTATATTATTATATTATTATTATATTTATATTATTATAAATTATTTTCAGACACAAAAATGGAGCCGACTTATGGGGGTTGTGATACAGATACTATTCCCTTCCGAACTAGTCGTTTTTAATTTAAAACTTATTTTATAACTTTATTCTTTTTTTCGAATGCTTTCTTTAGTATTCAGATTGTTTTAATTTTTTCTTTTATAGGGAAAAATTTATAAATGTTGTTCTCTTAGAATATGTGAAAGTGATAATGATAATTCAGGTAACTGGATTCGTAAAGAAACTGAAATCTCTCTGTATTAATTTTCAGTTTTACTATTGATGCCTCTTAAGGTATATGTATTTATTTGTATGTGTTTAAATGTATTTATCAAAAATTGTTTATACCCAAGTTATTACTCTTGTTTCTTTGTTTGTTTTTTGAATCATATCAAAGCCGGGTAAATTTAATCTTTGCTTTCCCAATGTTTTTTTTTACCTATTGGTGATGCTTAGTTGTTCTTACATAGATCATTTCTTTTTTTATGTGCCTCAAATGTTTGAGAATGAGGAAACTAAGATGGCTGAAAATGTGACCATAAGTCGGTTTTCATATTTTTATCTAATTCTGCTCAATATTGATGAGATGCTCAACTTTCTTGTCAAAGGTATGTTTTATTGTCGTTGCTTTGTAGTTTACGGTAAAAAAAGTTTTTTTGGAAATTTTTTTTTTCATCACTTATTAAAGATAATTTGCAAAAAAGCTTGATTAAACTTAGAGAACCTTGCTGATTTCCGATAAACTTTTGAAACCTTAAATTATTTAATTATTGAAGCTCAGAAAAAGGTCTCATAAATTTGATAAAGCAACCTACTTCGGCTTTTCTTCTGCTTTGATCTTAAATTGTAAAAATAATTCTTCCGATTAATCTTCTGGTTTTTATTTTTCCTCTAAAAAGTAGAAAATTTAATATTTTAGTTTAATATTAATGGATAAATATATATAATTATTTCTGTATTTCCAAATTTTCCATTTTTTCATGTGATTTATATTTTTTATAAGTTATTGATAAATTTGAAAATTCAGTGATTCAGCGAAATTTGTTGGAAATTTGTTGAAAGTTTTGAAAATACTCGTCACACTTCTAATTAATTGTTTTTCGAGATGCAGAGTTAACGATTCTTTCTTATAGGTTCCAATTTTCGACTACAAAGGATTTCAAGAACAATATTTATTTTCCTTTATCCGTTGTCGCTGCAATGTAGCATTATTTGTTGTAAAATTTTTTGTTATGAATTCCATTATGTTTTGAACCAATCAGTCAGTGCATTGTCCTGCTTGATTTTCAATCCTTTCATCCTTTAATTTTTAATCTCGTTGTACTATCGACTGAATTTGTCTGCGACAGTGTGGTTTTGTACATAACAGTCATACCCATATTCTAAATGGTTATTTTTCCTGAAATTTTTAATGGGATTTATCGGATTGAGATTTGTTCCTAAATTTTAATGGCTTATTAGGAATTCAGCCAAAAATTTGGGTCGTGTTGAATGGTTCAAATGAAATTCGATAAATTTTTATCTTATTCATTTTATGAATGTGAATATAAATTACGTGGAAAATTTTCTGGTTTGGCATGGTGTAATAGGTTTTAAATGTTCTGATTTGATATTCGTTAGAAATGAAGTTGTAAGTTTTATTAGGCACTATTACCATTGTTTTCATCATTGGCTTGTGCACTGAAAACATTTTTCATTGATTTCCAGTGAATTGCAAATAAAGTGCCGAAAAAGCTGGCATTTATTGCTGTAAATCATATTTGTTTTAAGATTTTATTCATATGGTGATGAGTAAAGTGGTTGACGCTCATCTGTTCTGGTTAAACTTTGTCCGGCTAGAAATTTTTGCCAGGAAAGCAGTTGATGATGGACCCGAATTATTTAGTTCTGGTTGCACTTCAAGGAAGGAAGGTGCTACATGCATTAGAAATTTGTTGAATATATGGTTAAGTTCTCTTCCATCCAAAATATTTTTGGAGCCAACAAGACGGTTTAAATTTAGCGAAGAGGCCAGTTTAACTTGGATTCTATAAAGTTCGCTTGCACGATATTTCAAAAAACAATGCAAAAACCAGAAAATAATGGAATTTGAAAGTTGGTAGAACTTTGCACTTTAAAAATTCGTGAATTCGTTTAAATCGTTTATGGTGGATTCAGTCACTGAGGTGGAATTCGTGTAACACTGGCTTGGATTCAGTTTGATAGGGCACATGCCGAATCATTCCTTTTCTATATGATGGTGAGTAGTGATTTCGCGTGGGAATTTTATGGGGCCGATTTTTTTTTGTAACGGGCGTTGCGGTTGAATTGGTAGTTGTTCGAACGAGGTCGTTATTTCCTCCAGATGTATTTAAATATATTGGTTTGTGAATATTGGCAGAGGGAGCGAGAAATTTTTCGGAGGAAGAGGAGGGCGATTTCCCAGTTTAGGAATTAAATTAGATAATTTGGATTGAGATTAGGTAAAGAAGAGTGCATAAATGGAAAAATAAGCTGTGCCTTCGAATTCTAAGCTTAATAATATTTAATCTAAATAAAATAGTATAGAAAGTAAATGAACGAAAGGTGTTTGAAAAATTTTCAGCTGATCTTAAGCAGCTGATCGACGAGGCAGTTGGTGGTGAGCATTGCTGGTTAGGTTGGGTCCACGCCAACAGCAGGAAGATGAGGTGATTTTGCGCCACGAGTGGGTCGCCAACACCAACTCTGCCTTTAAGGACGGTTTTATGCCCACGGTTCGAAGCAGTCACCCAACTTCCGCCGTGCTTGATTTAAATCTCACTATTTTTTAAATTTGCTCAGAAGTTTGCTCAGTTTTTGCGAGCATCACCTTTTCTTTATTTGCACAGTGAGGGTCGGGACCAGCAAGACAGGTCTTGATGCTAATTTATGAGTCCGTTTGAATCAAATTTCTATGTTACGATAAGCAAGAATGCACAGTTATCTGTCGTTGAAATCTTTTCTTTTTCATGTATTTTTCATGTTTTTTTCTGTTTTCATTTGTCATTTTGTTAATTTATAAAATGAAAATAAAGCATTGTTTCTGGAAGTATTTAAATTTTTAAATTTTCAGAAAAATTTTTTATTTGTATGAGCTTATTGGAAAAATTTTTTTGGCTTTGTTTTTTGCAGTTCTTTTCGCTTGTAACTGCCAGATCTTCTTCAGTATTCGAAGAAAATGTCGATTCACCGGTTGATTGTCCTATCACTCGTTGGTTTTTTAGGCATATCTGATCACCTTATCAGTTTTTGCCGATTAATTAAAATAATTTATTTTTCAAATTCTTGGTCGCCAAAATTCTTATTCATTGGAATTTATTTGCTTATTACAAGAATTTAAAATTTTCAACGTTTATGGATTTTTTAATTTATTAATTTGGATAATTTTTAAAGTTCTTATTTTTATCAAGTAATTCACTGTAAGTAATTCTAAGATTTTGATTGATTTTGCTACCAAAATTAGTTTGAAACAAATATTACTTTGCAGAGATTTCTGAAGTACCACTGGAAGTAGCCAGAAAGATGTCAACTTGGTCAAATAGTCTCGATTTATATAAATTTGTGGGTTTTGATATGGATATTTCTCATCTTTTCCTTGATATTTATCTACAAATTAATCTTACCGGTGATGATAGTTATCAGCTTTATCAAGTAAGATTTTAATTAATTTTTAAGATTTTAAGATTTTAATTATTAGATCAAGTATTCCCTTCTATTGGTTTGTTATTCTTTTATTCTTTATTATTCTTTTAAACCTTGGATATTATTACTTAATCCTTTTTTTAAAAATATAAGGCTAATAAATATACATTGCTTCATTCGGCATTCCAGTAGTTACTCATGAGTTCTTCATTGTTCAGCTTAATTGCATATAGATTTTGATTTTAGCCCATTACATTTTGTTTGGTTCAAATTTATCTAATCTAATCGGATCGTATATAATCGTATAAAATTAAATTTTATTTTTATTTTATTTATTTTTATTTTATTTTTATTTTATTTTTTTTTTCATTCATTCTTTCATCCAGGGATGAGTTATATAATTGAATTTTTATAATTAAGGTTACGAGAAAAACGATATATAAAGCATGTTTATGGTGTTACAATTAATTTACTTGATTTGTAGTGCCTAGGACACTAATAGATAGATTGTATACTCAGGAGATAGAACGCTTTGTACTTTAAGAAACCCTTCAGTTTTACTTTTAAAGACCGTAAAATAAAATTTAATATTCTTGAGGAATTCTTTACTAATGGATTTACAGCGATGATCGAAAAAGATTTCCATCCACAACTACGCCAAGATCTGAGATATTCTTCGACACATTCGCACTAAGAGAGAGTATATAGAATATGTTTTTATAATTGAGGTTTTACAATTGCTATACTACTCATTAGGAGAGGGAAGATATATAAAGTATCTTCAATTAATTTTTTTGATTTATTAATGTTCCTAATTCTATTTTATGCTATTGATTGTAAGCCCTATTAACGCATGAATCTGATCATTCATCCATTTTACAGACATAATGGGATTTAATAGCATAATTAGATTAAATGGCAAACTCAAGAATGAATCTATTTCTTTCCTTATCAGTGTAAACTATATATGTTTATAAAACTTTTTCGTCCTAGAATATAGCACAATTTCTTCCTGTTCAAGGTTAAGTCAGTCAAATTATTCGAAAGTTTGCAAAAATATTTTTTGCGCCATTTAGGGATTTTTTAAACTCATTGTATTTTTAAATTATTAACCTCATTGTTCCTTCTATAATTAGTTGTCCAGACTCAATCATATTTATTTATTTATTGAAAACCAGCCAAGCATGGCTCAAACGCCATGTGCTTGTATTAATAACAACAGTTAAAATAACAAATAATGAGAATTAATGACAAAAAACAAAAAAATAATAATATTAAAATAAAATATACATTTTAAAGATGATATAAGGAGGATATTGAAAAATAATAAAACATAGTACAGTTCGAAGTAACTATAATCGGATCTAAAAATCGCGATTTCACACATCCCTACATGATGTGGATTTTTTAAATAATATCATAAATGATATTATCTATTCTTTTTTTAAAGATAGCTAAGATAGATAGGGATGGCGCACAAGCTATATCGTTCGGTAGGTTACTCCAGTAATTAATATTTATTGCGAATAAAGAATTAATGAATCCTTAGTTTAGTTTTACACATAGGTTTTAGTAATTTTAGCCCATTAGTTCTTGTTGGATTTAAATTTAACCTAAAATTATAATATTTTGAACAATCTAGTTTAACATAACCGTACAAAATCTTATAAGCATAAATTAAATCTTGTTTAATACGACGAATGATAGAGAATCCAGGTTATACTGAAGAAGTTTTATTTTATAATTAAAATTGCAATTAGAAGAGAAGCCGTATATAGGAGATTAGGCCGTATAAAATATTTTTAAGTCCTTTAATTATTTTACTTGATTTACGATATCTCGGAGCAACATGTAACATTTTAGTCAAAAAGTGGCCAAACGAACGCTTTATACACTTTGATAAGGAAATCTTCAGTTTTATTCTTAAACAACGATGAATAAGATTATCTTTGAGGATTTCTTTACCATGGTTCTGCGGTGAAGGTCGAAATCGAGATTTTCATCCATGATTATTCCAAGATCGGAAATGTGTGAGGCTCTGCTGATTATATTACCATTAATAAAAAGATTAGGAAGATCGAATCCTATAGAATTGATATGAAGAACGCTACATTTTTGAAAGGAAAGGGTAATTTGCCTGTTATATAGCCAGCTGGCTATTCTGTTAAGGTCCTCCTACAGTGGAGATAGGCCATCTGATCTACCATAATAAATTTTACAATCATCAACATAAAGATAAATAGTAGAATTTAATACCACATTGGTGATATCATTTATATATAATAGAAAAAGCAATGGCGCAATACAACTGTCTTGGAAATACCAAATTTAACAGGTTTTGTGTCAGAAAGAGTTTTATTGATGAGTACGGTTTGGTGGCGATTTTTAATGTAATCTGACACCCAGTTATAAAGGGGAATATTAAATATAATTTATATTGATACTCAAGTACTATGAGAGGATATGAAAATTTATAAGAACAAGGTAAATCCATTACATTAATTGTTGGATTAAATATTTGAACAAGCTGCCAGATATTATTTGTCATTTCGAGCTTTAAAAATGGAATTAATTATCCATGACATTATTTAACAATATAATCATTATGTATTGCTTACATGTTTTATGTTATGATTATTATCTAAGCGCATGGTTTTTGCTTTGCTTTGTTTGGTTTTCTTTAAAATAAATAAGCTTGGAAAATAAACTTTCTATCAAAGAAAAATATAGTTTGATGTTTTAGTGGAAGCATATTTATTGATACCTTTGAATATCTTGTGAATTTTTTATAGATTTGGATTGAGTCAATAATTTTTTTTTGATTTTTAACGATAACAGTTTAAGAGTAAGAATTGTTCGGAAGTAAAGCGATTATATCAAGATGACCTACGTTTGTTTGGTTTAATACGACATATAAATCTGATGCGTTCAAAACAGTTAAGTCCTTTTGGTCCTTCGTTTATTGGAATTTCAACAAATGAACCTTATGTTATACGGATTCGCATTTGGAGTAAAGTTTTTTCCTTTTTTTTTCTTTTAATCAAATATGATTTGGCATTTGTCAAAATCATTTTCTTTGCCTTGCATTGGAGTTATATAAATACTTGGTGAAAATTTTCTTTTTAATTTAAATTATTGTAGAAATCAATTATATTCGCGCGGGTATTTATATTGGTGGAATTGTTCTTTTCTTCATGTCGCATTCGTTAGTTCGTAACGTTATTTTTTATTACACGAGTGGATGTACTGTTGGCGTAATTGCATCGTTGCTCCTTGTTGGTTTCGTTGTATATCGCTTTACTCCAAAGGTATATCGTTTGACATTTTATATTTAATGTTTGATTTATAACCTTTTGGGAGAACTATAAATTATAATCTTGTTATGTTGGTAGAAATTTTCTCGGGTAGAACCATGCAGTTTCATTTTACACCTATCTAATTTTTAAGTTTATAGTCTTCACTTTACCATTAATAATTTTTAAATTCTTATTGCAGAAATGGTTTGGATTTCCATTACTAATTAGTGGATGGAGTTTCTCATTATATATTTTTTATATGATATGGAGGAATTTTGCCATGCTTATTACACACTACCAGAAATTTTTAGCAGCTTATTTTGGTACTTCAATACTAATTTCTTTCGCTATATGTTATCGTTATGGTCCGCCAACTGATGTTCGTACTCATAATCTTGCCCAATGGGGAATTCAATCAATTGCCTTAATTGCTATATATTTTTCCTGCCAGGCTAGTGCTTGTTTTTGGTTTTAGTTATAGCTCAATGGCAGAAATTTATTGCGAATTTGCAAACTAGATTATAAGATATCAGAGATAATTTGCTACCTTAAATGTTATTAAATGTTAAAGTAATTTTTATACATTGAATATTATAATTTAAAAATTTTACAAGAAGGTTTTTTTCAGATTCCAGCTATAGCTTGTATTACCATAATTATTATGCTTACATTATCATTACTGAAAAATCGGATTTTGAATATTGTGCGCAAGTTCCTGCCGATTTTGAAAATGATTTGGTTAATCAATAATCAATTGTTTTTAACTTCGAGAATTTTTTTAATTTTATATTTTTGAATATATATTCCTTAATCTCGATCATCTTGAACTGAGTGAATTGGGTGACTTTTCTTCACTACCTAATTAAACTTTTTTTTAAATTTTTCAAAAGTAGTAATGCAGTTTATAAAAATTGATTATCATTTATTTTTTTTAAACATCCTCTTGCATGAATTTTTGATATCAGGCGGTTTTTTTTTCCTGAATATCGCCGTTTATTGACACTTGATGAATATGAAAGAGAAGGAGAAGAAGAAACAAGAAAAGCACTTGAAGAACTACGTAAGTTCTGTCGCAGTCCGAAGGCGGATGTTTGGAAAATAACATCGGCTATGCGTGATCCGAAAAGGTCTTTTAATGAATTTTGATAAATCCTTAATTATTGTGCTAAATAATTTGGAAAACTAGTTTTATTCAAAACTTGGTTCAGCCAAGTTTTATCGCTTGGTTTTAAAGAACTTTTTAAAATTGCTTTGAATGCAAGAGAATTTAATAAAATTTGATTAGGCAGCACTTTTATTCATCTTTTAATTTTGATTATGATTTAGTGCTTTAGGCTTGCTAGTTTTGTTTCTGGAGCAAGTGATCATGTTACTGAGAGTGAATTATCACTTCATTCAAGAGATTCTTTGAATTACAATGATTTCTCTGATGATAGTGGCGAAGATGATTTTCTTGTTAATCAGAGAATAGGAAATAGGCAGATGCAGAGGTGGTTCTCTAGGTGAGTCTTTTTTAGGACTTACCTTATGTTTTATGTTTATGTTTCTAAATTATCTCGTTTCTGCATTAGGAAGTCATTAGGAGATCCAGTGTCAGTTTCAAATTCTTATAGTAATTTCGATTGTTGCGCTTGAAATGCTGATTTATGTAATTCTTGATTGTTGAATTCTTGCAGAAATTGAAATAATGCTTTTTTATATGTATTATTCATTTTATTATTATTTATATTGGAAACTTATTTATATTTCTATCTAAAGAAACAAGAAAGGAAAATGAAATGAATATCAATAAAAGCGTTTCAGACAGCAGCGTTCCGAAGTATTTCATAACAATGATGTTAATAGTAGTCGGAGTTTTCCTGATTCAAATCAAGACAATGATTCAGATGAAGAATTTATTTTCAATTGGCCTGATGTTAATCCGTCATTTTCATTTTCCAGTTCCAGCTTGAAAAAGTAAAATGGAAATTTTTAATGAAATCTTCCAAGCGAGAAAATTTTCATTTGTTAAAACTTTATTATTAAATTCAATGTTAACTCCTTTGCAATTTCGCAATTTTTCATCGTTTATTTACCTCTAATTTTCCATTTATTTTTCATTTTCAAGCGAAGGTTTGCTGTTCTGAGGAATTCATTCGTTCTTTCGACGTTTTTTCGGAACTTAATTAAAGTTAATATTTTCAAGTGTCATACGTAGATAAGATGAAAGAAGTAACGAAATTTAAGATCAAAATGAATGAATGCAATGAATGCAATGAAACAAAATGAAGAAAAATGGTATTGGCAATATCTATCATTTTAAGCGAATTTTATTGGCAGTATAAATAAGTGACAAAATATTACATAAGTTGGTAACAATTTTTTTATTTTTATCCTTCTGAAATGAATTTTTATTTGTTATTTATTTAATTTTACGAATTTTTTAGTTTAGGGTTAATAAGTTTTTTTAATTGATTGTATTTATTTGAAATTTGGTTATTTTTATTTTTAATTGTCTGCCTGACTGATTTTTATTTTATTAATTTTTATCTTAAAAATTTTTTGTTCAATCACTCACGTTATTTTTTTGTTCATTTACTGATTTTTTTGCATAATAATTTCAAAAAAAAATGGCTGAAAGAATAGAAAGAAGAGTGCTTTTAAAAGATTTTGAAATTAAATAATGCAGCTGTTTTTTCGGATCTCATTTTATTTACCTTTTTACACTATATTATTCTAGTTGTTTATGTGTAATTTCTACTCCAATTTCTGTTATCGTCTTTATATGATTCGAAATATTTGTTCCGTCATAAATTGCCAATTATTATAAATCCATTTTTAATCTTCGAGAATGATCTTTTCATCACTAGCAAAGAAGAATGAAGCGGGAGCGACTCTTGCATCATTCCTAAGGGATATTGATGTTATTTAGAAATGAGAAGAACGCGTTATTATAATTCATCTGTTTAAAACTTTATTTGTAATTACCTTCAAATTATTCGCATCAAATTAGGTGTATTAACTCTTCCACTTCCAATTTTCCATGTTCAGTAACTGAATATATAAAGTGGTTAGAATCTTGAGTTGAATATTTATTTTTATAGTTGTTTACTTGTTACGCACAGGTTTCAACTAAGATATTTGCGTTTCTGAAATTAAGTTGGTTTTACCTTCAGTGATTTTGTAAATTTAAAGCTGTTTCAAGAATTCAATTTTTTCTAGTGGAAATTAGTGACCATTACATGATTTTTTTAAAAAAGTACCATTAAACTCATTCCGCTTGCTTGTCGCACTGGACAATCTGCTAGGGAGTACTTTGGTAGAAGTACAGGTAGGCCGCTGGTATCACCTTGGTTCTTGGACAAATTTTCTCCTGCGGGCAATAGGGCCTCAGCGCTCCGAATTCAGAAACAGCCCACTGAGCCATTCTACATATTTGCAGCTAAGTGATTTAAAGTAACTTGTTCTGTTATGTATTGGATAATTCAGGCAAAATATTCAGCGGTTAAATAGTAGAATATGGAAGGAAGTTCTTAAATTGTGTAAGAATTAAATTGTAGCCTGGAGAAAGTGGACTGCTCGAGGCATTTTTTGGAAGTTGAAGTATTCAATATAATATAAACAGTTTTTCATGATTTTATATTCTTATCATTATTATTTTATCATTTCGTTTTTTTTTTTGAAGAAGCACTCTAGTCGATTGATTGAAATTCAATAGATTTTATTCGAATGATAAGCAGCTGTCCGATATGTCAAATAATTCTTTTGAAATGCTATTGAATTCTTTGTTTTACAAACAAAAATTATGATGGAAATTGCGCTTGGAAAATTAAATCGATTCATAATATTATCGAAGAATTTAGAAGTTTATTTATTTTTTATCACAGATGAAAGTAGCGAAAGAAAATTTTTCGATTTTTTTGCATGCTGAAAAAGCCATTTTCTATTCATAAATTACTGAAGGATGAAAATTTTTTTGTAGCAAATTTTGAAATAAAACAACTAATTTAAATGTTTATAGGTGACAGTTCGAAATTTGTAAAGTGTGTTTATTGCTTGCTCACTGCTTAAAGCTAAAACACGCTCACGCTCTTGCTCAAAATTTATTCCTCTATGTCTTCGAAAGATAAAGTTCCTTCTCCAACTCCGTCGTTATCATCATCATCGTCAGCGTCATCGACAGCTGATGATATCAATTATTCAAGAAATATTAAACGAATGCTAAACCATTTGAAGGATCAGATCTCTAAAGACGGCAAGTCACAGTTGCAACGACTTCTTGGAAATATTGATAATCCGCAAGAATCTAAACCGATGAAAGGCGTCTCATTAGGCGAATTAAATAGTGCTGATTTATATTTCATCATTGTGGCAATAATTGAAAGACGAGTCATTCCATTTAAAATCGAGAATCGTTCGTTGAAAATCGAGTTAAAAAATATGAAAGAACGAATCGTCGCTTTAGAGGATCAAATTATGGGAATAAACCGAAGACGCAGAGCGGTTATTGGTGTAAGAAAAGGAAAGGAACTAACAAATATTGGCGGTTCGAGTTCACACATTCCGGGTTGTTGAATGAAAATGAATTGAAGTTTCCGCTTCCTTCCTTCATCGACTCTGAATTATTTTATTGAAATCTTCATTTTCGCGAAAGCCCTTTGTCTCTATTTAAAGCGAACATTTTTTTTGTTCTAACTCTTAATTTTTTATATAAATTCATTTTGCGATGTTCTAACACTTATCGTCTCTCTATTTTTCATTTTCCTTTATAAAATTTTTTCCAAAAAATGGAAATTTGTCAAGTGAAACTGAAATACCGAAGTAAAAAATCGCATTTCATCGTTCACACTAGTTTTTTGATTTAGAGACTTTTATAAAAAACACTTTGAACAAAGCAAACATGCCACTCAAAGTTGGTTTTAAAACCTGTCAAATCTAAGACAGCCATTCCTAAACTATTCCAACTTATTTCTGTGACAGCCAGCACGACGCCAACCTCCCTCTTTTCCTCCCACTTTCTCCGCCATCCGTCCTCGTTTAACTGTTTTCTGGCTTCGTGTTTGCGTGAAAATGCCATCATCTGATTTAATATATCATCTGGATGAACGTGCAATTTGGTCAAAATATCGACGCGAATTTAGCGAAACTCTTTCAGCTAGCGATTCGTAAAAAAAGTCGTGCGTTCGAAGAAAACGCAACAGAAACAAAGTTGAAAATTTATATTGAACGAAGTATATCATATTTGTTGTCGACCTGTGTGAATGTAAATGAACGAACACCTGTTTACATCCATTATTTTTTGTTACAATGATAATCTGCACATATATTTAACATAATAATTAATAATAATAGTACTATGCACAATAAAGAATATCAAATTGATAGTGTGAATAAACAGAAAGGAACAACTTGGTTCGAATCGAAAATGTGGTACCGAAGGCCATACACAAGTTGCTTCAGTTCTTTTGAAATCGAAAAGGCTGACTAATTATGGAATGGTGAATAATGGCTTAATAATAGCTTTAAAGAGGTATTAAATTATTATGAATATATAAAATTGACTAAAATATATTGACTTCTTATTTCTTATTTCCAAAATAAATTTGTCATAAAAATGATATCTACGCCTAGATATACATTTTGAATACTGCGACATGCATTGTCAAAAATATAAAATATAAAAAGCTTTTAAGAAAATTCATAAAAACGTATAAAAATTTATAAAACTTATTTTAACATTATTTCGCGGCATTCAGGATAACCAGTAATAATATAGAACGTATTGAAAAATTGTTTCCTTCAGGAATTTACAGAGAATTTAACGCTTTGAGAAAGTCCTCCTTAATTTATGATGGTAAAAAAATTAAAGACGAAAGCTTCGACTTTGGATTGAAATATACTTAACAATAATATCGATGCCTAAAATAGCCAAAACCTTATATTGACAAGGAGGATAAGAATAAGTAGAAAGATCCCTGTATAAAGTTTTCCGACGGCTGGATCAACTTCCTCTTCCCAATTATGTGAAACAATCATATAGTTATAGTTTTATAATCATATTATGATCATATTATATACATATGGTTTTTCCAGAATACTATTATTCTTGTAATTTTCGATTAATCAGGGAAATCAATTAACTGCAGATTACCAACTGCAAAAATATTATTTTATAAAATGCATGCACACTTCACTGCAAAAAGTCAAAAAGGATTTTTTGATCCTTTAAAAATTCCTTTTATTTTTTAATGCCACCTAGAAAAAAATGACAAAATTATAAATTGTTTCAACGGCATGATTCTTACTAGATGAACCCCCATTCAATCCATAATAGATCTTTTATGGTCAACATGGTCACTAAAGACAATTTCATTTAATATAATATGTGCATGCTAAAAATATGAATATATAAAATTGACTAAAATATATTGACTTCTTATTTCTTATTTCCAAAATAAATTTGTCATAAAAATGATATCTACGCCTAGATATACATTTTGAATACTGCGACATGCATTGTCAAAAAATGCAATGCTGCTACATCTACTTCAAAATGTATAAGTGAATAAGTGACGAATGGAAATAAGCAATGATCCTGGATGAAGAATCGATGGTTCAACACAAAACGATGTGGTATGAAGATACTTAAAAGATCTGAAAGATCTATTTGTCGAGCAAAATGAGTAACAGAAAGGATTTAAAAAAAATAATAAACATGGTCATAAAATTGCACAACATCGACAAATACCGCTGCGATTTGGTTGCATAGAAGCAGGTGGAGTAGCTGGAGCAAAATATGCGTGAACTTCTACATCTGGTTTGTAAGCCTGCAATGAGCCCATTGAAGTTTGGAAAAAATATAGCCAAAACTATTGAAATGAAATCTAATTGAAGGTCTACATAGAGCCATAATTAACTGGAACTATAAGGGTCCTGTTTTTCAATAGAAGAATAAATCAGAAAATCAATTTAAACCAAACAAGGAACCAATTAGAACACATGAAAATTCCCAATCATGCTTCAGATCATACTTTAAACCGTTTAATCGCGTCTTTCGTTATGTTTTGACAGTCGTAAAGATCGACTCGCTGTAAAGAACGCATTTGTCTCATATATTCAAGACTAATATCTGTTATTTGCGGACAATTGTCGAGCTCGAGGACATTGAGCCGTTCTTTAAGATTATGACTGAGGCAGAATTGGCGTAGACCCGCATCCGTTATTAATTCACAGTGTGAAAGACTCTAAAAGGCATTATGATAAACTATACATTAAATGCAAGTATTTCATTGGAAAAGTGAATAAATTGAAGTTAAAAAGAAACTTACAAGATTAACAAGACGTGGACATCCTTTACTGAAATTTTCGAGTGTAGTGTCAGTAATTAATGAGCAGTCTTCTAAATCCATTCGCTCTAGTTCATGACAATTTTTAGCGAGAGAAGCAAAACCATGATCAGTAAGTAAAGCACAACCTGCTAGCTCGAGATCTCTTTAATTTAAGATTAGATTAATTCTGTATATTTTCAATTTTATGATTTAAATTTAAATTTCGACAGCATATTTTATGTTTCCCATTATTTAACAAGCAGCACGATCTAATTTTGCATTTAACCAGATCTGTCGAAATACTTAAAATCAATGAAGAACTTAGGAATGATATTAATAATTTGAAAGCTTCGCTCTTGGATGGCAATTTTGAGCCTCCAAAAATCTGAACTGACCAAATATTGGAACTATCGATGAATATTTCGAAAAAAAGCAAAAAGAACCACGCCTAGTTGGTATAAACAAGCCGAAAAAATTTACGGATGATGAGAATGTTGCTGCCGATAGGCTCTTAGCAGAGAATATTGTAGCTGCCGCTGATATCAAGACTGATTACATTGAGGAATTCGACATTGAAGGAAGGGGTCAGTTAGGCTAAAATTAAAATCGACTCGAAGATAAGTATATGGCCATGTCTGTTTTGCTTAATAAGAATATGCGCTCGATCGTTCCCCATGGAAGCTTTTTCGGAAAGTTTTAACGAAAAGAGAACTACTGCTAAAAGAACAGTTGCGAAAAGAATGTTATATACGAAACCAGAGCCTAAATCTAAAGAAGTATGTCACCAGAAATCTTCCAATGGTGGAACCCAGGCGGTATCATATATATATATATATATGTTCAAGAAGTTTAAAATGTAAACTTTATGATCTACAGCTCTTACTAATTGACAACCCAAATAATACTTGCTCTATTAGTGAAATATGGTTGGATGGCTCTACTGATAATCGGGAAATTTCGAGGGTTTATAATATCACGCAAGGACGGAATAATAAACACTTTAAATACTCGTAGAGATGGACTTATCACGCTTATTCCTGATTATTATAAATTTATAACTTTTAATGATTGTGTTTGTTCCTCTTTTGAATCTTTGATAAAATTTATCTAAGTAACAGAAATATTTTAAATCTTGAATCTATACCGCCCACCTGGCTAAGGAAGCAAATTCACTAGGGAACTTAATAACCTGTCGTTTAAATTAAAATTATTTGGTGCCGATTATGTAATTGTTGGTGATCTTAATATACCAAACATAGACTAGGAAAACAGTTGCTTGAAAAAGCAGCAAATCTGAAGAGGACTTTCTGAATTTTTGTATTTATAGAGCAACAGTATTTATGTAGATCTAAGTTAAGATTGCCACAAGGTATAACACTATATTAGATGTGGTGTTAGCTACTTCTATTTCTCTTGTTTGATAGCATTAAGTCTTGGAACTTTTTTGTAATAATAATCACAATATCATTCACGCTTCATTAAAATTTTCGAGATTTTCTAGAAATTACCGCTATTACTGCTATTGTGATTATAAAATCATTAATTCTATTTTCGCAGAAATAAATTGAGATTTCTTATTTTATTTCACTCTTTTCTAAACTCTCTTCTAAAAAGTGTCGAAAAGCTTTTTAACAAATACTAATTAACTAAATTGCCAAATGACCTTTCTGCATGTAAAGAATGCTTGAAAAACTTCCCTATCGTCATTCATTACTTTTCAAATAAAGAGATTATAATGTAATTTTTAAATGTTAATAGAGATTCTTTCTGGACTTACATTAAAAGAAAATTTGCTTATCCATGTAAACAAATAATAAACAAATAATTCCGCAACACATTGATAATGTGATCACTTCTGATATATCGATATTGCAAGTATATTTAATCAATATTTTTCTAGCTTATTTTCTGACGATAATACTCATACTTTTTTAATGTAAATCGAAGTTGTTGCATTTCTCTCTGTAAGGTTAACACTATTAGATGCCTTTTATGATGCCTTAAATAGACTCAAGCAGCCCATTTCATCTGGTCCCGATAATATTCAACAAATTTATAAAAATTATGCAATCAATCCAAGACTTCCCCTATTTCTAATTTATAAGGATATTATGAAGTCTGGCTTTACTCCCAAAATTTGGAAATTATACATTTAATTTCCATTCATAAAAAAGGAAATATTAAAAAGGAAAAAAAGGAAAGGAAAAGGAAAGGAAAGGAAAGGAAGAACGAAAAAATGAAAAGGAAAGGAAAAGGAAAAAGGGTGCTCCTTCTAATTGCGGGTCTATTGGCCTAACATGCGCCGGTAGCAAAATACTCAAATCTGTAACAAGCGGCTTACTTATCTTGATGCTAATACCTACCAGCATGGCTTTTGTGCGAAAAAAACTACTTCTTCAGAAGTTTAAGCAAATCTTTCCGATTGGTCAGTACCAATTGATAACGGAAAAATAGTATCAGTTGTGTACCTAGATTTGGCCAAAGCTTTTGATACTGTTTCCCATAGCAAGTTGTTGAACACTTTTAACAGTTATAGCATTACAGGGGATCTATATAACTGAATGTCAGATAACATTTTTTCTGATCTGTTAAATCTGGAGTTCCCAAGGTATTGCGCCATTGCTTTTTTTTATTATATATAAATGACCAATGTGGTACTAAATTCTACCATTTATCTTTATATTGGTGATTGTAAAATTTATTGTTCTTATGGTAGAGCGGATAACCTATCTCCACTGGAGGAAGACCTCAACAGAATGGCCAAATGACTATATGACAGAAAAATTATCCTTTCTTTTCAAAAGTGTAGCTTTATTCATAACAATTCTAAAGGATTCGATCTTCCTAATCTTTTTATTAGTGGTAATATAATCAGAAGAGTCTCACACATTTCACATTTCCGATCTTGGAATAATCATGGATGAAAATCTCGATTTCGATTTTCAACAGAACCATGGTAAGCAAATCCTCAAAGATACTAAATTTTTCTTTCGTTTATTTAAGAGCAAAACTGAAGGTTTTCATATCAAAATGTACAAAGCGTTCGTTCAGCCTCTTGTTAACTAAAATATTACCTGTTTCTCCCCCAGATATCGCAAATTAAGTAAAATAATTGAAGAACTCCACAAATATTTTATACGACGCCTCTTTCTTAGTAGGAATTTCAATTATTATAAAATACAACTTCAATAATACAACCTGTATTTCCTTTCAATTCGTCGAATTAAACAAGATTTAATTTACTTATAAGATTCTCTTTGATTATGTTAAACTAGATTGTTCAAAATATAATTTTAGGCTAAATTTGAATCCAACAGGGATTAATGGGATAAAATTGCTAAAACCTATGTGTAAAATTAAAGTAAGGACTCGTACTATTAATTACTGGAATAAATTACAGAACGATATAGCTTGTGTGCCATCCCTAGCTATCATTAAAAAAAGATTAAATAATATCATTTATATTATTTAAAAAGTTCACATCATGCAGGAAATGTGAAATCTCGTCTTTCACCATCAGATTATATATAATATAGTTACTTCGAATTGTACTATATAATATTATTTTGTTATTTCCTCTTTATTTCATCTTTCATCTTTAAATTGTTAATTCTTGTCATATTTTCTTTTTTTTTTTATCATTAATTATTATTATTTTACCTATTGTTATTAATGAAAACACATGGCGTTTGTCGCCCTGCTTGGCTGGTTTTCAATAAATAAAAGTGGGAAAATAGATAGCCTAATGAAAAGCTTGTATGCATCAATTTATGATAAATCCTCAAATTCGCCAAGATTTTTACTTGATTTAACTAATGGAAGCAGTAAAGTCTGAGTATGTGGATTCGATTGCAGAATGACTGGAGTGAACAAATCCGCCAAAGAGTCACTATACATTTAGGGATGAAAAAAGAATGAAAGATGAGTTCCCAGATGAACAACTTAGATAAAACATCTAATTACCAATGTTTTAGTCAAGCAAAAAAAAATTACCTCAGCTTTCGACAACTATTCGCGAGAGCAATGAGTGCTCGATCAGTAATCTGAGGACACATCGAGAGGCATAAATATTCAAGCTGTGGACAACCAACTGCTATATCAGTAACAGTATCGTC